TTTTTTTTTTTTTTTGTATCTGTTATCACTTTTTCTCAGCTCTCACCGAACCGATACGTCAAAAAATCTTTCAACGATACGTCAAAAGATCACAAATCGTATCTAGTTGAAGGCATTACCCTTAAAAATTGAAATATTTTTCCTCGTTCCCCATAAATGGGGGAAATATCCAAAAAAATTACAAATTTAAAAATCGATAAATGTTGTCATTTTTTTCTTAAAACTTCCATAACTTTTTTTTTTGTGTTCTTTTTTAGTTTCGGGAAGGTTATTATATTAGCTTTTAACATGAACCTCTTTTTTTTTTTAATTTCCATATCATTCATTAATACTTATAATAATGATTTTATATAAAAAAGAGTCAAGTTCTTTTTTGATAAAAATTAGTTAATTATGTAATCATATTAACCTTAGATTAAAATTTGTTTTGGATAAACGTGGGAAGTAAAAGTCCAATATTAGAGACACTGGGTCTCATATAAAATTAAGCCAATGGCTATAGCCATTGATATTTTATTAAAAAACAATATTTTTCAATTCATTTCTTAATGAAATTTATTGTCATTCTATAGACAATTAAAAATAAAAATTACTGGGTATCTAAAATACATTTTATATCTTCTCTATAAATAAAACAATAATAAACACCAGAAGAATATTAACTATTTTGAAAATCATTGTATGTAATGTTTTGTACATTAATCATGAAACACCATGTTTGGTAATAGCTGAACTTTGACGACTGTGATAATTCATTCACGATTTTAAAATTACATTACTATATAAACACATTTAAGCGTGAGTGTTGACGAGAACTGTTGTAATATTCGCTTCCCACAGGATGTTTCAATATCCCTGCAGTGATATGTTGGAGGGTTCTGTGTGATTAAATTTAAAGGGTCTCGAGTGAATCAGTACACAGAGCTATGGGACAATACCTACCACTACCGCCGGTCGTTAGGAATACTATTGAAACTAAAGTCATTAGCCGGTAAGTGAATGTTACTATTGTTGGTCTTTTTTTTATTGTTGATGATTTCTCCAGTGGCCGCTAGAGAATTCACAGAAAATGTACTAATCGTCAAAATATAGCATTAGTTCAATGCTTAAAAAATAGAAGCATCTACAAAATAAACAAATTATGTTTGTCTAATTTTATTTACTTCCTATGCTTAACACATAAATGGTATGTGTTGTTGTAATATTTTACAACTATAATCAACGGGCTTACACAAAAAGTAGAACTAAAAAAAAATTATTTGCTGATTTTACGTCATAAAATAAAGAAAACGTAGTCATTTTTACTTTATACTTAGAGAAAAACATTGTACGTCTACCGTTTGACCATAATACTTGGAAAAGTATTTTTTTTATATAACAATAAAACCAAAGCGTAAAACTTTAGATTTTGTTTAAAAATAGTTAGCTGTTAGTTGTACAAACGTAGACATAATTTAATATTGACTGACAAGAAAGTTTCATATTGCTCATAATACTTATATATTTTACAAAATTATTCGACCAAATTGAAGCTACTCAATAATCGTATTTATTTTCTTTTTATCTCGTAAATAAAAATTTCATACATTTTCAAAGTTTATGCTTATTTATTTTAATCAAGTTTAATAACTATTATTAAATAAAACAATATAGAATTGTTGGTGGACAATCTCTCGCGAGAATACAAAATTAAATCTTTATAAATCACTGCAAAATCAACGTTCATTTTGTGCTTAATTGTCTTATTAAAAACAATTAATCTCCTATGTTAATGTTTCCGATAAGAAGGTAAGTCAAGGTACACAAAATGAGAATGAACAACATTGTACCTGATCTTGTTGGTAACTTATACAACAACAGTATGCTCTTCACGGGTCATAAACAATAATGATGTATTATTATTAGTTGGCCATAGTGGTCGGCTTGTAATTTATGAAATACATTCAAACATTGTTTTTTTAACCGAGGAGTTTCATAGTAATCTCATTTTCAACAATTAATGGATTCTCCTCAACAACAAAAAAAAAAGGTACCTCACTAATTAATTTTAACCCCAAAACACTAATGTTATAATAATGTATATCACCTGAACCCTATATAATATCCACGCTATAAATAAAAATCACAAAAAAAAAATATTTGTACAAAGTGTTTTAAAACTTAATTAATGGAAATTTTTAATTGATTGTTAAAATATGTATTAATAAATCTTTTATATGCATTTTGTTTATTTATGTAAACAAACGTACAATTAGCTAAATATTAATCAAATTATATAAAAATATGTGTTTGATGATTTTTCTTTAAACACGATACTATGAGTCGTGTTGAATAAAAAAAAAGTTAATACCTAACTCTAGTAATCCATGTAAAATGTAAAAAAAATCACGTTCTAACGGATTTCGTGCTCGGTGCGTTTTTGGAGTTTTCTCACATTTATTTAGGTACTCTCAAAAACTTTATTTCCTCCGTACCCTAGAGACTATTACAACGTCTTGATCTTTTAGATATATGCTCTATTTTTAGTTCGTTCTAACTTGTTTCCAAATAGTGTTATTTTACTTTTTCTAATATACACATATATTAGAATTTTTTTTTCTATTATTTTCTTTAATCTATTCTAAATCATCGTTATGTATCTATGTGAAATCAAGTTGTATCGAAATAGCATTCGATTTGTTCACCTAAGAAATGGTATACTTATAAATAATTTATATACATTTTTAAAACCTCGGGAAATATTTTTATGAAAAGAAATTTTATGGCCTTACGCACAATTGACGATTTAAAGGTACATTTATGTTATTTTTTGCCATTAGCTTCACCTTACTTTTTTTTTTAACTAAAGGTTTCTCATTTGTATCTCATTTTTAACTGAGATTGTTATATTTAATTTTAATTGTAGGTTAAAGAGTTCGATATAATTTAGCTAAAACTACAAATGCATAAAAAACAATTCTTTTGTAAATAATATTTTGTAATTTGAAACGGCTCTTTCTGAATAAGTGAACAAAAATAACACGTATTATAATAATCAACTTTTATAGAACAAATTGAAGTCGTATAAAGAATCCGTCTTCAGAATATTAAAACCAGAATTCCTTAAAAAAAATAACAAAGCTGGGATGAATTGCAAAAGTTTAAAAAAAACCATTTATCATTATTCATTTTAGAAATGTCAATGACATGTACGATGATGCTATATATATTCCCGTGTACATACAATGTAGTAATATTGTTAAAGAATGAATAATAACTTCTAAAATATTTATTCAATAGTCCATTCTTTTTTTCTTTGTTATAAAATGGTATGTGAACTGGAAAAACATACATTATGATACGATGAAAATAAATGTTGCTAAATTTTACAGTCTAGTTGATCACAAATATTTTATCAAATTTTAAAAAATAATTCAATTATATCTTTCCAAAAAACTATTTAAATAAATGGATTTTAGTATATACTCGAGAAAATGTGAGCATTTATTTGTACTGAATTACAAATAGCAATATTACTCTTAATACGAAGCATTGAAGGCATTGATTTTTTTTATCGATTATGTGCGCATCATTCAACAAATAAATAAAAATTACTTAAATTATATTACAGATATATTTATAAGCATTTTGAAATAAATGTAATATTTTTGTCTGACATTATAAATTTTATCAAAATTTATAAAATTATTAAATTATAATGTTTACTGCTAGTATTTGTAAAAAAAAGAATAATAAAAAAGAAGACAAATGTGCAAAGACCTCCATAGAAAAGTTTGATGGAAAGAGCAAAATGTATTTTTTTAATATTTGATTTCTATTTTGCCACTTGAAGGTTGGGTAACTGGGACCCAGACAAGGAACCGCGATTTTTTGAGGGCTTCGACATAGATACAACAAAAAATAGCTTAACTTTCTCATTTAACGAATTAGCTTCTCAAAAAATACCTTGTAGGTTCTTATATACATATATATATATATATATATATGGGTGGCCCTCAAAAATCGAATGTCTTTTTTTTTTTTTACGCTACCCCTTAATTTTTTTTTAATGGTCAAAAATTAAATTAAAAATTAAAAATTATTAATAACAATTAAATTAAACTGTTAGGTTTGTAATTAATCATTAATTAACTGTCCATAAAATAATAAATCTAATATAATTATCGTACTTGGCATAAAAAATTAAACTTCTAGAATCTTTTTTTAAACGAATTTGTGTTTTCAAAAAATTAAATGAAAATAAATAATTGAAAATCAACAAAATCAGTTATAACGTATTTTAAGACTTTTACATGTTTTTTTACTGTATGTAGTGTTTTTGTGGGCTATTTATTGAGAAAACAACATTGAAGTTATTATTTTTGAATTTCTTGTAAAATTTCCTTTACTTGAGTTTTACTTTTATTATTCTAAGTTAAGAGAAAAAAAAGTTATGAGACATAGATCAGTTATTTCTATTAAATTTGACTCTTCGACTCAACTTAATAGGCCCGGGGGCACGGGTTAACCTTAACGGATCGGTCCCAAATTTTGCACAGCTCATTTTTTTGACCATTAAAAAAAAAATTAAGGGGTAGCGTAAAAAAAAAAAAGACATTCGATTTTTGAGAGCCACCTAATATATATACAAGGTGTTCAGTAAATAAGGAAACGAATTTCTATTGTACTCATTGTTTGTAACAATTTAACTGTTTCCTAACTTACTGAACACCCTGCATAGTACATATATAGTATTTTTTCGGATAAGAAGAAAATACAATTAGCATTTTCAAAAATATTTTTTGAAAATTAAAATGTATAAATAAATGATTTTTGGCAGTTTTATGAATTATTTATACAATTAAAAGTCTCTATAGATTTAATAAATAAAAACCAAACTTACATAACATTACTCTATAAAAAACATTGTGCTATTTAATTTGGCATTTATACTGTAATTTAATAAAAATAAAATAAAACTATAATTTTATTAAAAAAAAAGAATTTTGCAAAATTCTATAATATATATGGATTATGAAAATTATCTAAGTAAAAAGTCAAAATAGGGGTTCACAACCTCCTTAGCGTCTCTCGTGAACGCCCATAGAAGTATGTTATATTTAAAATAAACAAACGAGCTTTGGAACATTAATATAATCTCGGTATATCCTGCTTGGAATAACTATCATCAGTTTTTATCCCTCTTATTGAATACAGTCGTGTAGTAAATTTGCCTATGCGACGTGCCGTGTATTGAAAATCGAACATTCGTTTTTTGCGTGCAAGAAATGTAAAAACGACATTTGCGCCTTTATGACAGCAAATCGGAATTTAGATATCAAAAAATATACTCTATTGGTTTAAGAAACATAAATAAATTAAGAGCGTATCGAATCACCATTCAATGAAATAATTTAAGGATTACGTGGTTCAAAAAAATCTATTTTTTATCCAATTATTTATAACCAAAGGAATAGTATAACCATCGTTAGTTACATCATTGTGTATTAAATATAAATATTTTGTTGTCTCCTCATTAAAGCAGTTTAGATCCATTGTGGCAATAATCTCTCAGATATTCGAAAGATTGCATTCAATACATTCCTAATAAATGTTAATATTTAACTGTATTTAACATGTTACGTCTTATTTTTTTAATCAGTTCAAAAGCAATATACTAAAAAACAGGGGTTCAAACATAATTTTAGAAATTACTTTTGTGCGAAAGCAAAATTTTAATTTATAGTTGAATTAAGGTTTTTATAAATATTTCATAAGTCATGCGTGTTTTAATTTTGAGTAGAGAAAGTTATGCGGGTGAGTTCACTCAAACACAACTTTCTCACGTGATAAATTTGCTAAATCCTCGTGGGACACCTTGTATAATACAGATGACAGGAATTAAACTCTAGTATTCAAAGTGTATTTCTGAGACACAACAGCTGAATTTTATAAAAATACCCACTTATTCTAGAATTATTTTAATACTTGACATTTGTGGGCGCCCAAGTTCTAACTCAGTGTCCCTAAATTCAAAATAAATAATATGAATTACAAAAAAATGCTGTAATTAATTTATAAATTCGAGGTTATCAATCTAGTAACACCCTTGAAAATTATACTTTTATTTATAAACTTTTTTTTCGGCGGAAAAAATAAATAAAGGCTTTGTACATTTATCGTTATTGGTTGTTTTTTTAATCTATATTTAGCCGGAATACGGTACAATAAATAGAAATATAATATATACGATGTGTATGCTTTCACATAAAACCATAAATTTAACAAAAGGACCAGGAAGTTAATAAACCCTCTGTAGCAAAAGGTCGTTTCACATAAACACGGTCTGAATGGGAAACAATATTTTTTATGAATTTTAATTTATAAGTTTTAGTCACAACATTTAGATATTAAGATACATTATAAGAATATAAAAAAATATCTTGTGTTATTGTTAAACTTTTAATAATAAATTTATCCAATGCTCAGATTTAATAAAACGATAATGCAAAAACTCCTAAGCTTATATTAAAAATGAAATATTTTGTTCAACGATATAAATCATTTTACAATTGAAGGGAAGGAAGAGAAAAATATTTTATTGTAGGCACTTTGTAATGTAATTCTATTTCAACGCGACTATTATTCGGTATATTATTTACTCAGTCGATTAATTAATTATTTTAAATCGACAAATTTGAAATTACACTGAAACTTAAATATAATTTTAATATTTACAGTTTTTTATTGGCAATATCTAAAAATAATAATTAATCTATGTTTTTGTAAGAGAATTTCTCCCTTCATACATAATAGACCAAATGAATAATTTTGATAATTAATCATATCTATACATATGAAGTAATATTCTACTTAACTAACTAATTTGAGTATTTAATAATAAATTAAATATTAACCTTTCACAGAGGTCCCAGAATCTGCTTGTGTAGTATCCAACGTCAATAGAAACCACACGATTAAAACGCTGTACAAACAATAATATATATTCATTATCGACGTGTTACTCTTGGCAGTATCTTAAATTATAACTGATTTATGTACATTAAAGAAACTGTTAATGAATTATTTCGTAGTAAGCGCCATCATTCAAATTATATAAAGCACAGCCTATCTGATGTATTAACACAGCTGCAAATTGGTACCCCTGAAAAAACAAAAATAACATGTTTTTAATATAATATTATTAATTTACTTTTTTTACCAAATTTGCTAATTATTAAGATTTTAATGATTCATATTTCAGTTAGGGGTACAGATTTTTGATGATTATTTTTTAATACAACCAATTTATATCTAAGGAATGGTATGCGTTAGTTTTGGTGGTACTTTTAAAAAGCACGTATGACTAATAAAAAATAAAATTGAAATTTTCGTAAAATTGGGTAGCTATAGTCATAACATAATTTTTAACAATTTTGTTTATCATAAAAACAATAACTAAACCATAAGTTAATATTATTTATTTGAAAATGTTTCTTATTTAGAGGAGACTTTATTTTATATCCACCTCGGAAGTGCACACAAATTATTATATACACATTTTGGTATCAAATGATTTTCGCTCACTAAATTTACGTACTCTAACTTTTTACTTTTTCGTGTACACATATTACTTCGGAGAACACTCTTATAAGCTTAAAACACATTCAGTGTGTTGTACTACACAAAAAAATAGTGGTCTTTTATATTAAACAACATAAATTTACAACGCATTTCTCCTAGACGTTCAAATTAGTAAATCACGAGAACACTCTGCACACGTTAAATTGATTTTTATGTTATTTTAAAAAACGGCGAGTCTTTGTTTTTTTTATTCACAATTACTGATTTTTAATTTTTTTACGTTAATTGTGTTGGTTTAGACCCATATGGTTCTAAAAATAATATGAATTTTTTATTGAATTATTTTTTTTATTTGATGTTTATATTTTATTTTGTTGGAATTGAACGAAAAAACAATATATATATTAAGAAATTACTTGTGATTTATTTTATTAGTATTTTTATTCAGTCTTCTTCAAATTTTTTTTTTTCAATTTTTTTATGATAACTTTAGTACGACATGATGATGTATTAAAAATGAAAAATATTCCAACATTATTATTATTCATATTATATACTTTAAGTTAATATTAAAACTGTTTTTATATTTTCTCATTTAAACACTAAAACTATTTCACTAAAACTATTCGTATTTTTCTTTTAGGTAAAAAAAAAAAATATATGAACGTTTTCATGATAAAACCGCATGTTTTCATTTTTCAAAATGATATATAAGAAAGAAAAAGATACACCATTTTTGTACAGCTAATAATTCGAATAGCTTTTTATTAATCTATAATTTCTAGAAAAAATAGAGATTTTTATTCCAAAAACACTTAATTTATTAATATTGTAAGGATGAATTTCTTGAAAAAAAAATTTTAAATGTCAACATGCGCGTTTTTTTTATAAACAGACAACGATAAGTAATTGACATAGTTTTAAACGGTAGGAGATTTTTTCAATTTCGATATAAAATATTTATTTTAACGAAAGATCCCATTTTTTTTTTCAAATTTTCGGTAGTATTTATTATTATAAAATATCAAATTAGCTAAGCTCAACATTTCAAATTAATGATTTAGAAGTATGCTGGTTAATTATATTTAATACAAATATCTTAAGATATCAACACGATTTTGAAAATAAATACATATTTATTTATTACTTATATGTAAAAGTTGTATAAATAATCATTTTTTTAACAATAGCATTTAAAAACATTTTTGCGATCAAAAACAACATGTTTGGTAAGATTGAAAACAATTTTCAAATTGAGTTTTAAAGTTTACAAAAGTATTTTAAACATATAATTTAATAAATTATGTTTAGAGTAAAATAAAATATATTGAAATAAAATAAATAATTCTTGCGAGTATCTAGTATTGGATATTGGAAGCTTTTAGTTGACGTTTCAATCCATTCAAACTAAACTATAGATACTTAGATAACAATCTTTAGTTTAAAAAGTTCAATGAGAAAAAAAATAAAGTTATGCTATAAATAAAAGGGGATACTTTTTGACTAAGATTTAAGTCTACGAGAAACGTTTTCTCAACAACAAAATACGCATATGTTGGTAATGATTTTGTAATACTTATCGAAGTATAGATACAATTCTTATACAGTATTTATTCTTTTTTGTGTGTTTTTTAGGAAGAAAAATTTTTGAGTTACTGGTTGATTCTATCTAAGCAATTAAGGGACACATCTTTTTAAATTTAAGTTAAACAAAATACACAAAGAAAAAATCAATAAAAAATAATTTATTTCATGTTTGCGAATAATGCACTTCTTTGATTATCAAATTCGAATTATCCAAACTTGAAAGCCGGAGTAAAAATTTGCTCCTCTTAATTCAAAGTTTGCTAATTACTTTTACTAAATTTTTTTTAGATTGAATATTTAATTAACGTGTAAATATAATGTAGAAATTGAACTTAAAGTTTTATAATTGTTGTCTTCGCAGTTCTCATTAACTGTTGTACTTAAAACACTTTCATTGTTATTATTATTATTTTGTTGGATATTTTTTGTTTTTTTTTTATCATTTGTGTTTATCAAATGTGTTATGAGTTATAATTACTATGTAAAAACAAAGGTCTTATTGCCCTCCGTCAATAGGGAGAAAATAACAATAAAATATTACAAACATTCCATTTACTTGTGTTTATTTTAAAAGCTGTTATTGAAATGTTACTAGATTGGAGGTTTCCGACAAAATATTAGATTAAAATAAAAGATGAAATACTATTTTGAAAATAATACATACGAAATGCGAACTATACAAATAACAGTAGCGACCGATACCTTTTTCGTAGTGCACGCGACACGATACTGAATTCACTAAACGCATGATGCTGTGACCCAAAGGAGAACAGGAGTGCTTTTCGGTTGGTATCTGTGTAAGTATCGCCGGTGTCAGTGTAGAGCAAACTGGAAAGCAAGTGCAGCGATTCTATTGTACCACGAGATTTTCCGTTGGTAACAGTAATAACTGAGGGTAAAAGTACTTTTTTCTGTTACTCTGTTTGATTTCTTCAAAACACAAGATTGGTAAACATAAATATGTCATAATGTTCTTGCGGTTAATACGTACAGTGCATCATTAGATTCTTTATTTTTTTATGGACCTTATTTTACTACCACAGCAACAGTGATATTGACAAGTCTAAAAAATATACCATAACCATATATTAAATATTAGATTCCCAACAATATAACGAGTTTACCTCTACCAAATTTGAGAGTATAACTCGATAACAAATTATGACTTGAGTTCAAAGCTCAAAGTTGACTGTACAAAAGAAACTATGTTGTAACTAACCATTAAAATATTGACCACAGTTTAAAAACATGAATGATATAACTCAAAATAGTTGTATAGTTGAAAGAACAATATCTCAGGAAAATGTCCATCATTTTTATTGCGATCAAACTTTAAATATCCTGAGGTTATTGTTTAAATTTGAAAATGCAAAAAATTAGAATATTAAGAAGCCATAGAAATGCAAAAATAAAAAGTGCTGCAAGCCATATAAATGCAAAGTTTAATGATTGTTTTTGTTTTTCTATGGATTCTTAACATTTTAGTCTTTTGCATTTATATGGCCTCATAATATTTTTTTTTTTTTGCATTTCTATGGCTTCTTAAAGTTTTCATTTTTTATAAATATGGATTCGCGATGTCTAAGAATGAAAAAACAAAAATATTTTAAAGCAAAAAACCAAAAAGTTAAGAAGCCAAAGAAAAACAAAAACAATCTTTAAATTTTGCAATTCTATGATTTCGCAGCACTTTTGTTTTTGCATTTATATGGCTTCTTGAATTTTTCATTTCAATGGCTTTATAATATTTTTGTTTTGTTTTTTTTTATATCTGTGGCTTTACGATATTTCAAAAATACAAAAACAAAAAAATTTAGAAGCCATAGAAATAAAAAAATTTAAGAAGCCATAGAAATGCGAAAAATCAAAAAGTCAAGATTCTAGAAAAATGCAAAATTTAAAGATTGTTTTTGTATTTTCGTTTATATGGCTTCGTAATATACTTATTTTTTGCATTTATATACTTTTCTATTTCTACGCTAAAATAATTAATAAGCTGTATAAAAGTAAAAGTAAAAATAAAAATATGAATTTTAGAAATAAATATATAAAACTTTTCTTTTAATTCTCTTATAATTCAAAATTCAAACTATTTATGAAAGACAATATCATTCATTCGCCATTTGTAGAATCTAAACTTCTCCCCTGTAATTTTTAAAATTACATGAAAATATCTTGTAAACCTTATTATCTAATGTCTTCATAATTAACAACAAATTATCTACTAAAACGTTTTATATCAAGCTCTTTAATTTTTATACACGTTTCCTACAAAAGTAACAGCTGCTTATAATTTTTCATAACTTCTTCTTAAAAATTATAATACTAAATTATTAAATATCAATTTCATACTATATTTAATTTCTATAATAGATATTTATTCATATATTATACTTATATAATCAGCGACCCCACTGTGCTAAGTTTTTTTGCATCTTTAGCTTTAATTTAAGATATATATAAAAGTGTCAGACCTTCCGGAACATTTTCAAAAGTTAAGTTGAAAAAGTTCTACTTTCTATATGCATTTTTCAGATTTGATCACCCCCCGTATATAAGCAAATAGTCTGGTTTAAAAAAAAAATATGTCGAATGAAAGATGTAAATACTACTTCTCATGAAAAAATTGTATTGATCATACATTTTTTAAAAAGTTATAGCAATTTAAAGTGAAAAATGTAAAATATAAAATCGAGAAATTTCACACAAAAATAGCATTTGGTAGCCATTTTCACCACGTAGACAAATCCAGAGGTCAAGTTTTTTTTTCAAATTAAAGTATATTACATTAACTTTAATTTAAGATATATATAAAAGTGTCAGACCTTCCGGAACATTTACAAAAGTTAATTTTTTGTAAAAAAGTTGTCATTTTAAATCCCCTCCTGTGGGGAGGTTAAGTGTCAGATTTACAAAAAATATATATCAAATGATAGATAAAGATATCAAGCATCTATAGAAAAAAAAATTATATTGATATGTTCATTTTTGAAAAAGTTACAGCAGTTTTTAGTAAGAAAATTGAAAAAATTTCGAAAATTAGCGATTTTTAAATTTTAAATTTTTTTGGAGGTTTCCCCCATTTACGGGGAACGAGGCAAATTTTTTCAATTTTTGAGGGTAATGTCTTCGACTAGATACGATTTGTGATCTTTTGACGTATCGTTGAAAGAAATCGGTTCGGTGAGAGCTGAGAAAAAGTGGTAACACACACAAAACATAAATAAATAAACACATCATAGTAAAATTAATACCTACTCAGCTTTGTATCGAAGCTAATACAACTTTTGTATTTAATGTTCTCGAAATAAATTGTTATTATTATCATATTTTATCCTTAAAAACATGATTACTTAATCATAATTAGGATATTATTAAATAAAACTACTGTTTGATAAAATATGCATTTTATTAAAGATGAAAAAAAATGTAGAACAAGTATTGTGTATTTTATTAAGTATTCAGTTTATCTCATTTACGAGGTAAAACCTTCGGTATTTAAAAGTTTATTATCCATTATCTATTATTTAGTGATGTATTTATGGGAAATCTTTAAGGTGTGAACCTCTCATGAACATAATACCATGTTAGTGAAGGAGGGAAACTCCCCACTACTCTAAGATCTAAAAGCTATCTAGACTCCACCTCCCTTATATTATCTAAATACACCACTCATATATGTATAGTAAAATATTATCTTAATTTCGTAATTAATCACACTTTTCGATCAAAAAATAGTTTTTAACTCAGCTTGTTGTAGGAACGTAGTCTGATCTATCTAGATTGTATCCTACTGTATTTTACACTAGAAATTTTTTTTCTATCCTCTCTTAATTACATAAATATTTAGGTATTTTTTACTTTTTAGAAGGTTTTAATCTGGGAGCCCCTCGCCTTTTTATAGAATAGCTAACTATCTAAAAAGCTGAAGGAAATTTCCTACTTTCCTTAACACAGAAACCAAACAAATATAATTTATGACGGGTTTCTGCATTTTACATATTACTTTATTTAAAATTAAAAAATTGTAGAATTTCGATATTTGACTGGTGTCTACTCTAAATGATATGTTTACATTCAAAAAATAAAAACTAACTCGTTTTTTTTTTATTCGACCATTAATGAGTTTCTGAAATAATCGATTCAAATCTAAATTGTATTTATTTTTATTTTTAATTTTACAGGTAATAATAACAAAAAAAAAACTCAACTTAATCATGGTTACTACTACTTTGATATAAAACACACATATATATATATATATATATTTATGTTCTATGAAAAGTTTCTAAATTTCAATGTATCTTTGCACTGGTGCTTTTAATTATACGACTGAAATGATTTGTATCGTTTTGGCTAAATGATAATTATTTCATCATTTACATGTCTTAAACGTATTAAATTTAATTAAATAAATAATTATACATGGAATAAATTTAGTGTAACATAACTATATACATTTTTCATTTCTTCAGCTTCGATGCGAAGCTGAGTAGGTATTAAAAAATTATTTTTTTCAACTTAACTTTTGTAAGTGTTTCGGAAATACTGACACTTTTATATATATCTTAAATTAAAGCTAATGTAATATGCTTTATTATGAAAAATAAAATTTTCATGGTAAAAACAGATATCAAAGTTAATAAAAATTTTATATTCTTAACTTTATAATGCTATAACTTTTTGAAAAGTGTATGGATCATTATATATTTTTTGAGGTAAGTACTATTCATAATTATATATTATTAATATATATATATATATTTATTCATATATTACACATCTAAATCATAAAACTTGTAATCAGAATATAAATAATGAAATAGGAGATCCTGTAGCTTTTGGAATAATCCATTAATTTTTTTAAATTAAACACTATCTACAAATTTGCATCGAAGCGTTTTTTATGATAATGATTTTAATTACTGTCAGATATCATCTATGCTGGACCCAACTATCCCACTGTGCTGTTATTTTTATATTTACTTGTCTTTATTATTTTAAACCCTCGGATTCTAGAACTCTGATATTACCTAGTCGCATTTTAACTTTATTTTTTTTTAATAACTGTGGTATCACAAGCTATTAGTTTAATTTTTTTTTATATTTAAATACGAATTTAAGCTAGTGTTGTTTAATATTATTTAGTTGACCCTATGTAATGACATTTAATGGTCAAACAAAAAATACATTCTTTTCTATTTGGATCATGAATTGGTTAAGATTAGTGCCAAAACTACAGTGAGTGGTTGCCTTTGCTACTGATAATAACTAGAGAGAACAAATTTGTATAGTGTCAATATTTTTACAATTAATTGTTTTTATTTCTACTTACATTTTCATTTTAATTTGAAATTTTAAAAATGGTGAGTCACACGAATATATAATTGAGTTAAATTTAATAGCATCAAAATTTAAAACTAGTTTAATATTAATTATTAAAATTTAAAAGTGCTATCATGAAGAAAAAAAAAGTGGTTGAATTTATTTGTACTTATTCAAACATTAAAATTGATTTGTATGTAAAAAAACAATATATATATATATATACGTAATTATTTACTAAAATGTCAGGATCACTAATTAAATACAATATTCTTAAATAATAATATTCAAGGCTTGATGAACAAAGAATACATTACAAATTATTATATATTATAATTAGCATTTATTTAGCTAAATTTGTAATTTTATAATAATTCTTATAATCTTTAAGAAATATAGAAATAATTAATTATATTTATATTTATTTTACAACATGTACATTAAAATGTACATTTTAATTCTTCGAATTTCTTATGATTTGATAGGGTTGAATGTTAGTATACTTCATCTATAATATAAATTCTTTATTTTTATTATAAATATTAATTTTACAAAATAAAGTAATGATATAGCTAATACTTGTAATATAAAATTCTGTGTAATTTTTTTTCTTACTGCCAATTGGATAATTGCCCATTTTAATAGTGATATAGGTTTTCTTTTATAATTGGCAATGACGCATAGAAATATACTTGATTATCAAAGAACCTTTTGTACCAAAGTTAATAAGATGAAATATTGTTAAATGCACTATTAACTTGTTAATCAAATAGTTATTATATAATAGTTGGTTACATAATAACTGAAGTGTCAATATTTATTGTTCTTCTTCATATTCAACTATATTTTTAAAATAATTTATAGCACTATTCTAAAAAAGCAATATCAAAAAAAAAAAAATATATATATATATATATTCGCCATTTCAATCATAGAAATATGTTTTTAAAAATTAAATTTTGGATTTATACAACATTTCTAAGATCGCAATCAACTTAAAATAGTGATAAATATACTACAGCAGTAAATTTTTCTATAATTTTTTGTACAACTCATAACACAATACACACTTGCTAGAAGTAGTTACTAAAATCTAAAAAAAAAAGAAATTTTTTTAATTTCGTTTATATAAAAGTAATTATAATTAAATTAATAAGAAGTTTTTTCAATCAAATATATTTATATAAACCAAGGAAAGACTGAAAAAGGCTAATACTTGGGTACATAAAATGTATAAATTTGTTCAACTCTTAGCAATTTTTGTGTATCTCGATAACCTTTAACTTTAAAAACTCACAAATATTTTTTTGAAAAATATGTATCTTATAGTTGCTAAAAAAAATTATTAATAGACAACAAATAATACGCATTTGTATATTTTAAAGTTTTTTGAGCAACAACATTATTTTTGTATACAATATTACTGTTTAATAAATACCTTTAATATTTTAAGGAATCAGAGGAAGCTGCAGTAAAAAAATTTCATAAAAGTGATTTCAAAATAAGATCACACTCTATTAACTACGTATCTTCTGATTATGAAGTGAGCATTTTAATTTAAAACATTTTTTACGATGTCGTGGAATTATAAGTAATAAATGCTACCTAATTGTATAAGTAATTCACATTATTTATTATTTGTGGATAAATGTATAATAATAAATAGGCTAAATTTAAACAATTACCCACAAAATAGAAATAGAATTATTATATAATAAAAATTGATCACTTGTGGCTAATTAATTAAGTAAAATTAAAACTATATTAAAAATATTATTAATTTAAAAAAACTAAAAAATATTAAAAATATTAAACTATTTGGTATTACTTTGGTAACATCTAAGAGTAATAATTTAAGAGATTTATTAGGTAACCCTAAAGATAAGGTAGATGAAGGGGGGAAATCAGGCATTTATAAAATACAATGTGAAAGTTGTAATAAATGTTACGTAGGACAAACAAAAAGAAATATAGGGGTCAGGTTTAAAGAGCACTTAAGAAATATTAAAAATCAAGAAATTGAGAAATCTCCAGTGGCTGAACATTTATTGACACATAATCACTCTATTAAAACCATAAAACTAATTAAAAACGTAAATAATTACAAAGAACTTAATATCAGAGAAGCAATAGAAATGTTTAAAAATAAAAACAATTTAATTAATTGGGATCTTGGCCCACTGAAAAATTCATTATTAAACTTGTGTAAACTGGCAAAATGTGATAATATTACTTAGTGATAACGTCACTAGGTGATAAGGTCACTAGGGGTATATAAGGGAGTTTTTTCTAGTCGGGGTGTCAGTATGTGTTTAGCGTTGATAATGGTAACATTGTTTCCGAAATACGTATCCGCGACTTTTCATTAATTTTTTTGTGGCTTTTGAGTTTAATATTTTTAATATTTTTTAGTTTTTTTAAATTAATAATATTTTTAATATAGTTTTAATTTTACTTAATAGAATTATTAATTAGTATTAAGTATAGCTAATAATAACTAAATATAATTTATTAATATATATGGTTATCTATCTATTCATTTAACTTATTTTGATTAATTATTATACCAGTAAGAAAAGCGTGTAACCTTAGAACAACCTTTTAATATTCTATAATATTTGTAAAATAGCTATGCACATTCTTCCACAGTACAGATAGCTCCATAGAATTTCCCGTAGAATCCCTATAAGTCAAATGACTCCTGAAGAGTACCTATTTAATTCCTATTGACTCTTAATATCCTGTGCTGACAAATTCTTAATAGAAACCCTAGAAGACATAAAAATGGAAACCCGTAGGATTTGGTGTAATCATAGATACTTTCAATAGGAAACCCTTTTCATTCCCTACACTCCTACAAACTAATTAACACTCAGATATTTGTATTAATTGACAGTAGTCGTAGAACTATGATATCATTATTTATTTAAATTAAAACTACATACATTTTTAATATTTACTCTATCTTGTCGACTTAAAATAAAAATACAAATTTTTTTTTTTCATAACATCTTTCAAAACTACAAATTTAAAACTAAATAATATTTTTCTTAAGATAGGATTCTCTAATAAGATGTATCATTTTTATTTATAAAAAAATTGATCACTTAGATAACACAATTAAATAACATCTATTATCTTATTATAAAAATTCACATGAAAAACTAAGTATCATTTTTTAAATTGATATATAACTTATTAAAAACAAAATTATATAAATATTTAAAAAATGTTTTTATCTCATAACAGTTATTAACCTTTTTTAATATAGAGTAGAAAAAGACTAACATAACCCTAATTCATCTCTACTCAATATTTTGAATTAGTTATAACTTCCGAAATAATATGTCAAAAATTGTAGTCGATCAGTTATTTTTTTAATTAGATTATTTTATAAGCTAATTAAATATGTATGTTTCTATTAAAAAAAACCTAGCACAATAGGGTCGCTGATTATATAAGTGTAATATATGAATAAATATTTATTATAGCAATTAAATATAATATGAAATTGATATTTAATAATTTAATATAGTAATTTTTTACAAAAATTGTATTTTTTTTTTGTTAAATTTCATGTCTGTTTTCACCATGAAGACAAAATAAAGTGCGAAATTTTTTTTTCCATAGTAAAGTATATTACATTAGTTTTAATTTATGATGTATATAAAAGTGTCAGTATTTCCGTAACACTTTCAAAAGATAAGTTCAAAAAGTTGTCTTTTTGAATCCTTCTTGTGAGCAAGTAATGGGTCAAATTTATAAAAAAGAAAAAGTTATGGCAATTTTAAGTAAAAAAAATTGAAAAAATATCGAAAATTAGCGATTTTTAAATTTGTAATTTTTTTGGAAATTTTCTTCAAAAATTGGGAGCGAGGGAAATTTTTAAAATGTTTGAGAGTAATATTTTCGACTAGATACGATTTGTGATCTTTTGATATATCGTTGAAAGAAATCGGTTCAATGAGAGCTGAGAAAAAGTGGTAATAGACACAAAAAAAATATAAAAACACATCATAATAAAATTAATATCTTCTCTTTTGTAAGGCAGCCCCTTCCATTTAATATACTTTTTGATTGATATTAAAAGCTGAAAAATATAAAACATTAACACTTATATAATTTTTATAATTTGTTTATAAATGGGGTACTTACCCTCACTCTTACATTGGACTATACGGTTTCACCTGAAATATAGACAAGTTAATAGAAGAAAAAAAGTTATAACAACACAAAAAACGATAAGTTTTTACACCAAAATAATATTTATTCTTTTACTTCAGGGGCTGTTTACATATATAGATACCTTAATTTTTAGTACATTTTTAGCTTTATTTTAACATATATTTGAAAATCAGAGTATTTTCATAACATCTTTAAAAGTTAATTTTTCCTGCAAAAGTTTATTTTTTGATTTCCCCCTGTGACAGGTAAAGGGTCAGTTTTAAACAAATTTTTTACCAGATGAAAGAGAAATACCTCAAGTAATTATATAAAAAAAAAGAGTTGGTGTCGTGGGACATGCGGTAGGAACAAAGTACCTTCGACTTGTAATAAACCAAAAAAATAAAATGAAAAATGGTGATAAATATTATATAGTAAAAAATATGATATGGGGATGTGAGAGGTGTGAAATATAATAAAATAATATAAAAAAATAAAGAGAATTAAGAAAGGTGAGTACACGGTGGCTAAACATATAAGGATAAAATATGTTAAATATCCCTACAAAATTCTATAATTTATCTTAATAGTTTATTATGAAAAATATTTGTTTATGGTTTAAAAGCATGAATAAAACTTATACTTACCTTATGTCTTGTGTCACGTAACGATATTTAACAATCCAACGTTGATTCTGTATTTCACACTACACGTTGTATAATCAATTTAATTATTTAGAAAACCGATTTAAATAATAAATTTTAAATAATACGATTTCGTTACACAAAATTTATAACTGGGTTTTTTTCCATAAAAGATTCTAAGTACTCTAAATTTTTATTATAAATATAACTTTATTAATGTACTCTTATTTAATTTTTGTTGGATAAGTATATTTTGAGATATTGCAATTTATTGAGATATCGACACCAATATATTTTAAAGCTTCCTATGAAACAAGATTCAAAAATATTTATAGCTAAGTAAAAATGTTATTAAGACCGTATTGTAGTGGTCCAATGTGTCCCTGCGCTGACGCCTTGAAAGGACGCGGAACACTAATTACCAAGACAATAACAGTCACAGTGGTAACAGACACAAAAAAAAAAACACATCATAGTAAAACCAATACCTTCTCAGCTTCGCATCGAAGCTAAAACGCAAATATAGTCCCAAAGAGTAATAATCTTGAGTAAAGTGTCACAAATATTTTGTATTTTGGAATTACCGTAATAACTAATTTTAATAAGGAAAATGAGTTTTTATATAAGGGAGTAGTGTAGTAATCTCTTGTGTGATCTTGGTAGCAGGACATCTTAATTAATTGTTAAATGTAGTTAACCACTTTTTTTCAGCTCTCACCGAACGAATTTCTTTCAACGATACGGTCAAAAGATCACATATCGTATCTAGTCGAAGAAAATACCCTCAAAAATTGAAAAAATTTCCGTCGTTCCCCGTAAATGGGGGAAACCTCCAAAAAAATTACAAATTTAAAAATCGCTAATTTTAGAATTTTTTTAACTTAAAACTGCCATAATTTTCTTAAAAATGATCAAATCAAAAAAAAATTTTTTTATAGATGCTTGATGTCTTTACCTATTTTTCAATTTTCTTACTAAAAACTGCTGTAACTTTTTCAAAAATGAACATATCAATATAATTTTTTTTTCTATAGATGCTTNTTAAATCAAAAAAAAATTTTTTTATAGATGCTTGATGTCTTTACCTATCATTTGGTATATTTTTTTTTGTAAATCTGACACTTAACCTGCCACAGGGGGGGATTTAAAATGACAACTTTTTCAACTTAACTTTTGAAAATGTTCCGGAAGGTCTGACACTTNTGTCTATCATTTGGTATATTTTTTTTGTAAATCTGAAACTTAACCTGCCACAGGGGGGGATTTAAAATGACAACTTTTTCAACTTAACTTTTGAAAATGTTCCGGAAGGTCTGACACTTTTATATATATCTTAAATTAAAGTTAATGTAATGTACTTTATTATGAAAAAAAAAATTTGACCTCTGGACTTGTCTTCGTGGTGATAATGGCTACCGAATGGTATTTTTGTGTGAAAATTCTCGAAATTATATTTTACATTTTTAACTTTATAATGCTATAACTTATTGAAAAGTGTATGGATCAACACAATTTTTTTATGAGTAATAATATTTTTTAATAATCCCTTTTTCAATCGACATACTTTATTTTAATCAGGATATTAATAAGGAACTAGCAGATCATGTATCTTTTGGTATAATACACCAAATTTTTAAAATTAAACACTATCTAAGGATTTGCATCGAAGCGTTTTTTTTTTTTGATAGTGATTTTAATCACTGTCAGATATCATTATACTTGATCCAACTAAGCTACGTCACCACTGTGACGCGACCCCCCTGTGCTGCGTTTTTTAATTATTATTTCATTTACAGATGAGACTAATTTTCTTGTAAACTTTTGGAGTTATACTTTTTTTGCATAACACATATCATCCCTGGCGTGGGTACTCTTACCGGAATCAGTGGCTTATATGTAAAAACATGTGAGGGCCGCAGAGCATTGGGTCTGGGTGGACCCCCAAACCTAGGCGAATTCTCATTATTAAATATTAAATTGATCAGTTTTACATGATTCTATTTCCCGAAATTAACATGCTACAAAGGGTGGTGGCCTTCTTTCACGTGTTATGGAGTCAAAGATGGTCCATAGCTAAGCCAATGATGGATAGGACGGGTATTATGACAGAATAAGCAGAATGGACACTGATAAAAATTTACTATTTAAATAATTAAATTAAAATTTAAGGTCAACATAAGGAGGTGATTAGAATCAGTCAATCATTTTTATGTAGATATCAGTGTGATCACTTTTTAAAAATAAAATTGTGTGTACCAATTTCAAAATGTAAAGTAACAATTTTAATTATGGTATTGATGTTTTTTTTATGTTTTTGAACGTTTACAACACTACATAAATATTTAAGTATTTAATATATTTGAATATTATAATAAGACGATAATTCAATTTAATATGATAAAAACATAATAAATAATGATTTGTGTTCAACTGAATCACATATTTTTTAAATATTTCATTAAAAACTTTTAAAATTGTTCGTTAATATTTAATAAATTGTTCTATAAAATACATCATAGTAAAATTAATGTCTTCTCAGCTTTGCATCGATATTAAAATCAAAAAAGAGTCAATGGACATAATAATGAAGTTTAAAATCAAACTTACGCATTAATCACATAAATTATATAATAATTATACAGTTAATAAATTTAAATATAAAAAAATTTTGTCCAATACAAAAAATAACATTAAATGTATCTTCACATTAGTAGTATTAATTTCTATAATTTTAAAATTGTTTAAGTGTAATTTTAATAGTAAAAAATTATATACTTGATTAATACTTACGAAACTCTATAAGGACAGCATTAGGAAAAAGTCTAGACTTCTCAAGGTTAGAAAACATATTAGGTTTGAAATGAATATTACAAACTATATAATACTAATGCAATGTATCAATTCATTTGTCTAACAAATCATTTCTATTAAAATGTTGTAACCATTCTTTATAACTATTGAATAAATTTAAGATTTTTTAAGATACAAATATTATTTTTATTAATTTATAATAAAAAAAACTAACCGACGAATATCCTTTGGTATTTTAAACATCTTACAATCATCATTTATGGTGTCATATCTTGAGTTATTGCAATTTTTTTCAGTGCAAACATGAACCATTTTTCTAATTATCATATAAAAGATAATGGAAAATTAATGAAATAATGAAATAAACTGATTATAAGTACAATTTTTATAATATATATTTTCACTCAACCGGTATTAGTTTTTATCATGACAACAAAAATAATAATATCAATACCTACAATTAAATGACTGCTACTTTTTGTTTACATATCAAAGTTTTCATAACCTGATATTATGGCCGACTTGTACCACAACCAGACACCACCAAAGAGAATGTTACAAGAAAAATCTCGTTGGCACCCTGGGGATGAATCCGGGAACATGTGACCCAAAACATACGTTTCCACCCACTATGTTAGGCCGACTCCTCGTTATTAATTATTAAATAATTAAATGAAAAAGAAATATTGAATATTGTATGAACAATAAATTAAAACTGTTAATATAACAATAAAACAAAATTAATAAACAATATATTAAGAACATTCATATGTGAAATATGAAACAATGAAGCGTGCACATTAGTTGTATACACATAAAAATGAATAAGTATATATAATACATATAGTCGCAGCAAAGTGGAATCGAAAAAAGAAGGGATGAAGGTAAAAAAAAAGAAAGATCAATAAAAAAGCATCATAGCTTTTTCGTTATAAAATTATCTTACTCTACTAGTTATACATTTTTCTGAGTTAGATCCCATCGCAAAATACATACCACATCCAAACCTGCCATAAGAAACTTCGTTCATTTTTAAAAATATATGGTAGTTTTAAGAAAAAAAGTTGAAAAAATTTCAAAATATACCGATATTAAAAATCATAATTTTTTGAGGGATATTACCCATTTACAAAGAATGAGAAAAATGTTTTCAATTTTTTTGGGTAATATCTTCAACTGAGAGATCGGCCTGGCCTAGAGAGTAGAAAATCGTGTTTCAGCGCACAGGGTTGATTCCTAAGGCCCTAGCGATCTCTAGTACAAGCCGTTCGATCCATTATTGGCCTAGCCAGGAACCATCTATGTCTCCCTAATATGTGAAAGTGGGCCAACACCCTTTGTAGGATGTTATGTTCGGAATATAAAAGGATATTAAACTGATCATTATTATTTATTAAGAACAATATCTTCAACTAGATACGAATTATGATCTCTGAACGTATCATTGAAAGAAATCAGTCTGGTGAGAACTGAATAAAAGTGACGACAGTCATAAAAAAAACACATCATAGCTACATTATATTTATTTAATAAAATACCTTTTGATCAATATTTTAGAGTTTGGATTATGATTATTATGAAAGTGAGCTTACGATAAGAGAGGAAAAATTAAATGGTTACAAAACAGTTGTTGCAAGTAATGTCGTCAGATGGCTTATTTATTTTTCAATAGCTGTTTGTATTGCGGCTATTGGTATAATGATTGACATCATCATTGAATATTTATGCAATTGGAAATATCAATCAGTTCGTCGTTGTATTGATAAAGAAGATTCTTTAACAAGATGTATTATTAATTGGATATTTTTTACTATTGTTCCAACAACAATAGGAAGTTGCGTAGTTTTATTTATGGAGGTGGGAATATTTTCAATTTTTAAATAATAATTTAATTATTTTTTAAAGTAATATTTAAATTTAATTCAAATAATTTATTTCCTAAATCACATATTACGTTTTCCATGAGTCTATGTGATTTTTATTAACTATTTTTTATACTTATTAATTTTTATAGTGAAATTTACATGACGATATAATAAAAAGACTATGTAAGTTGTTTTATTGCATCGTTGTTTAATAATTAAATACAAAATGCATTATCTGATGTATAGGTGTTAGTATGGGTAAGAACATGTAGGATATAATTAAAATAAGTATGGTGAAGAAATTTTTTGGAGGAATATTAAAATAGTTCTTATGCATTTCTAATAATAAAACTTTGAGAACGCCATTCATCTGATGTCAAGATTTTTTATTCAAAATAACCTTTAATTTAAATTACATTTAATTTAGATGCGTAGCTAAAAAGATATCTTATCCTCATACTTAATAGATAGGTCAGTTTAACCTCCATCCATATATATATACATACATATTTTTATTATTAAACTCAAATTGTAGTAAAAGTTAAAAAATTTAGTAATTTAATATAGAATTATGATATAAATAAGTTTAATAGAGTGGAATCACCAATCAATAACAAATTATTTTATATAATTTCACTCTAATTTAACCTCATTGAATTATAAGAAAAATACATAAATGTAAAATAAATTCATGATTTTAGCCCTCAACCGCGGGAAGTGGAATACCATTTGTAATAGCATACTTAAATGGTATACGAATTTCAAGAATGACCGCAGTACGTTGCTTATTAGTAAAAATCATTAGTGTGATATGCGTTTGTGTAGCAGGTCTAGGGGGAGGAAAGGTTTATAAAGTAATTTTAATATAACAAAGGTCGAAATTAATGAAATATTTTTTTGCTCAGGAAGGTCCGTTGATAAATATTGGAGCGATGGTTGGAGGTTCGGTTGTAGAAGCCTGGTGGAAAGGATTTAAAAAAATGTCAGGTGAAAAAATTATTGGACCCCTCCAAAACGACAGAGAAAGAAGAGATATGATGGCGGCAGGAGCAGCAGCAGGGTTATCGGCAGCATTTGGCTCTCCTGTTGGTATACGAAATTTTACTTTATTTTATTTGTTAATATTATATTTTAGTAATACTACATTTTTAAGAAAAGGTTAAAACATGGTATAGCATTATTCACACGATTACACTTTTAGCCAGTTCATATATATAGCGTAACCATAGTTTTTTTACAGTGGAGTCATTATTTTTAGTTGACTTTTTTTTTGTTCATGAAATAATTTTCTTCAAAAAAAAAAGTCATCAAAATTGATGACTAAAAAAATTCAAACATCGCAAATTATTTCAGGATATGGANTTCATATATATAGCGTAACCATAGTTTTTTTACAGTGGAGTCATTATTTTTAGTTGACTTTTTTTTTGTTCATCAAATAATTTTCTTCAAAAAAAAAAGTCATCAAAATTGATGACTAAAAAAATTCAAACATCGCAAATTATTTCAGGATATGGAGGTACTACCCTCTAAGCACCTAGATACGCCACTGCCATTAAAACAATTTGTATGAAGTTATGGCAACTAAGTCATCATACATAACCACTTTCTAAATGTTTTTGGGGAAAATGGGAAGAAATAAAACAATGTCTTAGATAAATAAAAATGTTTAAAATACCCCGTATGACCCATGCAAATTTTCAAATTTTTGGTGTTTAAAAAACAATTAAAACACTATTTATACACTACGTGTTTAAAACGTAACAACTCTGCTCATAACCAGATCTATCATCCCAACTTATAAAACAGAGCACCTATAGAACTTCAATTCCACAGATAAATTTATAGTATTTATTTAAATTACTAGGTGGAACATTAATGAGTTTAGAAGAGGGCACGAGCTTTTGGAGCTCGAGTTTGATGTGGAAAGTGTTTTTTTGTGCTGCCGTAGCTTTTCCAACATGCAATGCTGGAAAAAAATTATTATTGGATAATAACATAAGTAAGTCCACATGTTTATTATAATTTAATCATAAGTGCAATTTTCTATTAAAAATTTCACGTGTTACATTAAATTACAATTATGTAAAATAAAATCAAAAATGTCTTTAATTCTTTTTTTTAAAGTAATAGAATTGTGATAAATAAAATTAATTAATTAAAAAAAATGAACAATTTTACTATTGGAAATAATAATTTATAAAACTAATGAACTGCTTTATATTTAGCGATAAATAACCTCCATACAATCCCCTTCCACCTTGGTGCCTATAAATATAAAAATATAATAAATACTGCAAGTATGATTTGAAAGTTGTAAGTTTCTCTTATAAATAACCTTTTAGTAGAAATGTTAAATGTGCATAAACTCATATTGTAGTTCTAAATATTACGTTCTTGTATGTTGAATAATGAAAAACTTAAATCAAATTGCTAATATTTGTATAAAAAGTTCAAGTACTATAATATAATAAAAAAATATTTATTAAGAATCAAATATTTAAATGGTATATCAAGTTAAAATGCAATAAATCGAGGTAGAAACTTTTTATACCTATGAGTTGGAAATTAAAAAATAAAATTTATAATTTTAAATAAATGTTGTTTTGAAAGTAATAGATATATGTATACATTATTTTTAGATATTACAGAATCACTTTATAGTCAAAGTTCATACTTTTTTGGTAATTTTAATGAAACAACTCTAACATTTTCTTATTCTGAATTTCCTATTTTTATCGCATTTGGAACTTTTGGTGGAATTCTTGGATCGTTATTTGTTACAATTAATAATCGATTATCCATTTACAGAATGAAGTTAGTCATTAAGTATTATTAAAATTGTAACACATAATATTGTTCTAAAAAAAAACTAATTATTTCTAGACATATTGTATCAAACAGGAAAAAACTACTTGAATGTATACTTACTACAATTGTTGCGTCTGTTGTCAGTTTCTTATCTATTACGATATTAAACTGTCATCCAAAAACAGAAAAAAGCGTATCACGTGTAGTACAAGTAACTATGATTATTCTCGCCATATGAAATAACCTAAAATTTGTTCAACGTTTCAAGGCTAGTCATCTTTCATGAAATTATATATTTCATCTTTGACGTTAATTACGTTAAATGTCCTTTTCAATAAATAAGCATTATTTAAAACACATAAGGATTCTAAGCAAAATACTTAGTATTTTCCTATATAGTTATATAGGAAAATATAACTATAACTATAGTTATATAGTTATATATATAGTTTAATAGTTTTTCCTACAATCTTTCCTAGAACCTCAAATCTACACATTTAGTATAATTAATTTAAAATAAAAAAAAGTGAAGTATCTTTTATAGATCTATTTTGTTTAATTTTCTTGATACTTTTTAATGGTTTACAAATGTTTGAAACATCATTAATTGAATAATTAGAATAGGAATTTGTAGAAATCGTTACTGTTAAATAGTTTTTAATTAACTTAAAAGTCGTTGGAAATTTTTTTTTTCAACATTTATAACACAATTTTTAAATTATACCTACATATACAACTTTGAATTTTATTTCATTCTGGCCAATGACCCAATCAAAACGAATTTTAACTTTATGTTAGGTTTGTTATAGATGAATTGTCCAGTAGGAACTTATAATGAAATAAGTCCATTTTGGCTTCATACACAAGAAGAAAATGTAAGAATATTATTTCATAGTCAAATCGGTGAGTAAAAATGATGTTTTCTGGTTATTATGTTGCGACGATGTAAAATAATTTAAACAATAAGGAATTCAACAAAAAATATTATCTTGTTGAAAAAAGAAAAATATGTTTAATAATTATAACTGATATTTAAAAATACAACTTTAGCTTACGTGTCGGTATAAATGGATCGGCACAACTGACTAATGCAATAATAAAATACATCGGGTTGGTAAACATACATTTACAATTACAGATAAATACATAAAATATAAATTCACAATAAATTTTGAAATAACACAATAATTTGTTCATAGTCGCCACAGTACTCCCCTTCCTAATGAAAAGTTAACGATAATAATTGTTTGGAAAACGGACCACTCGTCCAGAATAAATAATTCTTCATTCTGGACGAGTGAGAAATTGTTTTGGTTCAAAAATTATAATTTTTTGCTCATCCGTTACATTTAGTGTTGTTTACTGGGACTGTTGAATGTTGTCTTCATCAATTGATAGATTTATTAAAGAACATGGTTTTACTCTATCTATTGAAACATAAACTATATTTCTTCCGATCTCCAATTTGAAATTTTTGCTGTTTGTGATATTACTCTAAAGGGTCCATCTTAAGAAGGTTAACATGGTTCGGCACAACTGACTAATGCAATAATAAAATACGGCGAGTAGATACACATGTATTCACAATTACAGATAACAGATAGACATAATATGTACATTGTATATTCACGACGAACATCAAAATAACACAATAATTTTTACATTACATTTTTACATACAATGATATCATTTTAGTATACAAAAAAATATTAGTGATTATTAATTTTTTTTTTATGTAATATTTTTTTAGCGTTTTTACTCAAGTTTTGTCTGTAAATTAATTTATTATATAAATAATTATAATTTTACTTTAGATTTAAGCCCACTCTATCAGTATTTCTAACCAATACTAAACAATTAGAAAAACAATGATATTGATGAATACTAGAGTACTCTTGATTAATTAACAATACCATAAAAACTGAAAAACACTGTAAAAAATGTTTAAATTGCATAGCATTATTTTTATAAAATGAGTACTATTATTAAACTAATTAAATAGTAGTCTATTATTAAAAATGTATGAAACATTTTTGTTTACCTTACTCTAAGACAGGCATAAATTTGCAAGAAACTTAAATGTTTTAATTTATGATGAAAATACTGACAAAAAATAAAAAATTAAACAATGATACACTAAAATTATTATTTTGGTTGAGATGCTTAGGTTACATTAATGTATATTACAACTACATATGAATTTTTTAATAAAAATTAATTTTTTTAGACGAATTTTCGGTAACATCATTATTTTTTTATTCCATAATATATTTTTTATTAACGGTTTATACTGTTGGCTTAAACATGTCTGCTGGATTATTTTTACCTTTGTTATTGATTGGTGCTGCTTGGGGACGTATAGCTGGCATAGTTATTCACTATTATGTACCAGATGTTGTAAGTAATAATTTATAATCATATTTAAAATTAATAGAACTCTTACATTTACTAATTATAAATAAAATGTGATTGACCTAAAGAAAGTAAAAAAAAAAAACTGAATATTTCAATGATTGAAAACCTTTTTAAGTATCGAGAATGAAATTATATAACTGTTTTACCAAAATTAAGTATATTTAAATAAGCAATAACTATTCAAATAAATAACATTCATTTACACTGTAGTTATTTTTATTGTACAAAAATATTACTATTTGGAGTTGCTTATTTCTTTCTTCAAAATTTTGAGCAAATCAAATATTAATATTTACGCTTTTTAAATAATATTAAGATTTAAAAATTACTTCATGCATTGGATTATTTTATGGGTATATCTGTTTAGAAATAATTAATGTAATTCGAATTTACGTGTCAGTTAAAATCTTAAATACATATCTTTATCATATTTATTAAATAATGTTGGAAATTTATCTTTAAACTTAAAAATCTAATTTATTAATATATACTTTAATCATGAATATTTGCTTGATCTAGTTCTCTGTTAATTTTCATTTTTATTTAAATACTAGTATAATGTAATATTAACACAAAAATGTTTTTTATACGTATTTCATGTGTTAAAATAAGCCTTTTTAGTAATTTTTTTAAAATTATCAAAGTTACAAAATTAATTATATAAAAATGTTTTATCAAAATATTTTTAAGGTTGGACTTAACCCAGCAAAGTATGCATTACTTGGCGCTGCAGCTACTTTAAGTGGCGTTGCAAGAATAACAATTAGTTTAACTGTAGTTCTAATAGAAGCTACTGGAAATTTACAGTTTTTGATTCCATTAATGATTACATTATTTTCAGCTAAATGGACTGGTGATTATTTCAGCGAAGTAAGTCTATTAAATTATCATAAATATTCCGCATAAAAAAATTGTCAACTAACAAAAGCTAAACTTCTCGAGATTTATTCAATAGAGAAGAGGCTAATACCGAACTTTTTTTTTTATGACGATATTTTAATTAAAATATAATTATAACACAGCTAACGGAGAGACTCTTTTAGATCCGAGATACGCCATGGCTACATTTAACTTTGTTTATGACAGAAAATTTAATAAATAGATGTTTTACGTAAATAGTCCATGTTACTGACAAATAATAATTTTATTAGGGTATTTATGAAATGCAAATGAAATTATCGGGTTTTCCGATGTTGGTTAGCGAGCCTCCACCTATAACTGGAGACATAACAGCAGAAGACTTCATGAATAATAAAATTATAGCAATACCACAAATAATTATGATTGGTACTTTAATTGACATATTGAACACTTCTAAGCATAATGGATTCCCAGTTGTAACTCCCAATATATGTTTCTGCAACCGAGTGAGTATAAGAAAAATTATATTAAGATTTGCTTAAATTTCAGTTTAATGCTTAAATTATTATTTTCATAAGGTCAATGCAAGAGAACATAAATGTTATGGACTTCTTAAAGGGTTAATTTTACGTTCTCAGTTGAATGTTATTCTGAAAAACAATTTATACTTAACTCCATTACACGATGAAAATTATTGTAAAAAATTAGAATTAATCAGAAAATACACATATAAATGCCATAAATCTGATCCTTTCCAAGTAATCTATTTAAATTAAATGTAGATCTTAAATATAAAAAAATATTCAAAATTTAAAATAAATTTTAAATAAAAATGTATTTTTATGTCGTATTAAATTTAATTAAATACATTACAATACAATATAATTTGAATTAATTTTGTAGAAAATAAATATTGAAGATAATGAAAGAAGCATAGTTATTGATTTACGGCCTTATATGAATGTGGCGCCTTACATCATTAGACTGGTAAGGAATTGTTTTGAAATTTTATTGAAAAAATATCATCAATTTATAAACCAAACTGGAATTTATTTATTTATAATTTACCATGCAATAATTTCAAGTCTTTCAATACTATTTATTTAAAAAAATATGAATTTGTCAATGAGAACTTTTTCATTTATTATAAAATGTTTTTTCTTAACAATAATTTTGATTATATTAAGGGAAAATTTAACTTGAAAAAGATTAAATATAATAATTTTATGCAAAACATAATAAATTAGCTTTGTGAAAAATAAGATAAGATCGTTTTTTTAATTTTTCAGGAAGCTAAAAGAATTAGTCATTTTTAAAATATATCATTACCTACCAGTAAATTAAAAAAATTCTATTTTATTCAAATAATTTAATGTAACTACTTTTTTCTTGGATAAATGTATTTGTCGTTGTGATCATAATTTAGAACATCAAAATGTGATTTAAAAAAGAAATGGAGTTACCTTGTTTTTGTACAGAGCACTTCAATTATTATGTTTTAAACAATTCTGTATACAGAATAGAACGGATCTAACTGACAACTCATATAACTTATGATCTACATAACATTTTATGATTTTTTGTTTTAATAAATTTTTACAATATAGAACTATGTTTAAAATATGTTTTATGTTATTTTTCCCAATTACAAAAAATATTTTAAAAATTAATTATTTTATTAAAATTTTTTTTAAGATTTTAAGATAGCCATTTTATAGAAAAGTTTTTAAAAAAAATGTTGATATCAAAAACTCTTTTTTTAATTCAGTAGTTACGTTCACACAGCATTTTGATTTTTTTAGCAATTTTCCTGTGGTATCAAATGTTAGTCCATATTATGTAAAGTACAGAAGTTAACGCTTATTACATTATTTACTAATAACGGTACGCGATTTCTTTTCCATGAATATTATTAACATTTGAATAAGCATTTGTAATTGACATGAAAAAACAATTAGTAGTATAATTTATATTATTAAAAAAAATTATAGAAACATTGTCTAAAACATGTTGAATTTTTAATTAAATAAGTTCATATATCATAAATTGAAACGTGAATAATAGTAAATAAGTGCATTTATTATCAAATCTCCTAACAAGGAATATCCTATAATAATATGAATACAATGATAGAATTACACAAATTAATAATTGTTATCACTTTTCACTTAGTTAACCATAGAACACTCGTAGTTGACATACCATAATATTTCTAACTTTTGTGATAAAAATTAGAGATAATCATTTCTGTATAAATCGCGTTAAACGTTATTATCCATGGAAAAGAAATCGCGTACTGTTACCAGTAAATAATGTAATAAGTGTTAACTTTTGTACTTTACATAATATGGACTAACATTTGATACCATAGGAAAATTGTATAAAAAATCAAAATTTAACATATTTCAAAATGCTGTATGAACGTAACTACTGAATTAAAATAAGAGTTTTTGGTATTAAATTTTTTCTTTAATACTTATCTATAAAATGGCTATATTAAAATCTCAAAAAAAATTTTAATAAAAAAATTAATTTTTAAAATATTTTTTGTAATTGCGGAAAATAACATAAAGCGTATATTAAATGTAGTTCTATATTGTAAAAATTTATTAAAAAAAAAAAATTATAAAATGTTAGGTAGATCATAAGTTATATGAGTTGTCATTTAGATCCGTTCCACATGTATAATTAAATTATTTCAGGTATTTTTAAAAAATATTTTAATATTTTTTAATGTTTCGACATTTGAAAAAAAAATTTTTTTTATTAAGTTAAGTTTCAACTATTCTCTTTCCTTAAATTAGCAGAGGCGAGCTATTCACGAGTGCTTGAGGGACATGTCCTAGTTCTTTGAACTTAGTGAAATTTAAAATTAATAAGTTTTATTAACTTTACTTATAAAATTAAAATTGAAATAAAAACATAAATACAGTTTTTATGTTTAATACTTTTTATTAATATTTAAAAAATAAATTACGAGTAGTTTTAAAAAAAAATATAATAAATTAACAATAATTAATGATGACCATGACCATGATCATGATGTCCATGGTTGTAACCGCTGTTGCCACCAAGTCCCTGACCGTGTCCCTGACCGTGTCCATAACCTTGGCCATGTCCTTGACCATGACCATATCCTTGGCCATGTTCCTGACCATGACCATGACCTTGGCCATGTCCTTGACCATGACCATATCCTTGGCCATGTTCCTGACCATGACCTTGGTTGTAACCACTGTTGCCATGTCCTTGATTATTATAACCGTTTCCACCTAATCCATGTTGACCATGACCACCTTGGCTACCATGTCCTGATTGATGACCATAACCTCCTCTCGGGGTTTCGGAATCATCAGCGAATACTTGAAGAGCAACTAAGGCAACAACAAATACTACCAAAATCTAAAAATAAATTTCATAAAAGTTATATTTCAATTTATACATTTATTATAATTAAATCAGAATACTTTTGTCATACTATTTCATTAAGAATATTTTTATATTTTGTTGAGCTCAAATAATATATATGGCCTAAAAACATGCTTTAAATTATACTTTGATTAATTACTTTAAAAAACAAATAATCCATGTTATTATTTTATATAAATAAATGTTTAACAAAATAAAAGAAATTAATTTTAATATATTTATTTATGTTTAAAATTTAAAATTAAAGTACATTTATTTAAATATATTTTCGGTCAATTTTATTGTTAATTTTATGTATGCAATAAATAACAATAATTGTAATTTATAAACTTTTTTAATTAATAAATAGTAATTATTACTATTTCAAAAAGTAAACGATTACAACTCTGTGTATTTATTTCCGAATAAATTGTATGTATAAATTTTATAAATTTATATTCAATACTTGAAATTTAACTTTGATCAAATTTTATAATTATTTCATTAAAACATTTTAAAAATAAAAATAATTGGTAAACTAATATAAGTTTATAAAGGTAATATAAATATGACATTTTCACTTTTTTTTTATATAAAAAGCAATTTAATTATTTTTAATATTTATTTTTGAAAATGTTTTATCAGTTAAGTGAAAAAAGAGCAAAATTAAAATATAACTAATATTGATAATTTAATAAAATAATAACTATTTACCGATTTATATGAAGACATTTTTGTTAAATGTTGGTGTTTTTTAATGTTTCTTGATTCAACTCAAATTGAAGACTAATAATGGTCAGAGAATTTTAATGGTTTATATAGTGATCTTTTGCTTTCATCATATCGATAATATTTTGTAAATACTATCCAAATTAATTTCAGTGTGTTAACCTTCAATTCAACGTTATCAAATGTCGGAATCCCTAACCTGTATTTTAATTTTTCCCTCCTTAAAAAATAAAACCAGTTAATACATATTCGAAAGACATACATCGTTCACGTTGTTATTGTATTATTATGAATAATCACAATATAACGACCAGCAAAATGCAAATATTATCGCTATAAGCAAATAAACAACATTATTATACATAGACTTTGATAAAAGGCATATATTTTTTTTTGCTAAATCAAAAAAAAAGGTTGAATACAATGCAATACAACACAAATAATTAAGTAAGAATTTTATTTCCATTTGCATAGAATATAATTATTTCAATAATAAAAGACTTAAAGAAATTTTAGATACATAAAATTATTTTACCATCATATATCATACTATGCTGAATGTCCCACAATGTTCTAATATCAGCAATAACTTTTGATATAGCGAATGGTTTGCTTTACTTTTTTTATCAATTTTCACAGTTTGGATTATTAGAGTCATATTTTTCATTACATGTCTTTAATAAGAAAAAAAATTGATTTTTTAATTTTTCAAAATGTTTTTAGCCCTATTCTTACAAAAAATTTTGATAGGTCAATAACAATTTTTAGGATAAGTATATATTGAGATACAAACATTTTAATACATTAAGTAGGTACAGCTTGTGTTGATGTATATACTTATTATACATACGTACCTACTCTATGTATTAATATGACTGTAACTCAATAAGTACTTATCCTAAAAAATATTATCTATCCATCAGATTTTTTTGTAAGAAAATGATTATAGAATAGCTATTTTGAAATTTAGAACATTTTAAAAAATTTTAAAAAATTATTATATTTCTTATTAGAGACAAATAATAAAAAATATGCTTTTAACGTAATTCAAAAATATAAAAATTATTTTAAAAAAAGGAACATAAAATATTCACTGAATCAAAAGTTACACATTTTCTTAAAATAATAATCGAAAATTTTTTCCATTTAGTCTCAGTTGGCAATTTAAGTAAAAGACTTTTTTCACTTTTTAAATTTTTGAGATGAACCATAAATTGGCACACCACCAAAAAAATATTTTTAATTCCGGCTATAGGCTTAACATTATAAGAACTCAATAACGTAGCCATAACTTAATAAAAGGTAGGGCAAAATTAGGTCAGAATGGCAAAGTCTTATGTTGTTACAAATTTATAGCATTGTTCTTTTTTATTTTGCTCTTCAACTAGGACTTATGGGGGCGAGGCCTCTGTAGTCTACTCAATGCCGGCTTTAAGCCTTTAAACGGTCTATGGATGAATTATTTTGGAGCTCTATAAAAAAATATATAAACGTTTCTAAGTTATGAAAATGTAAATCGCATTTTCTTTGCTTGGGCGCCTTTTTTGTTTTGGCGCTTTGTACCCTCGTACGCCTCTATCATATCTTAAACCTGCTATATACCTACTCCCAACTACGTCTTTGCAATAACAATGTTTTAAATTTTGGCATTTCAATAAAAAATCTAATGAATGTAAATCACCTATCTTAAATTAAAATAAATACTAAAGAAATCAAACTGCTTTAAACAATTTTTTTAAATAATTATAAATAAAATATACAAATCTCTATTTCGTGGTTATTATATTCAGCGAATATAGAGTAATTTTTAAGAATAGTATGCTCCATTTTTTCGTTAAATAAAGATTTTCATAAAAATAATAAATTAAATTTTATAAATTATAATTAATATCAATTTTATTGCAACAATAATCTTTTTCTAAGGGTATATTTTTCTAAAGGTAACTTTCGAAATTTAAATAAGAACTATTTTATTATTTTTTTACCATTTAATGATGATAGTCTGTATAAAATTTTGACTGATTGATAAAAAGTTTTAAATTTGATAAGCTTTATTTGTTAAATTATTTACATTGCACAGTTTGACGCAATAATTAAACTATTGCCTAGAAAAAAAACTCAGATAAATTTTTTTGTTTTATAAAATAAAATAAAAAATGAGTCATAATTATATAATAAATCTCTTTTTAAACTTTAAAATAAATAAATAATGGGAATGCTGACAAGCATTTAAACCTGTTGGGAATCTTAAATATTACCTTATAAAGCAAAGAATTCCTATATCATAATATTTCACTGTAGCTAATAATTTTAATAAAGTATTTATGTTTTATATTTTTATTTAATTAACAATTTTAGAATATTTAGTTTGTGAACTTTTAACTTTTATAGATTAAAATAAATAAATTATGTGATTATCTTACTTGTTATCAAAAAACCAAATAACATTCAACTGTGGTGTTTTAATAAGCTAACCACTGTCTATACAATACAAAAACCCTCACCGATAGATTATTGAGAATAACTTACGTCATATTATATTACCAAATGTCGAATATTAAATATGCCTATATTGCAATCATTTATGATAATTAATTCGTGGTAAATAGTGAATATTTTAAATAATCAAATAATTACACAGCTCAACAAAATTTGGGTCATGAAATATAAAAATTTTGTTTTCAATAAGTTTTTTGATCCTAATTTCGAAAAGTTTTTCTTTACCATTAATATTTTAACTACAATTTAAAAATTTGTTAAAATTAATTATTAAAAAAAATTATTTGTAAAATTATTGTTTTGTCACATAAAATATGTACCCCTTTATAAATCTTAATAAACTTCTTAATTATGTTCATAGTATTATGATGATTTATTTGTAAGTTTATAAATGATTCCGTAAAGTCTCAGCTTTGAAATGAACTTTTAAGTTCAATATTACACCATTTTTAAAAATGATAAAATTGAACTTTTCCTTTTTTTTTATTAATGTTTATGTTGCTATTATTTATTATAATGAAAGAAATGGTATGAGGATTGAATAAATACTAAAGACTAAATTTTTATTTAAAATATCTAAACACTGTTAAATTATTATAAAAATATTTTATAATGAATCAAAAAATTACAGTTTTTACTTTCCCATTTAATAATTTCACCTTAGTATTCTACTATGAAAAATACATAGGTCTAAATATATTTTTTACCAGTTTTAGAACGTTATATAACTAAATTAAAAATAATAGTAGTTATTATGATTTTCTTTAATCATTAAATTTATTATTTAAACTTAATGCAATTATCAACTAAAAATGGCATAATAAACAATATTTTGGTAATTGTTGAAGCCTCATAACACTTTCTATTGATATAATAAATAATAACATATACATTAATAAAATCAAAAGAAAAGTTCAATTTTAACATTTTTAAAAATGCTGTAAAATTTAACTTTAATTAAAGTTAATTTTTATGAATGTGTCAAAGCTTTCATGGATTGTCTTGTTGCTTGAAGTGCTTGAGGATATATCCATGTTTGCACAAATAAAGTTAATTTATTATATTATTCATTTTAAAGTTTGTTTCATAACAAAGATGTTTGCAATTAAATATGATGTTACTATATGTAACATTTAATAACTAATTTTTATAAAAATTTCTATTTTCAAAATGTGTTATTTTGAGACTATTTCCTTCAAAGATGAATTATTTGTTTGATACCAAGATAGGTACTTTAGTTAAATATTATTACTAATAACAATTGTAATAGTTATTATAGGTAATTGAACTAGACTTTTTGTATGAAAAATATTCATTTCATGTCTTTTTTGATTTAATTGTCCCTACGCAGAAAAGCGGTCATTTTCTTATTAACAATTTTTATATGATTTCTATATGGAGAATTTAGACACTTTTACGAATCTGGATTTTGATTTTTTCTATTATATCTAGTTTTTAAAATATCAGCAATTAAGCGATATTCAAACTGTAAATATTTTTTAATTTTTCTAAAATTATCTCATGATGTTAATATAAGTTGTGCCAAATTTAAGTCTGTTTCATCAAGTTTAACCGATTTTTTAAGTGGAATTTGAGTGTCATTTTTCTTAATGAAATTAAAACATTAAAGTATAACTTTTTTGATTTATATTAAAATTATAAGACTTTAACCGACAAATACATAATTTTATGGACTTAAAAAAAATATTATTTTTTAGCATTATAAGTAAATATAAAGCGAAAAAGATGCTATAATTACAAAAATTATAGTAAGTTTTCGAAAATTCAAATAAATACTTGTTTTTATTCAGTATATTTTTTAAATAGTTATAGCAATTAAAAAAATATAAAATCAGAAATTTTAACACAAAAATAGCATGATTTTTAGATACGGATTCATTTGCACAAAAAAAATAAGTCGCCGAGATAATTTTTTTAACTTATAGTTTGTAACATAAGCTTTAATTAACATATATTTGAAGCTTGGAGAATTTACCGAAAATTTTTAAACGTTAAGTTGAATAAGTTAATTTTTCATGCAAAAGTAGGGGAATAATATTGAATCCCTCTCCAATGGACAGATTATGGGTCAGATTTTCAAACATTATATACATAAAGAAAACGAAATACCTAAGGTATTTATAAAGAAAATTTTTTTGATTTATTTATTAAAAAAAAAGTAATGATAGTTTTAAATAAAAACAGTTTAAAAATATCAAAATTTACCGATTTTAAAAATAGTAATTTATTGGAAATGCTCCCCGTTTATGGAGAACTGAAAATATGTTTCAACTTTTGGGGGTAAAGTCTTTAACAGTTATGATTTGTGATATTTTAACGTATCGTTGAAAGAAACCGCCTTATGATAGCTGAGAAAAAGTAATGATATACACAAAAAAAAATTTATATAAAGGGTGATTTTTTTATCATAACCCACTCAATTACTTACAGAATAATAATAATTTAAAAAATTTTTTTATTATTATCTTTAGTCACACATTATTCTTGAATTATTAACTATGTAATACTTTTTAAGTTAATCCCTTATGCCTGGTAAAGATGTCAACTTTGTTTTTTTTAATGGTAACACATATTTTTAATTTAATAAAATGTTTGAGTTTTTAATTCAATAGAAAATGGCATTTGAATTTTTAATGAAACTTAATTTGTTTATTAGATATAAACATTTAAAGTTTCAAATTTTTGAGTTAATATATAGGTATAATACACAAGGGATTACAAATACAGGTAGCTAATTGGCTTTTTATGACATCGATATTAGCAGGTACACAGCATTGTTATTATCAATGATAGTAAGGTACATTGTTGTGAGTTTATAAATACACTAACTGACAATACAAAAAGTATATCTATTGATAGTCATAATTGATAATAAACAATCCGTGACTGTGATAGCAATATCATAAAAAACCAATTAGCTACCTGTATTTGTAATCCCTTGTATATTATACCTATATATTAACTCAAAAATTTGAAACTTTAAATGTTTATATATAAGCACACGATGGTAAAATTAATTCCTTCTCAGCTTTATTTGGAAGCTAAAAGCTTTGATATAATTTTTAAGCCTCCATATTACTATTGTTAAGGATTGGATTTAATAAAAGAATGATTTCGTTGGCAAGGCATATGTTTGAAGTATTATTATTAAAAATTAGGTAATAATCCGTCAAGTTTTTAAAAGTGATTTCAATATAAAGTGAAAACTATAAATATTAACATTCTCTGTTTTATAACAACTGTAATTTTTTGGGGCATTTCTCTTTATTTCAGGGATTGAAAATAATTTTTCCAAATTATTGCACCGTTGACTTCAACTAGATAAGTTTTATAATCTTTTTCGTATCGTTGAGCAATATCGGTCCAGTAGGAACAAAGTAATTGTATATAGTGTCAAAAAATAAAAATAAATAATAGAGTAAAACCAATAAACATTGAAGCCAAAAAATGGACACCAGTTTGATTATCGTAATAGAAAAAATAAGTTATCTCTCCCTCCTAGAACAATACTTAAATATACTATGGTTAACCTAAGATATCGAAAAAACGGTAATACAGAAAAATTTATATTCTTTCATAATTAATGGTTCTTCAATAGTATTTGTTTTATATATTCTACAATCAAAACTCAATTTCGAAAATAACATTTTTCCTTCATTTGATATTTTAAATTTTATTTACTGATTTTTGTTTAGATTTGCTATATTGCTTGTGAAAGAAATTTTCGGTACTTTTATCTATTTTATTATAAAAAATATTCATTTAATATATATATACAGGGTGTTCAGTAAGTCAGGAAACGGGTTTCTATTGTTCTCATTGTTACAAACAATGAGAACAATAGAANAAAGTCATAGAAATTTGAAGCCAAAATAAACCCAACACAGTCGGAACGCTGAACAGTAAAATCTGGTAGCAATTAATATCAACAAAATAAAACGCTTCGTTATGATTGTACTTGAAGAAAGTTTTATTATTCTGACCTTCGTTAGTTAATAATTTCAGTACAAATTTTAATTTTAATTTATCATTAACTATTGATAGCTAAAGCATATTTCTTTGGAAGGGGTTGATTCCTTTCCTTTAATATTCTTATCTACAAAAACCTCCCTAAAGATTTATAATCAACAACACTTCAATCTTATTCATTTAAATTTTTTTATGGGTACTATTTTTTAAAAATATGGGTGCTTCATCCCTTCTTTCTACATAAGTATACTGTTTGTATTAAAGTATAAGCACTACCAGTTGTAAAAAACTATAACAGTACAAAATACAGATTTTTTATTCATAAAATATTTATTGTTTGGGAAGACAATTTTGTCATTTATTATAAATATATTTTTAGTAAAATAAATTAAGTTCCACTAAATATATACATTAAGGATCCAGAATTTCTGGAAAAGTTATGTTAAAAAGAATATATTTTTTATACGTATGTTTATGTTTTAAAATCTTCTGTATAAGTGAAGATAATCAGATTTAAAAAAGTAATGCATATCGGATAAAAGAAAAATGTACATTGGTCCATACATTTTTTAACTAGTTATAGCAATAATACGTTAACAATATGAAATTAAGAATTTAAACATATGTTTATAAGACGTAGTATTTTTAAAATATTTTCAACATTTTTGGAAAATTTTCTATATTTATAAAAAACGAAGGATTTTTTTCAATTATCAATGATAATGTCTTCATCTAAATAGAATTGGTGATCTATCTTTTAACGTATCATTAGGTAATATCGATTTAGTAAGAACTAAGATAAAGTGACGATAGACCCAAAAAAATAAATATACATCAGAGTAAAATTAATATCTGCTCAGCATTGCGTCGAAATTAAAAATGTTATTAAAGAGGACGTTAAAACAATTTTTGGGAAGCTAATAATCACTAAGCATCCTTTTCAAAGTTAAAAATATGATAATTTTCTAATGTAAATTACATTTTATTATAATTTAATTTTTATTAGTATTAATAAAAACTAAAACAAATAGTAAAACCACCATATGATCATAGAAAATCAGTCTGCTAACTGTTTTAAAAAAAACTGGTTTTTAGTTAATAGTGATGTTACTGTTTATTACATGATGCTAAATCTAACATAAAATTTATTCAAATAAAAAAAATACAAGATTATTCATCAATTTGTTCTAGGAAACAAGTTTACCAAGGACTTTTAGATTATTTCGCACACTAGGTCTTCGACATATAGTAGTCATAAATAATACAAATGAAGTAAGTTAACAACTACTCTTACCACAAGTTTTAATTTTTATGTTTAAAAATATTCTATATATATGTTTATAAAATGTGAATATATTAAAACATTGTAATTATTGTATATAAATTATATTATAATAGTTAATGTATGTAGGTAATAACCTTGATGTGTTGGTAAAATCTTATTATTGCGTAAAATTTTACTCCGTAAAAAGCTCTGTATAAGCTTATTCTACGTTTCCCTACATAGAAATGTATACTGACATTTTTTTGAGATTTATGATTTAATAGAGCCTGAATTTTATAAATATAATTATGATAATTTTCATTAAATATTGAGAAATTGGACTGTTATTTACCCCGTAAACCTATTTTCCCCACACACTTAAAAAAAGTAATTTTAAGAAAAAATTCCTAATAAGCACGTATATAGGAATTTAGTATCAAAAGCAAAAAAAAAAATTCTGTTCCCTATAATTACCTACATGCTAATTTTTCATTGAATAATATTCTCTTATTATTATATGAACTTATTATTCAGTGTGTCACTAAAAAAATAAGTTCACATAACACCAGAATTTTTTTAAGCGGAGAAAAATTGATATTTTGTAAATATTGTATGATTTTTTAATTTCTTTAAAAATAATGATTTATATAGCTCTAAAAAGTTATGCATGACTAAAAATAAAATCATCCTTGTTTGCGTTGCTGTTTGTTATTCATTATAGTATATAAAATATGAATGATAAAAGTAACTTCACAAAATATTACCTTTATCTACCTTTATCGCCTCTAATTATGGACCTTAATCCAAAAATAATTTAAGCAATTCTCATCTATAATCGATATTATTATAGATATAATTATCTATATTTATATAGGTTGCTATTAAATGAACAACAATTTAAATTTTTTTCATGTTTTAAAATAAAATATTCTAAAAATATTTGTTGTATTTATTTACACTATTAACCATATGATCTAGATCAGTGTTTCTCAATTTTTTGCTGTAGTGACCCTCTATTAGATATTCATTTTATATTTATAGTGTTGATGTAACTCATAGATTAACAGGTCCAATTAATAATATATAGATTTGCCGGTTAATACACGATGATTTAAATTATATTTATAACATCATATATGCCTAGCCTTCATTATTGATCAGAAGAATAAAAGCAAATTAAGAAATTATACTTTCAGAATCGTATAAATAATTTTTTTATAAAAACCGTACAATTTTTTATAGATTCTATATAAAACACAGTGTTTAAATATGGGGTTTTAATAAAAATTTAAACATTAGGAACTTATTAACATCGATACCTCATTATTATAGAGAAATATTTTTTAACAAGTTTTTTTTATTAAATACTTTAGTGGTAGTAACGTGAGAGCAGTGGTATCATTTCAGTATATTTAGAAGGTGCTATCTTTTTAGTGAAACACCTTGCTATATTTTTGGGTCACTTTACGATGATACTAGTTTTTTAACAGAAAAAATGATTGTCAAAAATTATTTTCAACTTTTATGTTGATGGAAGTAAAAATAAACAAATAAAGTTTATTTATTTTCTTTAAAATTATATTATTTAAAACATTTTTAATGTTTATCTAAAAATTCAAAGTAAATTATATAATAAAAAAGTTGTCGTTAATAATCACAAATGTTATGCGCAATATTTATTTGTAAATTAATACAGCAAAAATAATATATTTATAACATATTATTAATAAAAGTAAAAAATAAAAATATAATTAATAAAACATTAAAATTAAAGAATATTTACAATTTTTCATTTTAGCAAACACATCCTCAGATTTAATTAAATTAATATTATTTGGTAAATGTTTTTAAAATTGTATTATTTAATTTACCTAATTTTTTTTTAAATTTTTCATCAATAATATTACAGTTTGTAATTTATAATTTTAATATTTAAATTTATTTAAAAGATAACGTTTTATAATATGTTTATTTCATCATCAAATATTTTATTTATTAATTATCTAATTAGAAATTCAAGAAAATGAATAGCCACTAACAATTTTTTATTTATTTATTTTTTAAGTCAGGCGTAGTCCTTTTTGTTTATTATTCAACTATATTTCATAACTTTTTATTTTAGTTAAAATAATTTTTTACCATGTAATCCTTTTTTTAAACAATCAATTATTTTCATGCCTACATTTATACAAATTTAATTTCAATGATTAAATACTTTGATTACTATGTAAATACTAGTGATAACCATAGACCTTATACTCAAGGTATAAGGTCTATGGTGATAACAGCATGTACTGATTAACAAGACTTGTTAATTTCATATGGATAATACTGATATTACAGGTCCAGCTGCTTTTTGTGATCACTAAGTAACTAGATTTTTTCATATTTTACATATTAAACAAAGACTAAAACATACTATTAAAAATATGTCTGTTTAAAACTTGTTTGTGTGTTACCATTGGTAACACAAATAAATAAATGTTGGTAATTTATAAAGGTAATTTATCAACAAAATACAATACATTTACCACTGAAACTATCAGATACCCTCCTAATATTTTAGCACTGTGTTTTATTTTAGTGGGATACTAAAAAATTCAGAGGGTGAGAAAGGAAATTTTTTTTTATGATGTGAAAACTATTTTTTATTGTGATTTTAAGACAATTTTTTCCTTTTACTTTTTTTTCAAAAAACGCAGCCCTGTCAAATTAAAAAATTTTTTCATTTCCCAAAAGTATGGTTTTGTTTATTTTAGAAAAAACTTTTAAATCTGTCTAATTTTGATAAAACTGAGTTTTTTAAAAAAAGTAAAAGAATAAAACAGTCTTCAAATCACCAAAAAAAATTCTGCACCCTAAAAAATATATTTTTTTACTCACCCCATTATTGGGGGTATTTTACAAAAAAATGGGTCCTTAAAAAATGTTCTCTTAATAATAAAGTATTTGATGTTCATAAATTCACCTTAATTCATGATGTTCACAACATACCCAACACCGTTAAAGATATTCCAATTAAATTGAGATTGTCTTAAAAAAAACTCTTATACGTGTCACATTTTTTTGGATAAATTTACTTATAACAATTTTTAATGGAGTTAATAAAATATTTTATGAAAGTAAAAAAATATAGTAAAATTAAATTAAGTAATCCAAGTTCAATAATACGAAGAATTTCTTACAGGAGACCGAAAATTAGATTGATTTTAATTCAGTTAGCTTATACAGGGCCATATTGTTAACTAGGAACTAGGAGGCACTGTGCCTAAGGTTTACGAAAAATAGATAGTTTATGAAACATATTTTTCAGTCTCAGGGCCTATAAATAGTTTAATCTGGTTTTGACTGACCTTCTTTAAAAATCCCAATAGTTTATTGCTCTCATTCAGCCAAACGTAATTAATATAAAGTTTTGCTTAACAATTCTTAATCGCAGCTACAATTTACAAACATTTTCATTTAATATTTATACTATACATGTTTAATTATGTTTTATACAGAAAAAAATAACCAATTTTTTTATAAAAGAATTGTAATTTTTTTAAGGTAGTAGGCATGGTAACACGTAAAGACTTAGCAAGATTTCGCCTTTGGAGAAAAGCCGCCACAATGGGTTTAAAGGAAATTAATGTATATTAAAATATAATTAATTGTTACATAAAATATTATATAATATTATTTAATATATACTTTTGAGAGATAATCATTTTTGAAGAGTTTTGAAATTATGCATGTTGCTTTTAAAAACTCAGCGCCACTTTTAATAACATAATCTGGATTATACAAATAATTTTTTACTCAATGCTTTTTTTTTTTTAAGTTACATTTTTTCGAGTGAAGAGAGGCGATAAATTATAGTGCCCCTGGGAGTTGTTGGCTACTCTGTAAACGCCTGCAAATATCGCCATATTATTGAGTCTTATCGTTGGATAAAGAACCGAACTTCGACTTGCGGTACCTACATTGCATTATCTTTAAAATCTTACACAGATTTTAGAAGGTTATAATTTGATTCATACTAAATTGAACTGACACACTTTGTCCGACCTTATTTTCCACAATATATTTGTACATTGGATTATTCTTGATAATAAATTTATACACATGAATGCCTTGATTACGATTTTTTAAATTAATAATAATATAAGAACCATAGCATAAAATCATTTCCAAAGTGTTATGATTATACCGTTATAACTACCAAAAAACGATTAGAATCGTAAAATGCAAAAAAAAATGTGTAACAATCAACAACAAATGTATGACTACGACAAAAAACACTTTAATGAAATAAAACAAAAATCAAAACAGCAAACATAACTAAAAACAAAAGAATGATAACATATTGATTATTTGTAAGAAATTATAAGATACAATGAATTTGAGGGAAATATAGTTATGAGCAAGTATTTCTCAACATAAACACTATGTGTTTTTTTTTAATGAAAAATAAATCATATTATACAAAAAAATATTTTTATACTACAAAAATTGAAGTAGACACTACAATAAATGCATTTATTGTATAATTTATAAATTTATTAATTGTTAATAATGGTGTATAATGTAAAATCCTCATAAATTAAGTATTAAAAAAAAGTGTTAAAATCTGAATTTACTTTGTTCTTTTGCTGGAAAGTACTCTTTTAAGCGTTCATTAATCTACAATCAATTATTAAAAATTCAGGTTTGGTAAGAAATTTTAGTATACTTAAAATCTAGAGCTCCCTATTTCCGCTTATAATTAACCTAAAAACTGAAGAGATGCGATGATAAACATTAAAGTAATCTTGTAGTAGTTTTTCTCAAGGGCGTGCAAAGGGAAGGGAGTATAGAGAAATCGAGACCACCGATAAAAATAATTACTTCGATTAAAAGGGTAGTAAACATTTTTCTTATAAACAACTTTTGTATAATAAACTATTATTTAAACTTTAAGACATTTGGATACTGATCTTTTATTAGGAGTCAAATATAATTTTTTTTTATAAACTACTAAATGGCTATTATTTAAACAATAAAGTTGTCTTTATAAATATATTTTACAATAATTGTATGTAACATAGTTTTATAACAATTAAAAAAGAACATACACGTGTAGAGTTACTCCTTCAGTAAGGAGGGTTCTTAATCTAATTTAAAACTAAGTATTTTTTTCTAAGTTTTGTGGTTTATGACATTTAAGATGTCTAATGTTTTCGAAATTAACCAAAAGTTAAATCACTGCTATATTAATGTGATTCATTAATTTCACCTCATGTTTGTGGACAAATCTCTTTATTTCTTCTACGACCGTAGGAAAAATCAAATCATTGTATATATTGTCATTAATATAATTTTAAGTTTTATTTGCAAACTTTTCAGGCGCAAATGATGCATCCGTTAAGACGTGAGTCTAGGTGTATTGCAATGTCAAATATAATGAATTTTATAATTTGTGTGTTACGCAGTGTCGTTGTCTGAAAAATGATTAGCATTTGTAATACAATAATATAAAAAGATAACGTAAATACCCTCTCGAGCATGTCAAATATAAGTAGTCTGATCAATTGTCAATTGACATAGTGCTGAATTAAAACCTGTTTTTAAAATTATCATCATATTAAGTCGGTTTTAATTAAAAAAGGTTGATACCCAAACGTCTTAAAATTTAAAATGCAAATGTTTGTATAAGTTTAAATAATAAATTATTATTTAAACTATTAACTAATTTTGAGGTAATTTTAAAATTGTTTTGTAAATAAAAAGAAGTTATTCTTGTATATGATAATAAATAAATTCCAAACTATAACAAAAATGAAGAATGAAAAATAAGATTAATACTAAAAATTATATGAAAAGTAGCAAAAATGTATAGTTTTTTTAATTAAAAAAGACAATGTTTTTGATTTAATTAAATTTTTTAATTAAAAGTATAATTTAATATAAAATGATTTCTTTGATAGCTATTTTATATAAATATTACAAGAAAAATGGCCCAGATAATTTGTCATTATACAATTAATTTTACCAACATAATTAGTTTAAAAAAAATGACTTTAAAAATTAGATAAAACTATGTTGAACAATAACATACAATCTAATAGAGTTCATACACATTCTATCCATTTGATGCGTTACTGATAAAAAATAAATTATGAGTTTTCACTGAAACGCTCCTTTTTTTATAATAGTATCACAGATAAGTTAAATTTATCTTATCTGTGATTGTCTAAAACGATTTTTATGATAGTGATTTTAATCATTAACAGATATCATCTATGCTTGACTCAACTATGCCGTAAACCACTATGCTGCTGTTTTTTTTTTAAGTTTTATTTTATTTTATTCAAAAACTCTTAGATAAACATATGCAAATCATAGTAAAATTAATAAACTTTCAGTTTCGCATCGAAGCTAAAAAGTAGGTCTTTCATGTTCAATAGTTAAATCACATAGACATCGAAAATATGTAATTATTTAAAGATGCTTCAACTTTCAATTACTGTCACAAAAAAAATTAATAAAAACATATTTTTCTTGAATGAAACCTATTGGTAACTTCTTCATGGAACCGACGACTAACATGTTCTTATCAATACAATTATTTTATTGCAGTATTTATCTGTTGGTTAAACTGTTTTAACGGCATCTTTCCATCATCGCCGCGGCATCCACACGTAATCAGAAACCTAACCTTAAACACGAAATGTTTTCGTATAACCAAGTTGAGAAGTGACGGTGCCCTCTTTCGATTCCTATTAATTAGGATTAGGATTCATTGTTTTTGTATCATCCCGGTATTCCTTCGAACAAATTTTACTCTTAAAAATGGCTAAGAAAAAAGATAATGAAAAACACGAAGATGGACAAAAGGGAAAGTATAATAAAGACGACGATTCTAATGATTTAGATAACTTGGTCGATGACATTACAGATGAAGGTATTGTTTTTAATTATTATTTTAATTTTAAGTATATCAAGTAATCTTTTATTTTTGCACTCAGAGTTGCTTGGAGATGTTTTACAAAAGAAACCAAAAGTATCTGATGGTGTTGATACAGTCATTATTGTTGATGGTGTACCTCAAGTTAACCCTGAACGTTTTGATAAACTGAAAGTAGTAATAACTAAAATTTTTGCTCAATTTGGTAAAATTACTAGTGATTTTTATCCTAAGTCAGAAAATGGTCATACTAAAGGGTAAGTTTATATTATTATATATTTATTTTTGAATGATTGTATAAATTGATGTTATTGTCTAGTTGTTCACTATTATTTTATTATTTAGATATATATTTATTGAGTATGAAAAACATGAAAGCGCTTTAGAAGCTGTCACCCAAGCTAATAACTATAAATTAGATAAACAGCACACATTTTTAATAAATCTGTTCTCTGATTTCAAGAAGTAAGTTTAAGTAAAATTAAAACTAGTTCATTTTTTGCAAATTTTACTTAATTTTTGCAGATATAATGATATACCAGAGAAATGGGAACCTCCTACTCCTCAACAATTCCCAGAAAGACCAAATTTGCAATATTTCTTAACGGAAAACGATTCATTTGACCAATATTATGTATATAATATAAATAACCTGATAGAAGTTTGGCTAAATAGTAATCCTCAACCCATAAAATTGGTAGAACGTGAAGTAACTATTATTTTTATTTGAAATGAACATTTATTTAAATTAATAAATATTTCAATTTAATAAAAAATTAATCCTCTAATTTTAGAAATGGACTGAATCATTAATAATGTGGTCACCTCTTGGTACTTATTTAGCAACACTACATAAGCAAGGTGTTGTTCTTTGGGGAGGACCAAATTTCACTAATGTTTTGAAGCTCTCTCATAAAAATGTTCAATTTATTGATTTTTCCCCATGTGAACAGTAAGTAATTTATTTAATTTTATATAATATTTTTTTGAAAAATGAATCTTTAATCATTTAGGTATCTAGTAGCCTATGCACCTTTAGATAATGATGAACAAAAACTGACTATTTTTGACATTCGTACTGGTGCTGAAAAACGATCATTTATTTCTGATACTCCTACTGGAGGTCCAGTCCCAATATTGAGATGGTCCAAAGATGATAAATATTTTGCTCGTATTGGGAATAACACTCTAAGTGTTTATGAAACACCTGTATGTTTAATTTATAAATTGTAGTTTTTACATATTATAAGTAATTTTTTTTTAGTCTTTTGGATTGTTAGACAAAAAAAGTATTACAGTTAATGGTATTAGAGATTTTAGTTGGTCACCTAGAGATAATGTACTAGCATACTGGGTGGCTGAAGACAAAGATGTTCCAGCTCGTGTAGTTCTATTAGAAATACCTAGGTAGGTTATTTTATCTACCCTTATTTTTCAGCTTATAAGTTTAAAATTTAATTTTTCATATAATATTCAAAATTATCCATTCTATATCATTTAAATATTTGAAATGAGTTAATAAGAAAGGTAACGAGAAAAATAAATTTACTCTTTTTCAGTCGCAAAGAAATCCGAGCAAATAATTTGTTCAATGTAGCAGACTGTAAAATTCATTGGCAAAAAGCTGGTGATTACCTATGTGTTAAAGTTGATCGTTATGCTAAAATAAAGAGGGAAAAGGGAGATGTTAAGTACAGTGTAAGTTTATTTCTAATTAAAATATTATTATATGTTTTTTATTTTAATTATATTTATTATTAGGGTATGTACTATAATTTTGAAATATTTCACATGAGAGAAAAAAATATACCAGTTGACAGTGTAGAAATTAAAGAACCAATCCATGCTTTTGCTTGGGAACCAATTGGTTCAAAATTTGCAATTATTCACGGGGAACCTAGTAATAATAATGTAAGCTTTTATAATGTTAAATCCGGTCAAGCCCCAGTATTACTAAGTAAGTAAAATAAATTAATCCATTTAAATTAAAGATAAATTTTACAAAAAAAAAAATCATCTTTTTGTAGAAAAATTAGACAAACATTTTTGTAGTCATTTGTTTTGGTCACCAACGGGTCAATATATTGTTATTGCTGAAATTCGCGATTCTGGTGCTCTGGAGTTTGTTGATACTGCTGATTTTACTACAATGTGTTCTACAGAACATTTTAAAGCTACTGATGTTGAATGGGATCCTACTGGTCGTTATGTAGCCACAGGAGTCAGCTCCTGGAAAACAAAAGTAATTTTGTTAATAAATAAATTTTTTTTCATAACTTTGCGGTTGCTAATGTACCTAGTGGTTTTTAAAAATAGATAATGAAATTATTGTACCTTTTAAAAAAATGATACTTTGTTCTTGTTAAAAATTATTGATCAGTTAATTATAACAATTAAATTTGAAATAATGTCTGAGTATTATAATGAACTTTAATTAATTAACTTGTAAAGTCAGTCTGTACTTGCCAAATTATTTATAGTTATTCAATTGCATAAAAATTAAATAAATATAAAAAAAAAAAATTTTTATAGGGGGATTCTGGATATTGGATTTGGTCATTCCAAGGTCGAATATTAAACAGATTTAACACAAACACATATTGTCATATGCAGTGGAGACCAAGACCACCGACGTTATTGAGTGCCAAGCAACAAAAAGATATTAAAAAAAGCTTGAAGAAGTATACTTCTCAATTTGAAACTAAAGATAAAATGAGAATGACTAAAGCTTCAAAAGTAATAACAGAAATTGAAAAATATAATTTTTTCTAATATATTACTTTAATAATCATCATATAATATGTACAATTTTAGGAAGTTATTGATAAACGGCGAAAATTGATTAAAGAATTTGAAGAATACCGTAGTAAACGTTTAGCTGACTGGGTTAAACAAAAAGCTGAAAGGATGGCAATAAGAAATCGTAAGTGTATTTGTAAATGTGTATGTACACATGAACAATATTGACAAATTTTACTAAATATATTGATAATATTTTAGATATTGATACTGATGAATTAACTTCTGACAGTAAAAATGTTGAAGAAGAAAAAGTTGAATTTTTAGTAAAAGAAGAAGTGACTGTAATTGAGTAAGCATTTTTGAATGTTTTCTTGTAATTAATTTCCACTGATTGTTTTTTGTTTACATTTTGGATAAACTAATAAATTTATATAATTAGTCATATTGTCTATACAGTAATGTCATGTAATATGACATTAATAAACCTTCAATTATTTATATTCTTTATTATTATTATTATGTTCTGTAAATTATCTTTCAATATAAATTTCAAATACAAAAGAAAAAATGTGTGATCTTCTTTATTATATTATCTTATTTAAACTTTTCTGTTTAGTTTTACTTATTTATGAAGTCTCCATTTAATTTCCTTTATATCTAGTTTTAGCTCCTAAGTATAAGAAAATTTGGTATCTTAAGTTAATGTTATGAAAGAGTGTATAATATTTAAAATTTCAAATGTATTTACCCTTGTTAAACTCTAATGTAACAATGATTGTAAAGTTTTTTCCCATTGGGTTGTGGTATCTTAATTTATTAAAATTATTTCCTAAAACTTCTATTTTTAACCATAAAATAAGTTTATTAACAACTATATTTATGTAAAAATAAGGTTTTCTTAACATTATTTTGATATTAATAGGACAATGTATTATGACATGCATACAATTATACAGTTCTCACAATATATGAATCTTTTACTAATTTAAGAAAAATGTATAGGTTACTGAAAATTTGTTAATTTTTTTAATTTAAACCGATATTTATTGACAGCAATATTGACAACAAAAAAAACATCCTATAAATATTTAAATAAAATATAAGCATCAAACGTTAACATTATATTACACACAATTATTTACATATATTAACAAAAAGTAATTTTTTTTACAGTTATATATCACAATAATTAAAGTAAAAGCTTAAATTATAAAAATTGTAATGTTTAATCATTTTAATGTAATATATATCAACTTATTTTTAAGTATATTTTAAAAAACTTATGTTTCATTTAATATATAAGTATTTTTCATAACATTGAGGTATTTATTTTAAACTAAAAATATAGTTAATATTTTTTCAATTAATAATTCTAGTAATATTATTAAAATTCATATTAATTATCAATATTATACAATTTTAGAATTTTAATGATACAATATAGGAAATGAAATTTACTAATAGATACAAGATAAATCACAATTTAAGTTAAATTTTAAAAATAAATTATAATCTATTTAAGAAATAATAACCAGTATTTGTTAAAATAATACTATTTAATTACTATTTGAAATAGTTTAGGAGGAAATCATAGTTTTCAAAGCTAATTAAATAAAAATGTACAGTCACTTTTATATGATCATTTAGTAATACTAATGTTATTTAACGGAATAATCATGTACTAATATATTGTCATTTCTTAGTGTATGCTTAGGCATATTAACTGTTGCTTCATCATAGGATGGAGGTGGTATTTCATTGCCTTCCTGTATATTGTTGCAATCCAACTGATCATATGCTGGAGGTAAAGTAATTTCACTTACTGTACGTATTGGCATAGTATACTGTTGTGACTCTGCTAATTGAGATTGTTGAGATCGTAAATCCTGTAATAGTAAATTTATAAAATAAAACTAAATAACTATAAATTAATTTAAATAATTTACCTCTATTTGTTGTCGAAGGACCATATCAATAACACGACGTCTGCGTAAATACAGTACATTTCTAATTCCTATCATAATAGCAGTACAAATACATAAAGGACCAAACATCCATAGATGACCCAAATTAGAAAAAACTGTATTTTCAAAAGTACCTAGTGAGAATATTGATATGATCGTACCTAATATAAATAAAAATACTGATATTAAAAAATAAGAATATGTAATACAGTCACAAGAGCTACACGGCCGACCCATATCTTCAGCTAGATGAACTCTTTCCCACATAAAATAGGCTTCCATTTTAGAAGCATTATATTCAGACGACACTCAGAATGAAGCACACAACAAAGACTAGTTTTTAAGTACACTACATTTCGACTATCATTAATATAGATAATATTTATCTATGGCTTAAATGTTTACTTATCAGTTTGTATATTTTTATTTTTATCATTTCATTATCACCAAATTTTTTATTTATATTATTAACACAAAAGTATTACGTTATTACCATGATTAGAAGCAAGGTAGATATAAAAAAAGCATTCATTATTAATTTTATTTCTATTAATTAATTTATAAACATAAATAAGTTATTTGAATTAACTTATTTCAAACATTTAATATAATGAAGTCAATAAAACCATAATTCATTAATTTTTAATAGGTTAAAAAAACAAATTTTAGCTTAGTGGTAATTAAAAATGTTTCGCTGGTCAGGTGTTCATGTTTAACTCTAATACTTTAATCTAAGAGTGAAAAAATGATGCAAGAAGTTTCTAGAGAAAAAGTTGAAAGAATTTTACCAAAGAATCGGTAAAAGTACAACACTATTAAAGTAGAGAAAACTCGACTTAATAAAATCAATTATTTAGGTTTGTGATAAGATCTGAGGTATTAATTAGAAATTTGATGACAACTTTTTAAATTTGTATTTTATTTTTTAATATTTAAATATTTAATTCTATTTTTGAAATAATTTCATAATTGATAAACTATTAAATACTTATGTTTATCTATCAAAATATTTTAAATAATGCAGCAATCCATAAAAACGCTTTCAAAATTATTACTTTTAAAATAAAATTCAGTTGTATTGTAAATCATTCTATGAGGAAGAGTTTTTTCTAAAATTATAAAATGAATTATACTTGGTGAACAATTAACAGTATTTTAGATCAAAGGTATTGAAATGGAATGGCTGGGGATATAAAGATTCAAAATTCTTTGTGACAAAAGAAGGAGTGATTCGTTTTACTGGTAATCGGTATGTCATAGTTTACTTAATCTATTTAAATACTTAATAAAATATAAATTATTACTTCAAATATGAAAAATTAACTGTTTTGGGTAAAATAACTGATCACTGTAGAGTTAATTATTTTGATCCCAACAGCAAATGCGATGAACAGATTATGTTAAATTCAAAGAGTTGAATGGACCTTACTTACAAAAGAGTCCCATAAAAATAAATAATTTTTTAATTGTAGTCAATTGTTAATAAAATAATTATTTATATGAAAAAATAAATACAAAGTATGAAGTTGACTTAAAATAGACTTCTGTATAATTATGACCTATGTAATATATGAGTTAATTTAAATAACCAAATTTATAAAATAATGTGTTAAAAATAAAAAACCTACTTAAAATATTTTATTGTTGTAAGAAAATCTGTTTTTCCCATTTATGAAATCATAATCCAAACTTCTATACATATAGGATAATTTGTATTGTTTCAAAAAGCTTTTATTAAACAATTTACATGGTTTATCAATACATGACTACTCTGTATATGACACGTCTTAAGTCTGAAATTGCCTTATATTTACATTAGAAATAACTATAATTTATCCAAATGTTGTTAATAGTATATTGTATTATTATTATAACATTATATTGAATTTAATAAGAATTTATTCATTTTAACAGCCTATAGTACTATTTTAGCAACATTTGTGTGTCATATGTAAACTTATAGATTGAAAAATAAGTTATTAGGCAAACATTATTTGTTGTTATTTCAATTTAAGTTAAATTCTACAATTCAAACAATAAAAATGATACGTTAATTCAGTAATGATTATTTTATCATAAACCACTTAATTAATCAAAAAATAACAATAATATTCTTTTAGCTCAATTTTTTCTGACTTTATCAATAATGAAGTAATTTTTATGATCGTATATCTTATAAAGATGTCAACATTATTTGTTCAAAAGGGAGCATACATAATTTACTATCTTCCTTATTAGATAATAATCCAATTAAGAAAATGACTTTTGAACCACTACTTCAGATATTAATAACAATTTAAAGTAATGGCTGGAAGTGAGATTAATGTGTAGCTATTTTTATCACAACACTTTGCCATCACTCCTCTTCATCCCTAGTTATATTAATGTTTATAACTTTTGAAATACTAGTTCAAAAGTTGTTATTAATCCATAATTTTTTTAATTAGATGATTTTATATTATTTTTATGCTAGTTAAATATATGATACAATTTAAAAACATAAATTTAACACTCTTATAAGTATGTAGAAATAAACATAAAAAGTGCTTACTGATTAATAATTGAGTAACCCATGGAACTAAAAGATACCAATGAAAAATTATCAATATTCATTTTATTTTTCGATTAAAAAAGAATTTAAACACTAAAATAAATTTTAGAAAAAAAATTAGATATTTAATAAATTTAATCATAAATTATTGCTACATTAAAATAATAATTAAGTTATTACTTAAAAATTTCTTGTGTAATAAAAACCATATATATTATATATTTATGTATATAATTGATATTTTTCAAACTACTTTAAACATTTTTAACAAAAAATAAAGTATTCATTTTTGAGTAAATATAGTTAAAAAATGATATAAAATATAAACATATTATGTTAATCAAATAATTTTTAATATTTTTGTATAACTATGATAATTTATTCTTTAGGTATCCTATTGGAGAGATAGACTTACCATTTTTCACTCAATGGGTTCAAAAAACATTAAACATTGATATCAGATCTAGAAATGTACCACAAAATATATTCAAGTCTAATGAAATTCCACATTGTTTTATACCCAATGGTATTTAGTAAAATATTTATTAATTACAAATTATACAATTTTAATAAAAAGTACAATAACAATTATTATGTAACTGTTTCCATAATTTGAATTATTTTTATTAAAGCAAAAAATGTCTATCTTATTATTAGCTCTTACTTTTTATTTAGAAAACTATTGGTAAAAGTTTAATCCAATAATATAGTAACAAAAATTAATATGTGTTTGAAAATACAAATTCACCATTAATATTTAAAAATTCATATTTGTAATGCTTAGTTAAATTATGTCATACAATAATAAATTTTATTATATTGATAAAATATAACTCTGTTTCATTCTGGATTTTGTATTAAAATATAATAACATGTATTAAATAAATTTATTTTATCAGCCATCAATGATCTTAAAATTAAGGCTTATAATTAATTAAAGAAATTAAATTACTTATGTACAATATAATACACAAATAAAATTATTTAATTAATTAATAATTCTAAAAAAAATTAACTGTTTAGTTTTATTTTTTTAGATTTTCTTGTTGCTTTAAAAAATACAAAAATGGATTTTACAACTGATGGTCCTGCTAGAATCTGTCGATCCCATGGCCAAACCCTTTATGATATATATACATTGAGATATGATAAATGTTTTCCTCGTATTTCAGATATTGTTGTATGGCCAAGTGAGTATCTATAATTTTTTTGTTACTATTATTGAATATCTATTTATATTTATAAACTGCTTTCTCTCCTTTTTACTACAACTAACTTATACAAGAGGACATTTAACTTAAATATCATTAATCAATTATTGGATATTAACCTTTTTTAAGTGAACCATGAAAATGTCATCACCTTAGTAGAATTAGCTAATAATTATAATGTTGCTTTAATACCATATGGAGGAGGTACTAGCGTATCTGGAGCAGTAACATTACCTAAATATGAAAAACGGTGTATAGTTAGTGTTGATACTTCACAAATGGTAATTATTGATTACAATATGGTTAACAAAACATTTTATGAAAATAATAAAATACTTACATAATTATAGAACAAATTATTATGGTTAGATGAATCAAATTTAATTGCTTGTTTTGAAGCTGGTATTGTTGGTCAAGATTTGGAACGAGAACTTAAAAAACTAGGTTTTACATGTGGACATGAACCAGATTCATATGAATTTTCTAGGTATAATCACATAATACCCTGAATGTAGCTTGTATAGCAAAATTATGTAGTAAGTTCTTTTTCTTTGTTATTATTTTTAGTTACTGTAAGTATTTTTTCATTGTTAATCGTTTTTATTTATTTTATAGTTCTGTTAGACAAAGTACATGAATTTTAAAAATATTATTTTCAAAATACTGATATTAAGAAAGAATTTTTATTTATTTATTATTTTTTAGCTTATTTTTAATTTTTAGATTTAATTTTATTTAAAAAAAAAATTTTCAAAATATATTATATTATCAAAATATTTTGTTAAAAAATTGATGACTTGATTATTTTACAAGTTTAGTTTAGGTGGTTGGGTAGCTACTCGAGCTTCAGGGATGAAAAAAAATGTTTACGGCAATATTGAAGATTTAGTAGTTGATGTAAAAATGGTTACATCTGAAGGTGTTATGGAAAAAAATAGCAAGGTTCCTAGAATGTCATGTGGGCCTGATTTTCAACATATTATTTTAGGATCAGAAGGTAATTAATTTTATTATTTTCAATTTAATTAACTTATCTTTTTATTTGAAACAGGAACATTAGGAATAATTACAGAGGTAAAATTAAAAATTCGACCATTACCTAAATGTATCAGTTATGAATCAGTCATTTTTCCTGATTATGATTCAGGAGTCAAGTGTATGAGAGAAGTAGCAAAACAAGTAAGCATTGAAATTTAACTATGTAAATGAAATTCATCTAATATCAATTGGATTATTTATATGTTAATTATTATAACTTTGAATTAGCTTTGTCTATTAATTTAATATGTTAATAACTAAGTTATATTATCAAATAGAGTATGTATATTAAAAAAAAAATTATAATTCATTTTATTATATAAAACCAAAAAAAAATTATTATTTGAGGCCATGTAATGGAATAGTAAAAAATAAATAAATATTTTGTAGAAAAGGTAATAAATACAAATTTTAATAATCTGGTAAAAAAAACTTAATCAATTTTCTTTATGAAATAAAAACTTGTTGAAAATAAAAATGTGTTAGTCATAAACAACGCTTGGGACTTAATACATTTATAATATTTATTTTAGTCATTCCAAGTATATCAATAATTAATAGATATTCATCTTAGTTTTTTTAATACCAAACAGTGTATATTAATTAGAAATTTAGTTTTGGTAGGTGTAAGAGAATCACTACCCTCTTAAAATAAAAAATATTCACTACTATATATATATACACTTATGATAATTTTTCATGGAGTGGATGTTTCAGATGTGGTTCAAACAAATTTTATGAATGTATAAAGTGTTGGCCTTGGTCACAAATCAGGGTGATCGAGATAAATAGTTTTTTTCTTCTACATAATTTAGTTTTTGTATCTTTATAAGTCAACACTTATATTAAATCAAAACATTGATTTTATGAATTTTTTTTATATTAACCATTGTGTTATTAGAGATGTCAGCCTGCATCAATAAGGCTCATGGACAACATGCAGTTTAAATTTGGGCAATCACTACGCCCAATGAATAATAAATTTGAAAATTTAAAGGAGATTTTTAAAAAAATATACTTGAAAAGAATTTGTGCATTTGATTATGATTCACTGTGTGTCATGACACTTTTATTTGAAGGTATAACTCAATCATAATTGCAAAATATATTACTAAAACTTGCAAAAATCAATTTCTGTTATTATATCTATGAAAACTAAAAATTTTTTTTGACAAAATATCAAATCATTATTTTATCTGTCATTACATTAAAAAAAAAAAAAATGAAATTTAAGCTAACGTACACCTATTACTTACAATTTATTATATTTCTAGGCTCTCGTGAAGAAGTAAATTTACATAAGAATCGAATCTCTCATATAGCAACATTATTTGGTGGTATTAATAGTGGTGAAAAAATTGGTAAAATGGGATACATGCTAACATTTGTAATTGCTTATATACGTGTATGTAATTTATAAAGAGTATTTAAGATTTATATTTATGCAAATATGTAATTTATGTCAGGATCTAGCTCTTGAATATAATGTTGTAGCTGAATCATTTGAAACATCTGTACCTTGGGATAAAACTCTTCATCTTTGTAATTATGTTAAGAAAACAGTGTCAAATGAATGTAGTAGTAAGTTTTATTTCTAAAAACAAAAAAAATTGTATAATTATCTTTTTATTTTGATTGTATTCAGAGCTGAACATCAAATATTATTTAATTAGCTGTCGTGTTACTCAAACATATGATACTGGATGCTGTGTTTATTTCTATTTTGGATTTAATTGGACTGGGTTAAATAATCCAGTATCAACTTATCACCACATTGAATCTATTGCAAGAGATGCAATCATAGTGTCTGGAGGGTCAATATCTCATCACCATGGTGTTGGAAAACTTAGAAGTTATTGGTATCAAAATAATATACCTAAAACAACTCTATCTCTCTACAAATCATCTAAACATTTATTAGATCCAAAAAATATTTTTGCTATTGGAAATCTTATGTGTTATCCAATTTCAAAATTATAAAAAAAAATTACACTCAAAATGTAGTCTTATTAGTATAATATTACAATAGTATTAATATTAAATATAGCTTTTAGTATCATATTTCATGTATTTTAACTGTATACAATGACATTTAATTTGTTTTTTTTATCTTTGAATTAACAACTCGAGGGAGAATTGTCTTTTTTTACTTTTTTTTAAACTGACATTGTTTATTTCAACAAATATCACATAATACAATTATGAAGTTAACAGAAAATTATAAAATCTTAATTAATTAATTGCCTAATTGACTTTTCAAACAAGACTATATATCCGACTTAAAATCTGTGAAATTGATTGCTACCTTAGTTATTCCTCCTTTTCTTTGATATGCAAAATACTGGAAATAAATCTCACAATCACTTCCCAATTTTTACAATTTTTTCTTTCATTATCCAAATTATTATGTCTGGTATGACAAATAGTCCACCAATATTTTAGATTCATCAATTTTGTCACTTCTAAAAATGTATCATTCACATAATTGTCTCAAAACTTATATGACATACAATCAGCACTTGTTACCAATTTGTATTTGTACAAGTAGGATTATAAATAGCCATGCCCTATCAAGAATTATGTAATGAGGAAATTAATGACTCTACAGCTCACTCGCTGTCACATGTGAAATAAACTTTTTTGTCGACATACCTTAGTTCACATGTCTGTCTATCCACTCTTGCCACTATTTCCAAATCATGTTGTTCACTTCATGTTTATCCGCATCTATAATAGCTTTCTGAAGTCAACGAAGTTCAGATATTCTTCCTGCCATTATTTGAATGGGAACTATATCAGATACTACTGCTAAATCTACTATATAATTTTCTATGCCTACTAGATCCGGTTCCAGTACTTTAACAATTTTTAATACTTTTTCAAAGGCTTCCATCATAGATTGATTTCTTCAAAAACTTTAATTGGTTTTATAATAATCCTAGTAGATTGCTTTCAGGATGTAGTTAAAGTGACCGTTTGAATACACATTTAAATTTTCTAATAGTAAAGACCATCTGGGAACCAACAGTGTAGCTGAACATCACTAAAGCGGTGACTGATTAATCGACTGTGCGCGTCACATTACGCACCTAATAGGACATTCTAGTATCAATTGTTTATTTATTTATTATAATGTTTATTGTTGAACGACTTTCTATAACAATAATAATACCTAGGCTATAATTCAAAAATACTATTATAATAATTTAAAAATAAAAATTATATATAATATAGAAAAGAAACAATAAAATTGAACAGTGAAAAAAAAAGGTTTAAATATATTTACAAATTTAATTGTTAATATGAATGATCTTAGTACGAATCATGTTAATAGAATGTATTATTGACAATAATTTATTGCAAATGTTCATCAAATTTATCGATAAGGCATTTATAAAGAAAAATTAGTCCTATTAATAAGTAGATAAAAAATTTTGTGAGATGAATAATGAGTTGTTCTAACAAACGAGTGCATCAATTTGGTCTTCTAGCTATCCTGAAATAAAGCGTAAGCTAAAGTCAATAAGCCTTTGCTCAATTAATTGAAACCTAAAAAATGTATTAATATTACTATAGTCATGATTAGGATAATTAATATTTAAATAATGTACTGCAAAATTACTAAATCGATTATGGTGAAGTGAATGGTGCCCAAACTACAACACTGTACTTATAAAAAAAAACCGTAACAACACATTATAAAGGACAGGAAGACAGATGAATTAAAATTAGCCAAATGTCTTCTTATAAAATTGAGAAAACGTAAGGTTTTACTTACTGCATAATCTAAATGGGGTCGAAAGTGTAGTGAAGAAATATATAAAGAAATCGAAGATCCTTAACTTAGTATACTAATTTAAGAAGTTGTCCATCTAATCTATGATTAAATAAAAGTCTCGCGTATGGTAAAATGACACAACTTAGCATATATTTAAAATACTTTGTTTGAAATATATATATATATTTAAAATACTTAAATCCAACCATAATAAAACATTCCAAAAATATATTTAAAACTTTTTAAAAAATTAAGTATTATATTTGTCATAAAGATCACCTAAAGTGTATGTGATTTATTTTGGATTTTATTATTCTTAGGACATTGATTTTTTTTTTTAATTGGAGGAATATATTTTAAATTAATCAGTGTCATCATACAAATTGAGTAACAGGAACTACACATTTGCCACCATACATAACTACATTTTCAGCTTCTTTATGAAACTGAGAATCTATTAATTTTACTGATGTTTTATTATTGTGCCTGTTATAACTTTTTCTCAGATTTCATCGGCCCGATTTCTTTCTAAGATACACCAAAATATCACAAATCATATCTAATTGGATACATAGATGCAAAAAATTACGATTTTTATAATCAGTAAATGTTGACATTTTAAAAATTTTTCTGTCTTAAAACTGTCATAATTTATTTAATAATGTATGATTCGAAACAATTTTTTTTATACATTAACATTTTAGGCATTTCCCTTTAAATTGGTATGACTTATTGAACATTGTATGGATCAATAAAATTTTTTGTATGTGAAACTTTAAACTTAACTTTTGAAAATTTTCCAAGAATATTTCGGACTTTAAATATTTGTTAAATTAAATCTTATATTAGATACTATAAGTTAAAAAATAAATATATGTTTCCCGACACCTTGTTTTCTATATGTAAACGACCCCGAAGTTATCAAAAATAACAGTTTTTTATGTTAAAATTCTCTGTTTCAAATATAATTTGTGCACAAGAAACAAACTAACATTTCATCAATAACCTAACTAATATTAAATAAAATTTAAATAATATTACTTTTCCCAAAAAACATGTGTAGTGTTGCAATAAGAGGAAGTTAGGGGGGGGGAAATAGCCTCCACCCATTCCTAAATTATTTTTTGGTTGCGCCACTGAATATGTATATCAATAATATGCAATATATTTAAAAAAGTTGTACATTTTATTCATTGTGATACATTATTTTTAAAGATATATACAATAAATTGTATTATAATTTAAATAAACTAATTAAATGCATACTTTTCATTCCCATTCTTGTTTAATTTTTTCAAATTCATCATCTTCAATAAATGGTTTATCAATCAAACTAAAAATAATATACAAATTAAAGATTACTTGCTCATAGTAAATATTATATTAAATTATAATAAATCTACTAACAAAGAAAACATACTTAATCATTATATCACCACAAAATATACAATCAGTTGCTAAAATATTATCCAGTGACTCTTTAATTTTATCCCGCTGAATAATAATTTCTGAAGATGGTGAATCACTTTTTATATTTTGGTAAAGATTACTCAACTTTTTCTATAAATTTATTAATTGATTAAAAATAATATGTTTAAAATGAAAATATGAAATAATTGTTTTTAAAAAATTAATCTATCCTAATATCGTTTTAAAATAAATTAAAACTCGAAAAGTAATTTAATATATAGACATATATTAATATATATGTCTATATAGTGTTAATAGGAGAAAATAGGGAGGAAATTAATCAAAAGCTAGAGGTGTGGAGATCAGCTCTTGAAGAAAAGGGTTTAAGAATAAGTAGAAGAAAGACAGAGTATATAGAGTACAAGTTTGACAAAGGAGAACACGAGGTAGGTGAAATGAGGAGGTAAGTGACAATAGGCGAGGACGTGATTAGAGAGGTGGAGAGTTTTAAGTATTTTGGGTCAGTTGTGCAAAAGAGTGGTGGTATTGATGAGGATGTAAGACACAGAATTAAGTGCAGGTGGTTGAAGTGGAGAGAAGCGTCTGGCGTCTTATGCGATAAAAGAATTCCAATGAAGCTAAAGGGTAAATTCTACAAGACTGTAATAAGGCCAGCTATGATGAATGGTTCAGAATGTTGGGCTGTTGATAAGAAAGTAGAGCAGAGATGAGAATGCTTTGATGGATTAGTGGACTAAAAAAGATAGAATAAGGAACGAGCATATAAGAGGGAGTATAGGTATTGCGTCAATCGTGGATAAGATGACAGATAATATACTTAGATTGTTTAGTCATGTTATGAGGAGAGAAGAATCGGAAGCTGTAAGAACAGTTATAGAAATGAATGTTGAAGGAAGAAGAGATAGAGGAAGACCAAAAAAGAGATGGAGGGATGCTATTAAATGCGATTTGAGGACAGCTGATGTGAGCGTAGAAGATGTGGGAGATCGTGTCAAGTGGAATCTTAGGATAAGGGTGGCCGACCCCAAGTAGTTGGGATTAAAGCGAAGAAGAAGAAGAAGAAGACATGAAATTTTATAAGTTAGATAAACTTATAGAATAGTTAAAAACAAAATTTAATTAAAGAGTAAAAATATAAATTAATAAATATAAGAGGATTATTAAAAAAAAAGATAAATCCAATATTTTACATGCCAAAAGCTTTTATTATAAGTTACTCCTAAATTTACTATTCATCTGCTTTCTAGAAAGACAGCAAATATTTTTCAAAGTACATGAATTAAACTAGATACATTATTTTTCTGTCTAACTCCTGATTTATCAATATAAATTAACATCTTAAAATAAAATAATAAATAAGTACCTGTAAGTCATAAATAGTGTTCATAGTGTTTAACTCAACATATGGTTGCATTTCTTTAATTAAACAATCTACATGAAAATAATGCGAACATGGAAACACATAATATGCCTTTGTAATTAATTGTTCTTTACAGCTACTACACAAATTTGTGGGCTGAATAAGCATTAAACTATTTTTAAATGATATAATTTCTGATCTTATAGTTTCAGCTGCTTTTATAGAATCTTCCATTTCTTCTTTAAGATTTTGTATTTCATTATTATATTCCTAGAAATAATTCATTTTTAAATAATCATACATAACAAAACCCAATACAGTTTAATAAGCCTGCACCCAAAAAATAATTTAAAATTTATGTACTTAAAATAATGAATATATTTCTACAGTTTATCATCCCTATTTTATTGATGAAATATTATTAAAACGTGTAGATTTCATTAAAGATTTAGGTTATTTTTTTAACTAATCTTTCATTTAAAAATAATATAATATTATAACATTATAGCTACTTTGAGCCAATAATTTAATATTAAGAACTTTAAATGATTGTAACATTGATTTCTTTTTTCATAGTTTAGATAATATTAAGCACCCCCAGGGGTGTATTTAATATTATATGAATAAACCTAAGGCTCCAAGCTGTTGCTTAGGAAAATTGGCTCTCCCATCAGCAGCACAATTTATGGTGAAATAGCTATCCTCATTAGCTTAGCTGGTTAGGAAGATCTGGTCTTCCAAGTAGAGGGATTGACAATGGGCTAATGACTTGTCTCAGTAAAAAACCATTATTAAGAAACTTACTATTATTAAGCCTTGGAAAATTTGGGAAATAAAATTGTAACTAAGACTGGAAAACCTGGAGCATTTCAATTTGGAACATAAGATCTCTATATAAAAGCGTGCAACACATATACAGTGTGCAAAGTGAAGTTTGGAGAATCACAGAATTTTGAGATTTAAATTAGCCAAAAACAGAGTGATGTATTGTAGTCAGTCTTTTTTAACCTAGCACAAGTGACCAGGTCAATGCCAACAAGGTATGATTGTCCATATGATATTTTGTCCAATAGTAGGCTCCTTAAAGAGAACCCTGCCTCGGAAGGAAAGATCAATGGAAAAAGACCTAGTGGTCCCCTAGACAGTGTTTGGTAGACAGGGTCAAAGATGACTTTATTATAAATAAAAATTTTATAATTCCATACACAGAATAATATTACAGCTAAATCTATTTTAATTTAATTGATAGTGGCAATTTATGAAAAAAAAGTTAATTTAAAATATTGAAATATTCTATAGATTTTTTTATTAATAGAAGTAAATAAAATATTATTGATTTTATAATACTGTCTTATAAAGTAGTTATTATTAAAATACTCACTTTTAAAGACAAACACACAGCATCTTTAAAATGATCTATTGTTACAAAATCTGGAAAAAATGGTAAGATATCTTCTATTTTAATAAATTTGCATTCTTCCAAAAATTTCATAGCTTGTGCAATATCATTTTTTTTTCTTACAACGTGTTGTGCTACATAAAAATAATAAATAAATTTTTTAACTTTGATAATATTTAGATTAATATAAAAATTTTCCTATTTGCAAAGCTAAAGAAAACAATTTTTATAATAGTAAAGGCACCCTGCAAAAAATATGTGTCTCACTTAGATCAAAACTATTATAGCCCAAAAAATGTTTTTTTGACTAACTACAGTCTTGATTCAGGTTATAAATAAAAATTTTCCTCTTATTTATTTGAACCTTTAAAAAGTAAATACAGACACTAATAATTAGGTTAATCAGATCAAACCTAGTATTAGATAAAAATTCATAATAATGAATCTAAATGATAATTAAAAAATAGTTACCAATTTTTAACCAAAGTTTTTTAGATAGCTCTTGATTATTATTTGGTAAAGAAGCTGTGGATTTAGCTAAATCTACATTAATTAACAAAGCTAAATCAACGGCAGCTTCCCACAATCCTAATACAATTGATAATTGAACACATGCTTCTAGTAGATTATGTTCACGACACAGTCTTAGAGCAAATTTAGGATTGTAACTAACAGCTGTCATGTCTTGACCTTGCAGTTTTAAATAATTCATTAATTTATCGTTATTATATTTAATATATAATAATAATAAATAATTATGAATTGATTCAGAGTTGCAGTTTAAACAATGAACACAGAATTCCAAGTATCTGATTATTTCCAAAGCCTAGAGAATTAAATATAACTATAATATTTTTTTATATTTGATACAATTAAATATTATATATATTTTTTCTATATTGTTTAATTGTAGACTAGCTATAATCCTAATAGACATTATTAAAATAGCTTCTTAACTTAATTTATCTGTAATAAAAAAAATTTTATTTTTTATATACAGCTATTATTTATTTTTATGGAATGAACAAATAGTTAAATATTTGACTATACAACTAATGGAACAGGAACAGGAAAAATTTTTAGTTATAGAAAAATGAAAAAAGTGGCACTCATTTGTAGTACACATAGGTCTACATTCATAATTATCATTTCTAGTATTATTAACAAAGAATTTTATTAGGACAATTTTTTTAATTACCAGTGGTTCTATTTACTTTTGTTTACTGAACTCATTAATATTAATTGTCAAATGTCGTAATGGCATTTGAATAAATAAATTAAAATATAAGATAATCTCAATACCTCCAATAAAAAATATCCTAACTACATATTTTTCATTGTTTTTAAATATCAAATATGATAATTGAACATATTAGCTTCGATACGAAGCTGAGAAGGTATTGGTTTTACTAAGATGTGTTTATTTTTTTTTTTGTGTGTCTGTTACCACTTTTTCTCAGCTCTCACCGAACAGATTTCTTTCAACGATATGTCAAAAGATCACAAATCGTATCTAGTCGAAGACATCACTCTCAAAAATTGAAAAAATTTTCCTCGTTCCCCGTAAATGGGGGAAACCTCCAAAAAAATTTAAAATTTAAAAATCGCTAATTTTCGAAATTTTTTCAATTTTTTTTACTAAAAACTGCTGTAACTTTTTCAAAAATAAACATATCAATATAATTTTTTTTTTTATAAATGCTTGATATCTTTATCTATCATTTGATATATATTTTTTGTAAATCTGACACTTAACCTCCCCACAGGAAGGGATTTAAAATGACAACTTTTTTACAAAAAATTAACTTTTTCAACTTAACTTTTGTAAATGTTCCGGAAGGTCTGACACTTTTATATATATATCTTAAATTAAAGCTAATGTTTAAATGCTGGATTTTTTTTTTTACTATATATCACAAAACATCACTATGATTTTTCCATCAATTGAATAAAAATCATAAAACAAAAAAATTATTCAGAAAGATACATAATTTAAAACTTTAAATGGCTTTAAACTTATAAACTTTATAATCCCTTAAATAATACTAATAATCCAATTTACCACGGTTTTCGTTGGAATTGGCAATATATGTTTTATACTAAATTTATGCTTACAAGTTGTTCATTTGGATTTGAAACGATCAATGAATTAAAAATTTTCATAGGATCTAATTTTTGGCCTTGTTTAATTAATAAAGAAATAGTTTGTGTTGGAGCCTTTTCAACCAAGTCTGGCAAAAACAACAAAAATAAATCACTATAAGGATGACGTTCTAGAATATTCAATGCTGAAAATTATTAACAGATTGTAATTAAAATTTTAATATATATTTATGAATATTAAATTAAAACTTTACCTTCAATTATACAATCTTCATTTAAATAATGTTGAATAACTCGCTTATAGTCTTGATTATCAAGTGATAACCATAACATAAAATGGTCATCGCCATGACTAGCCAATATATCATAAATACTTTCCCAATTTTTTCTAATACAATCCTACATTAGTTTTAATACCTATTTAAATTTATTATACTATTTGAAACAATTTTTTTATTTTTTTACTTGAATTATAGGGCATAATAAAAAGTTTTTGAATTCTTCTTGTAACTTGATGTATGATTCAAAATTTTCTTGACCATAGTTTCTTAATGAAGCCAATTCATTTGCAAATAACTCTATTGACCATAATGTTATCATAGTTATTTGAGTACAATCTTTAGGTTTTAAACTTTCTAATTTCTAACGCAATTATATTATAATAAATTTTTATCTTCTAAAATATTTTTATAATTTTATACCTTCATTAAAAATAGTTTTATGGGCTTTTTATCCTTCAAATACAAAAATTTTAACACAATTTCTTCAAAGGATATATTTAAGTTTGCATATACCATTGCACTTTTCTCATATCTTATGTAAAAAGTTACATAATTAATTATCATATTTTTTAATAAAAAAGTATTATTTGAAAACAATAATCTTACTGTTTAGTGTCAAAATAATTATTTGCTTGTCTTACTAGTACTTGATTCATTCTAAATGGGTTATTTTGACAAATTTCTCTGGCTTCTTCAAACCTACCTTTATCTATATAAATCTATAAAAAAACAATAACTTAAGTAAAATAATTATTTTATAATAATTATAATTTATATAAAACACATCAGACAATGCTAAATTTAGCATTATATTATATATATTTATTTAACTTATAAAAATAACATTGTCTAACACATAATTTAAAATAATTAATCTATTAATAACTAACTTTCCAAATATAACGATCTTCTTTTTGTAGCTTATATCTAAAAACAGCATGTTCAGAATACAACCATACTATACCAGATATCAAGTCTTTTGTAATATTTAGAAGTTTCCCATGAGTCTTTAAATAATTAAAAAAATAAATAAATTAGTAATAATTAAATTATTCCACGGATGTAAAATCTCAATCATCTGTAAATTAGTATACAAATTTTACATCCAGATTTCGAATTTCATCTGTTTCATTCAGATTTATTAATCTGAATTGATTATGTAATCAATATATTATATTATAATATATCAGATTACTACTTAAATTTGGATTTAATAATTTGATTCAGATTTGATCCTCACCATTAATATATATATATAATAAAAATTTAATATTTACTTGAGAATAATAATCTTCATCCATCACCTGAGATGCATATGGTGTCGCAGGAGATTCTAATGATACTGCTATTACTTTATTAGAGTATAAAAGCAAAACATGATACTGAGTAAAAGTCATGGATATTGGGACAGAGAAATCATCATCTTCTCTACCATATAAACGACTGTACTCAATCAATTTATGAGAGTTAAATACAGTTTTATTTTTTTTATTTATATTAATCTATAAATAAAGTATATATTTTTAAAAAATATTATTATTGTTTTTTTACATTTATGTAAAACTTACCTCAGCAAAAAATACACCCAATTCTGTAAGAAAACCAAAATATTTTGGCATAGTAAATTCATTTTTAGGGTGATAAAAATGCAATTTACTGTGCTTCAAAACTGGTGGCACATCATTAAAACGTTCTATTGAAACAAAAATATAATGTAATAATATATATATATATATGTATTTTAATTCTACACACTTGTTCAAAACTTTATTTACTTACCTGGAATAGCTAAATAATTATTAAATACTTGTTGCAACATAGGTCTTTCATCTTTATTTAGAACTGAACCAACAAATTGATAAAGTTTAGAGGATGAAATTACAAGAATATAAAATATATCTGTATTACCATATCTATGGTATTCAATACTAATAATTGGAGTTGGTTGTCCTTTACTTATATCAAATACCTAAATTAAACACATAAAAAAAGTAAATATACATCCAGGCAGAAGAAATAATAATAAAAATGGGGTAACTAATGTCTATGAGCCCACACAGCCATGTAAACTCAATATTTAAAATATTAATTTTTTTGTCGAATGAACATGTTTACGTTCATTAAAAAAATTAATGCATTGATTTTGTTGCTTCATAAAATTTTGTTTATTTATGAAAACTTTACCTGCATTCCACATTATATCCATTAATATAAACAAATTTATATCTCTACAAAAATGATATTAAAGTTATACCTTCAGTAGTGTAATTAATTATGTAATTAAAAGACAAATAAATAAAAAAGTTTTTAACTACCCTAAGACCAAAAAAAAAAATTATCTTTATCATGAAAACTTTTTTTTATATTCTTGATGTATATGCCTAACTTTCTTTTAATCTCACCTCTTATATTTTAGAATAATATATTTCAAGTATTTAATGAATAAATAGTGTAACTATTTTATACACTTTATATTTTTTAAACTATTATCATATTCATTTCTTACGTTAAAATCGTAGACTGTGCTCGTTTTTTTTAATTTGAATCTATTATGAATTAAAGAAAATAATTATAAATATAAAAAGTGATTTCATTACAATTGCAATTGCTTATGAGATACTGAGTAATTTTTAACAAGTTGCAGCAATTAAACAATGCACTTATGATATTATTCCTTCCCCATATATTTAGAAGTCCTAGCATTGAAATCAACATTCAACAGTGTAATATAACAGATCCTTTGGCCCATACAGTAACTTATCACTTAAAAGGGTGTATTTTATTCTTAGTTTTTTATATATAATTTCAATATGACAAATTTTCAAGAGTTTTTAGAAACCATAATATTATTATTAATTATATAAATAGCCCTAAAATCATGCAAATTCATCGTAAATGTGTATTAAGTTCATATTCACATTTAACTTGAAAAAAACGAATGATGTTTGCATGACATTCACAAAATACAAACAAGAGCCCGCGACTGTACATTTAACAGTATTCTTTAATACTGAGTAAACTACATCAATTATAAATATATACATAAAAATTTTAATATTAAAATAAAATTCAAAATTTTTTGAGCTTAAATCAATTTTTTTTAGCTCTTAAATTACCTCTTTCCAATACTGCATAACACTCCCTTGAAAAAATCTATCAAATTCTGTTCCTAGCTGTGTTTCGATTATTGTACCAGAGGAATTCCCAAGTAAGATAGGACCTGTAGTACTAGTGGTTGATTTAACTTTAATATCACAGTTCCATGCTACACAAGTTATTTCACTTCCTTGATATTTTCCAACCTATTAAGTAAAATATAATAAATTTTATTTCAAAGGAAATTATTATTGTCTTAAAAGACTAAGACTTTTTAAGTCATGCCCATAAAAAAAACTTCAAAGTGTTAATTTTAGTAATAATTAACATTTTAATCATTTAAACTAAACAAATGGTTACATAATGAAATAAGCAAAAAATTCTTACCGTCTTAAGTTTTGTAAATTGTCTATTTGAATAAAATAATTGTGAATTACTTGTATTACCACAAGTAATAATCATATGTTCTGCAAAAGGATCAAGAAATATCTGCCTCACCTTGAGGGAAGATGTTCTCAAAGTATCAATTTCTAATTACAGAATAATGTATAAAAATTAATGATTTATTAAGAACACAATACAATAAATATTTTTACAATTATAATAGTATATTTAAAATGGTCAATCAATAATGAAGTAAATATCCTAATTTTAATCATTACCTTCAATATTATCTTTTCTTAAGTCAATTCTTAACAACACATTGTTAATCATAGCTAGTACCACATAATCATTATTTACTAATAAATGAGTTATTTTTTCATTTGGTGAAAAATTTACTTTTTTTTTGGACAACATTGAAATTGTATTTAAATTTAATTCATCTTCTAAGAGCCCATCTAACTAAATAATGAATGAAAAATAATACTATTATAAATAACTTTAACTTTAATTATATCCATAAAAAATATTGACCAATTGCTGAGATTTTAATAGTGGCTTTAATGTATTTTCTATGCCTTGTTCGAACTGATCAAGTATTGAAGTCATTGTTAATAAAACACCAATTTAACCTGAATAAAATAAAAACAAATAATTATTTGGAGTTAAATATATCATTAATTTAAATATTTAATTTTTTTTACTCTAATTAAGGTACCTTATTTTATTAATCTATAAAGTTAGCTCCCGAGACTCAAAGGTGTACATCATCTATATATTACATTAAAACATTATAAAACAATACACACCTCTAAAAATTTCAACCACAAATTATTAACATAACATTTAGATTTAAATATGAATAATTCATTAAATATTGATATTTTCTTTTTCCTCGCCTTAATCCCAACTATTTGGGGTTGGCCAATTAATTGATATGAATCGATTATTCTACGTGTAAATATGTATAAATATAATAACATTCCATTACCTGGAAACTTAACTGCAATATTAATAATACAAATATTCATCTATACACATAAATGAATATACATATACATAACTCATTGTGAACTAATTATACAGTTTATCCAAAGAATATATTTAATTAATTCTATAGTACTATAATTTAATTTTAGTATTTCTATTAAAAAAAGTATTTACCACATAATTATGTTAAATTGTTCATATAAATATGTATAACTTTTATGATTGATAAAAAACTTACATAATCACTGATAATTTAAGTCTGTTATCAATCATAATTTATCACTAATGTTAACATAGAACTATTTTATTAGTATTAGATTAAGCTAGTAATAATAATAATATGAATATTTTTTTATTAGCTTTCAATACAAAGTATTATTATAGCTTAACAATTAAATAAAATGAGAAAACAAAAAAATAAATAATAATAATAATAATAAAAATAGTACAATTGATCTTACATCAACAAAATTACAGTAAAAATCGTTAAATAAAAAAACCAGCTGAATGAATGAAAGAAATAACTAAAGAAATTACATCGAGAGAAGTTGAGTTAAGAATAGTGTAACAATTAATAGGAGAGATATTAAGATGAGATAAATTATTAAATAAAATATAACGATTACTTTCAAATGCACAGCAGTCAAAAATTATATGAGGAAAGTCGCAGAGTACTTCATTGTCATGTTTGGGGCAGAAAGGAAAATTGTTAAGGGACATTTTGTACACATGAAAAGGAAGGCTATTATGACCAAATATTAGAGAGAGGAAGTTTATGGAACCAAGGATGATTTGGAATAGTTGGTGAAATTGATTTGTGCCAAGCTGTGATGAGAGAGAAAGGAGAAGACCAATATTCTTGCCATGCTAGAAATATCGTCTTATTAAGGGGGAAACGAAGTCAGATGAAGGAATATTGAGGGTTGGACGACGGGTAATGAATTTGGTAAGTTTGGCTAAATGGTCAGCCTCCTCATTACCAAAAATACCCACATGACTAGGACACCATAAAAATTCGATTTTTGTATTAGCTAAGAAAAGATTATAAATTAACGTTTTTATTTTAATAAGGAAAGATCTGCATTTTTTGAATGAATTAGAAGAGAGAGAAGAAAGGACTTATAAAGAGTCAGTAGTTATTAAAACATTAGAAATATTGAAGGATTGAATAAGCTCAAGGGCCGAAGAAATGGCATAACACTCAGTAGTAAAAGAACAAGATTGTGAAGGGAGAATATCTTAGAATTTAATATTAAGACTAGGAACAAAGAAAGAGAAACCAGCGGAATTAGAGCTTACTGAACCATCAGTAAATATAAGACAATAATTGGAGAAATTAGAGAATAAGAACTCATTGAATAGATTATTAATAAAATTAATAGGGAGAGATTGTAATTGCAGTTTTGAATAAGAAAGAAAGTGATGGTTAAAGTGAATAGGTGGGCAATAAATAAGAGCCAGGAAGGAGACATCATAAATAGGCAAGCGATTTAAAAGAAGAAAATTCTACATTTGCAAATTTTTATATAATAAAATAGTTATAATATATTTTTCGTGTGCGAACATCTAAGTTGTTTTCCTCAGTATATGCAAGTACGCATACACACACGAGAAGTGTTTGGACGACCGTCGGGTAGTCCGTACGGTAAAATATTAGTATATTACTAAATATATACTAATATACTTATATTGGGTAATTTATTTTTAGAATTAATTGCGTGTACACTCGTCGTTATCGATTGCTATATTAGTATAATCGCTATTATTATTATTATTTTCATTTCTATTTACTACTGCGACCTTTGAAATAATATGTGTATTGTGTTTTATTTTATTACATTTAATTAGACAATTTTTTATACCTATAACTAGTGGTATTGTATTTAAAGTCGCATCCCTACTACCAGCACTCACAAGCCACCACTGATTAATAATATGGTCGGTTAAATCGATTGAATTATTGTTATTATTACTGCGACGTAGCTGTTTATGTGCAATGGAACTTCTTATTATCATTTTGGCGTACGCGTAAAAAAAAAATAAAAAATAAATTTTGTATATTACTATACACAATTACCAAACATGCAACTTTACCACCCTTATTTAGATAAAAAGATATTTATTTAAATAAAAAAAATTGTTTCGTAACAGTGCATATTTCTTTCATATTTTTTATACTTTGCAAAAAACTAAAATATTTAACATAAACGATTAAGTACTAATTCTTAATGATTTATTGAGTGGCTATACTTCATCAACCCCGACAGTTAACCCGAAACTCAGCGAAATATATGTGCTTATAAGCATAAACAAGCCAGAAGATTGAAAGTGTGACCAAATTTCCTGGAACGACGATGGCCACAGAAAGTTTCCATCAAACGCACCTGTAATATATACAATCAGCTACACATGCAGAGACAGCCAAGATTTTATACGATATGTTTAATACATCTACGACAGTCAGAAAGTCAAAGGAACAGTAATCGTTCATTACATGGGTTCTATGGAAAACGCTGTACCTTCTACGCACGGAAACAGTAGAGTCCGTATGAACATCAAGCACATTCGAACAGCTCCCTCGTAGTTACAGAGCCAACATGTACTGTCTCATCAACCGTTAGACAACGATTATAAAAAACTCGTTTGTTCCGGCAACATACATCCGAGTCTCAAGGCCGTATGATCTGAGAGACGAAAAACAAGTAAAGAACACACCGGATTTTTTAAATAATATTTTACGGTGCTGTTTTTGTGATATTAGTTATATTTATATGTAATAAAACTCTTATTAAGACTGTTAAAAAGTATTATTCGTACTGTCTACAAAAGTCGTTATTAGCTGATAAATCAAGAACTATATGTAACCAAAAGAAATGAACATTTTTTTTCCAATATTGTATTTATACTGCGAGTATCGAGTAAACTACATTATGTGATGGTGTCACGTTTTCATAATCGTGAGAATTATTTTAATAAAATACAGACAGCACATCCGCTGCCTGAGACTGGTGAATTAACAAATAATATTTATTGCCAAATCGGCAATAGGTGTAATTATTATAAAAACCCAATAGACCTGACCATCGTGGTCAGTCGACTCCAGTGCCTTGTGTCATTCATCAGTCTCAGTACTCGGTTGTCGCTGTCCGGCTTACTGTTTAAAGTAAAGTCTTTGTTTATTCCTTTTCTAACCTATATACTCTTTTCCTCGACATTTCAGAGTACTTGTGTCTTGCACTTCGTCTGCACCTCATACCTAGGTGTTACTCTTATTCTCCCTTCCTATAACAACAGCCTTTCGACACCCACAGCTAACCCGGAGTGTCAGCCGAGCACGGTGACTGCTGTACGACAACACGCACGTGAATACCTAGACAGCAGGCACCACCTCCTCATATTCATCTTCGTACACATAGTTTCACATTTTCCTTTTATCATTCTCTTTACTGTGTTACGACAATTATTACACTATAGTTTACAGTGTTACTGATATGCATGGTATAGACATACCATACAAGATACCCTTGGATCACATCTTTAGAAAAACTTAAAAATCGTTATTTGGTAAAATAAAAATAATAGTAATTAATTTTTATTTAATGTAATCTAAAAAAAAAAAAATGTAATATTACAAATTGTGCTTTGTTAAAAAATATTCTGTATGACTGAATGCTTTTGACATAAGATTTTAAGTAATTTTACATAATTATCTTTGTGTTTAAAAAATAACATTCATTAATTTGTTTGTCAAATATATAAATATATATTTTATTTAAAGGACTTTAATCTTAAGTTTTAACAAACAAAAATAAAAATAGATTGCTTTTTTCTATTTGAAAATAGAAACGAAATGCTTAAATCTAATATACACACATTTCAATTGTATAACGACCAGTCTTTAGTGAAGTTATACATTCAAATAAAGATTTTAAAAGTGGGAATTTCAATATTGAAATTTTAATAAGTGTTATTAAATTTTTTTAAAGTTAACAATTAGAGTTAAACTTTTTAATTAAAATAATTACTTTGTTAAATATATAAATCATTCATAATTAATTTTTTTGTAAATATTTTATATCAACTACTTTTTATTTTATGGTTTAAGAATTAGTAATTTTAGTTTTTTACACTCTCAGTATTAGTCTCAGAATTTGTTTCATCAGTAGAATTGTCTACTTGATTCAATTTAATTGAATTTTCATTTGATTCATCGACAACTATGGGTTCTGTTTTTGATTGAGGAACTTTATCTTCTAAAACAGCAATTGTATCTTGTATAGTTTTTATAGCTTTTTTTCTAGCAATACGAACATCATCTCTTCCTATAGTTAAAAGCATAAATAAATAATTAATACAAGTAACATATTTTTTTTAATGTAAAACCAGAAGGTTAATTTGATATATGCCATAATCAATTGCGGAAGTTAAAATAAGTGGTATTGGTAAATTTTTCAATAAAATGAGTTTAACTTGCAAATAATTACTTCAATCTTAACACTTTCTTTGGTATCAATGATAGCAAAAAAATAATATTGTATTTTCAATTAAATTAATATTATAATTTATCATTTAAATTAAAATTAGCCTTTATGAGTTTAAAATATTATAAATAACTAATTATAAAATATCTAAACAACTCTTTATAAAAATGATAGAAATTGGTTAACACCACTATTACTCCATCCTAAGAATTTAAGATTAGTCTAGTGTAGGAGAGTGGACAAATGATGCCCGCTTATGGAAAATTTAAAAGAAAGATAAAATTATACATTACCAATATCTTCATTCATTTTTATCAAAAATTGAGGGATTAGGTAAAATCTTATTTTTTAATTTAAAAAATATTAATTTTATTGTTTAAAAACACATCATAGTAAAATTAATACCTTCTCAGCTTCGCATAAAAGCTAAAAATATCAACGAACACATGTTATTAACCTTTTATGTTAATTCATTAATTCATTTGGGAAGTATAATAGCTCTAAATAGGGGAGCGTGACCTTTATGGCCTTCCTGGTTACATAACCAACTGGGGTTATTATTTGTTTATCGTTGGTATGTTAAGCATCAGCCACGAGGTTATTACCTATATTATGTTAAGAATTTAATTTTAAATCATGATCATGATGAAGCAAAATAAAAATGCACATTTATACAATTAAAATATACATTAAACATTTATGTAGATTAAATAAATACCTTCTGTTTCAATTGTATCCAACTTTATTAAATTCCTGGTAAGCATCTCATCTAGATAAATGTATTGTTTGTCATTGCGCGAATTACCAGAAAATATATCAACTGCTTTTCCAAGTTCTTCTACTTCTGCTTGAACAATTTGCACTTTATCTAATGCATCTATTTGTGTTTGTTGGCGTGTTGGAGGTGGTGATTGTGTGGATCTTGAATCTTGTGAAGCTGCTTGTTGATGTTGTGGAGGTGGTGGAGGAGTTTGACGATGATGAACATTATTTTGGTCATAAAAGGAATGATGATTTTTAAATGGACTTTGTCTACCAGAATTTGGTTTAGATTTATTTGAACCCATTGAATTGTTTAACACTTTGTCTATATTTTTTGGATAAACAGGTTCTGATCGCCCTTCCACAAATATTGGAATATGCCGTACATTAGGTTGTTTTTGTCCTCCTTGTGGTGGAGTAGTATTTTTCTGACAATCTTTTTGCTGTTGCTGTGATTGTTGTTGTTGTGGTTGCTGTTCCTGGTTAAGATCAGTATTTTCAGTTTGATTATTAGGGTTTACTGGAGTAAATTCTAACTTAGATACAAATCGTTGAGGTTTTTCGTCGTTATTATCCAAATTTTCTAAATTATTATCAGTATTTTGATGTTGGCTCATGTTGTCTTCAGGTTTTTGACAAGAATTAGAATCTACACTTTCAGAATAACTTGAATTGAGATTTGATGGTTCTTCAGAAATATTTTTTTCTTCAGAATCTGATTTTTTTTTATTCCAACGTTTTGAACTAGGTTCACCTTCCCAGGGGGGACAACGTAAATGATTAGCAATGTCGGGATGCCGTTTGGCTAAATCTTCTAAATGAGAACGAACACTTAAATGACCATTTAAAATTTCATCATCAAATGGAAATTCGTTCTAAAAATAAGTAAAATAATAAATAATATGTAAAAATTGAGGTTTTAAAACTACTTTTTTTTTTTTTGATAACATACCTATTTACTTTACAATTACAACTTCATATTTTTATCATGAATTTACTTATAAAATACATGTAAGAATATGTTAAAGACTAATAGAAATCATTTACAACAAAAACTAATGATTATAGAAACTTGGTAATTTTAATATTTTTACTTATAATATTTAAACTTAGATTATTTCTATGAAAGTACAGTTATCAACAGAATTAGTCACTGATTGAGGTTGTACTTTTATATGCTATTAATGTTCAGAATTTATACATCTGTTTATAATTAAAACCTTTTTTAAAAAATAACAATTACAAAACATGAAAACTATGTTGAATAATTGATTAAAATTAGAAAGAAAATTATATTATATTAATAATTATATTCATAGGCAGAATTTCAACAACAATTTAGAGGGGATTTTTTATATCTGACTTCCCACTCTGAAATTTTATATAATTATACATGTTGTTTTTTTTAAGATTTTGGAAAGGTTATTAATAAAATCTAAACGCTCAATTTGTATCTTTGATTATACATGAAATTAATATACTAATTTATTTAAACATAATTTAATATATACTAAATTTTTTTAAATATAAAATTTAAAACTCGAGAGAAAATATTACTGGCTTCAACTATGAGTCATTTGACCTAAATTTTGTATTCTGATCTGGCTAATAAGACAATTTAAAAATTGTCTAAGTGACGTTATAATTGTTTAAAATTTAATTTAACAATATAATAAAAAATATTACATTATTTTCTTAATTTGAAATTAAATTTTTTTATTAAACTGCTTTGTTAATTTAAAAGATATTGTGTTATTCTAACTGTAGTTTTTGGCACTTGCCTAGAGCAATCATTCTATAAATAGTTCTTGTAAGGAATTTTAAGTTGATGAAGTATGATTCAGTAATACAAAAAGAATTTTTAAACATCTCTTATTAACTAATGTTTATATTGGGTTAATTAAATTTTTTTATTTCTATTCAGCAATTAAAAATTATTACTCTATCGAAGTGCAATTAATTATACTGAATTAGGAAAAAAAAGTTAAATTAAAATNTCTTGTTTCTTCACCAATTTTATTAATATTCGTGTGAAGTTATACAACCTATATAGTTTATATAATATATTTAATTAGATTAAAGATTTAAATATATAACTCTACAATTTAAAATTAAATTTTCCAGAAAAGTTCAATACATTTTAAATTCGTATTGCTCATCACTCAATTATAATGCATTAGATCAGATGGAATAAATAGAAAAATAATCAGATTTTATACATGTATACACTGTGATTAAATATTAAATATTAACCTATATTGAATAATTTATTACGTCAAAATGGTTACAATATTAAACTAGGCTTTAAAACAAATTATTATGTAAAAAAAAAAAAAAGTTTAATTTTGGCTATTTTTTGATTTTGACTTAAAAAATAGAATAGAATAAAATATTTTATACTAACATCATTTACAAATAAAATTTAAATTCTATTTTTCTGTACGATAAGAAGAAAGTAAAAAAAATAATTAAATAGATATAAATTAGATAAATTAATTCAAAATCAACAATTAATATAAGTTCTTTGAATTTGAATTTTATTAATGTTAAAAATTAGTTTATACGCCAAGTTTTGTATGATTAAAAATTCATACCTGTTTTCAATCAGATAACAAATCAATAAATACTGTGAAAATTTAATAAAATGACTTACCAAAGAATTATAGTTAATAGGAAAATCAAAGTTATAGAGTGAATTAAGTTTTAGCAGCTTCCATAACGCCCAACACAGCAAATTTTGTTACTCACTAAACACAAAAATAACTAATTTCACAAAAATCATCACATGCTAAGCAAAATAGTAGTTAAATAATATTACACATAATATAATTGATCACTTCTAGCTAATATTAATTAAAATATTAACTTAAAACTAAATAATATATTCAACTCAAAAAGCCTCTAAAATTGATTAAAAATCGTAGTTACATATTTTAGGAATAATGTTATCATTGTCAATGGTTAACACATACTTTCAGTATGCTTTTGTGTTAAATGTTTTTGAAATTTATTAGTTTTAAATTAATATTTTTAATTTAAAGTAATAATTAATAAATTAAAGGTTATTATCAAAAATAATTAAACATTTAAAAAAATTATTTGAGTACAAAGGTGGATTAAATGTTAAAATATAGATTTCGTAATTGTTTTTTTTAAAGAAAAAACACATGTTTATAAATATAAAAGTAAAAACTAAACATTAAAGGACTAAAATTTGTCTAAATACTATATATATAATAAGTTAAATTTAAATTTGATAAAAAAATCTAATTAACTACTGCTGATTTATAAAGCAGTTAAGTTGCAATACGTTTTTGAAAATATTTTCCATTTGTTTACCAAAGTTGATATTTATATTATAATATATAAGTATTATTAGTAATGATAAATAATGATAATATAATATAACGATGGATTAAGAAGGATAACAAAAATGAAAAAATAATGCATACCCTTTCTATGGAATTAGAATCAACGTTGTCAAAATCCATGTTGGAATCTGTATTATTGTTGAAATTTTTTTTTATTTCTTCAAGTATTTCGTTGGTAGTTTTTCCTCGAATACGTTCACTTAATTTGGGTTTAAATTTATTAAAACGTTCACCAAACGGCATTATATTTCAACATCAAAAAAAAAATACTATAATAGCCAATTAATTTATTTTTCTATTAAAACATTAAAGATACATAACTTCATTTGATTATTTTAAATTTTATGAAAAAAATAACCTAGATGGTATAATATATAAAAGCACACATTATTACACTCAAGTTGCAACTTATAAATCGGAAGTAAACGACAATCTGCAATCAGTGCGAATAGTAAAGTATTAAGAATTATCTAGAATATTCGAGAGACGACCTCATAAGGTTTTGGTACTATGGTATTAGTAAGCCACCGAGTGCATCAGTAAACCAAATTTGTTTTACTACCACTGAGCTTAATAGTCACAATCAGAAATGTAGATAAGACTTATCTGTATTCGTAGTTATACATTTATCTAAGGACAATTTAGCTTGTGGTCAACCTGATATCACTGTTATTGATTAGAAATTTGTTTTTATTATGATAATTTTAATCATTATAAAGAATTTATAATAAATTATATAGATTTTGTGGGTATTTTTCAAATAAGATTAAACATTAAAATTCAGTGATGATTAAATCTATGTCTATTAACAACATGTATTTCATTACAAATGTTAATTGATTGGAATTCAAAATGTTTTCTTTTATAAATATTTTTCACTCTTTCAATGAAAAATCAAATTGAATTAAAATTAAAAATTACATAATAACTTATCTTCAACTTCTCAACTAAATCAAGTCTCAATATATAAATATATTTATACATTTTATTTTTATGTATGAAACGTCAATTATTTCAAAATACATCATTAAATTTGTCTTGTTTTCTTTGAATTGTTTTTTACAATTAAATTAATTTGTCTTAACTGTTAACAATTTTATTTAATTAGGAAAAAGTCAAATTATGTATCCTAATTAACGATGGATAACTGTCAAAATAGAGGATTAACTACCCAAGAAGCTCTTCATATTTTGTATGATGAGATAGTGTTACTTAGAAATAATATCAAACAACACCAAAAAATTAAGTAATTCTTACAATTTTCTAATTTCTTTTTTAAAATTGGTATTCAATATTTTTATTTTATAGTGGAAAAGACAAATTATGGATTTATGATGCATTTTATCACACTAGTCCATGTACAAGTATCTGTTGGATTACTGCTCTTGTAACTTTTATTAGTACATTTTTACTATTTGTCATAAGTCTTGTTTATGATGAACTGCGATATTTATTTGATGATAGTTTGATGTTATTTGTGTTGTTATCTATAAATGTTGCATTAGTTATGTGGGATAATAAATTAAGACATGAAGAAATGTTTACTAAACTTGATCATGTTTTGAAAAAACTCAATGGTAAGGAATTATTATGAAATTTTATACAAAATATTATTCATATAAGAATCTTATTTTTTAGTTTTTAAAGACAAGTGTCACTGGAAAAAGGAAAATTATCCTCATTTGTGTATGCCTTTTTCACCATCTGTTACCTTACAATGGACTCAGCGAGATGGAATTCTTGTCAATTTACCTTGGGCTTTATTAGTTAAAGGAGATATTGTTCTTTTAAAGCCTGGACAAACTTCTCCATGTCATGCTACTAGACTTTATGTTAGATTTTAATACTCTTATCATCTATATAAAAAATATAGATGGGCAAAATTAATTATTTGGTACAACATTAATATCCCCAACAATCATTTGACCACAATATTAATATTAAATTATTTCATTTATTCTTTTAAAACTAGCTATTTAATATCTCTTAGTAAGTAATAATAATGGTGAACAGTTTTATTTATGAATTATTTAAAAAATGTATGCTTTACATAAATATTAACTTTATTTAAAAATTAGCAACATATATATTTATATAGCCAAAGAATATGAATAATTTTGAAAATTAGTGGTTGATAATAACTGTTGAATCATTATTTAAAAATATTTTAATTAACTTCCTCTCAACACTTAGATTATATTTTAAAATGTTCAAATATTTTAATATAGTTTTAATTTTAAAAAATGCCAAAAATATATCTTCAGCATAATTTTTATTATTATTTGAAAATAAAAATTATGCCTAATTCAAAAAATTAGGCATAAGATGGTTGCAGAATTTTTTTAATAAAATGCTATTAGAAGGAAAAATCCCAAATGAATGAAGGAATAGTATTATAGTGCAGATATTTAAAGGTAAAGAAAACATACATGAGTGTGAAGATTTTAGTCATAAAGCTTATGAGTCGTAGTATGGAAATTTGGGAAAAGATAATAGATAAGAGAATAAGAAATGAAACATTGGTATCTAAAAACTAGTTTGGATTTATACCTGGTAAGTCAACAATAATTGTGTGTAAGGCAACTAATTGAAAAGTTTAGGGAAAAGAAGAAAAAGCTGTGTATGGTATTCATAGATTTGGAGAAAGCGTATGATATTGATTGTACCGAGAGAGGTTTTAAAGTGGGCATTAATGAGAAAAAAATCCCGAAATGGTACATTAATATAATAAAAGATATGTATGATGGCACTTGTACCCTGGTAAAAAGCATAGGAGGAGTTACAGAAGGTTTTAGGGTAAGAGTAGGAGTGCAACAAAATTATGCTTTAAGTCCTTACTTATTTTCTAAATTACTAGAGAAATACAAGCAAAGGTGACGTGGTGCATTTGTTTGCTGACAATTTAGTGTTAATAGGAGAAAATAAATTAAAGGCTAGAGGTGTGGAGATCAGCTCTTGAAGAAAAGGGTTTAAGAATAAGTAGGAATAAGACAGAGTATATAGAGTACGAGTTTGACAAAAAGAGTAAATAGACCTAGATGGTTTGATCATGTTATGAGGAGAGAGGAATCGTAAGCTGTAAGAACAGTTATAGAAATGAATGATAATGGAAGAAGAGGTACAGGAAGACCAAAAAAGAGATAGAGGGATGTAATTGAATGTGATACGAGGACGGCTAATGTCAGCATAGAAGATGTGGGTAATTGTGTCAAATAGAAGTTTAGGAGGATAAGGGTGACCGACCCTAAGTAGTTGGAATTAAGGCGAAGAAAAAAAAAAAGAACTAATTCAAAAAATTAGTTATTACTGTTATTATTAGTTATATAATAAAATGAGAGAAGTTCATTATTCATTAAAGTGTATTTTTTTTTAAATTTTTTTGTTATTATTAAGTGCTAATGATATTAGTATTTGAATTTATACTGTTGCCTAAATTTTAAAAGATAGGGCAGTAAAAATGTCAAAAATAAACTTTATTATTTTTATTGCTAACCTCTCTTAAATTATTTACTTCCTTCAAACATATTAATTTTACTTTTTCAATAAAGGGTAACTATGTCTCTTCAGCAATGTTTTTCAAATAAGATTATTATTTAAGTTAAAATTATTTTTTTTAGGAGAAAGACAAATGGGCACCAGCAGAATTAACCCGTTGGGAAATATTTAATCCTGATATTCCTACAACATCTAGTAAAACTACAGTTCCTTCTATAATATCTCGTATACCATTAAAAAATGTTCCATATATTTTAAATGAAACACCATATTTACATAATTTGAAAATTGCTTTGGATCTTGCACAAAATCGACCATGTAGTTTATATACAAAATGTTTATATCTATTGCAAATAATATTTGTGCAAAAATTTGCTGCTGCTTTTTTTTTGGTAATTTACATTTCATTTATTTTTTATTTATTTAATAACTGTGTAGTATTCTACTAGAATAGTTAGTTAATTATACATGAAAAAGAGAATAAATCATTTATTAGACTAATCTACCATTTATCTGACCATGATTAAGATTTAAATGAGTGACACTGTACATAATTTTATAGATTTAATCTCACTGCCCATCTATGCCCTTATTAATAGAGATACAAATTATATGTATTTATAAATTTTGTTTCAACCACTTTGGAGGGTTCCGAGTTTATGCAACTTTGTCATAAGATTAGTTAGTAAAAATATTTTTAATTTTAGAAGAAATAAACCTAATCCTTCCTAAACTATAGCCTCAGTAACAACATATTACTAAGTTGAAGTCCTATCTCTAATCATTAGCAGTATTATTTCTGTTAAAACTAAAAAATTATTAAAAATTATTGTTATATTATAATTTAAGTATTATCTGTGGCTCATTTAATTCTGATTAATAGTTAATATTTTTTTACTCTGTAGGGATGTTCAATTATTACTATTTGGTGGAGATGGTCATATATAACACTTTGGCTAAAACCAGGTTCTTGGGTTGTTATGTTTATTGTATTACCAATTTCAATAATCATTCCACTTTTACCACTAATGTTACCAGTTGCTTGGATATTGCTAAATTGTTATGGAAATGCTTTGTTACAATCTTCTTCAATTGTTCAGGTATTGAAAAAATGTAATAAAAAAAAGTAAATGCTAAATTTGATTCTTTTTTCTAACTAAATTTATATTATTATTTCTATAAAAAAATGTCATTTTAAAATCAAGTTTTTGTGAAATTTACCATTTTATTAAGTTTTTAAATATTATTACTTATATTAATAAATTTATAAAGTTTTTTTCAAATAAAATACCACTTTTAAAAAAAATATCTTGTTGCAAAATACAGTCCAATTTTTACTGATACTACATTGAAATGAAAATAATCAATATTTAATGGTTTTTAACACTTTCAGTTCCTTCAAAAATTATTTGTAAAATAATAATGATTGTAGTATCGGACCAGCACATTTTATTTATTTATAATAAATATACTAACTTTTTTGTTGTATAATTTGATTTTTTTAAATAGATAAACAAAGATTTATTTGAGGAGACTGAAACAGAAGTGAAGAACAATTCATTAGAAATTTCGCTGAAAGATTTGTGGGGAAATTTTTATTCTTGTATTCTAGGAAATGCTAATTTTTTACATAGATCAACTAATTTATTGCATGTAATGGGATCAGTTACGGTAATTTATTATTTATGAATATGTATGATTTTTAATTAATATCTAGTTTAAAATAATTAATTATTTTTAAAGGCACTATGTTGTGTTGATAAAAAAGGAATCCTTTCTTGGCCCAATCCTACAGCTGAAAAAGTATTTTTTTTTAAAAACTCTTCTAAAGCTGTATCTAGACCATCAAGTTTTGCAGATAATTCTAATTATGAAACTCAAAGAAAGAGTTACGATAGTTCCTTATTTAACACTGGTTTGTATTTTTAGTAATAGTATGTACCACTAGGGTAGCAATTAAATATTGTTATCTTTTCTAACGGAATCAATTTAATTTATTTTGTAATGTCTATAAAAGCAAACTGCCAATAATTTTAGAATGACTAATTAAGGTTAAATTTTATCTTAGACATTTGAAATTAAATTGATAATTTATTTTTAAAAAAATTAATGTTTTATTTAACTTATTTTTTAATCAATTTATAATTATTATTATGCAATCTACTTTTAAAAAATGTTATGAGGTTTTCAAAAATACCAATTTTATGTAGTCTACTTAATTCATAGTTGATAAAATAACTTTTGAGAGTAAAAAAACAAATGAAAGTGTCAATATTCTATATATATATATATATGTCATAACTACTTTATTATTATTATATGTTTTTTTTTCAATCTATATTAGGTTGGTTTACAATGTTTTTAACTTCACTCTCCATTTATCACGATCTTCAGAAAGTCTTTTTAATCCGGCGTAAGTATCAATCCCTGCGTTATTTTTCAGTTGACATATGTATGAGTTTCTTGGTCTTCCTGGTGGTTTTCGTCTTTCAATTGCACCTTCTATTATAGTATTGTGCAATTCTTGTCATGGCGTAAAACGTGTCCCATTGTCATCGCTTTATAGCTTTAATTATGGATCTTGTTTCTCCAACTTGGGTCAGTACATCTTAATTTGTTACTCTTTCTGTCCAGTTTACTTTTTCCATTCGTCTCCAACACCACATTTCAAATACCTCAAGGGATAATTTTTCCTTTTCTTTAATAACCCATGTCTCGCAACCGTATAAAGCAACACTCCCTACAAACGTTTTTAAAAATGTCTTCTTTATTGCTCTGCTAATTTTTTTCGAAACCAAAATTTTCTTTTTCTTGATAAAGACTGTCTTTGCTTGCCCTATTTTTTGTTTAATTTCCTGCGAACTTCTTCCGTCTGATGTTATTAAACTTCCAATAGTCTCCCATTATAATAATGTTATCTTTTTTCCTTTAGTGAGTTTTAGTAGTTCTTCTATTCCAGCATATACTTCTTCAATTTCTTCGTCATCGGCTCTTGACGTGTATATATGGCATATATATTTGTATTACAAATAGATCATTTGGTTCTACTTCTAGTTGGATCATAATAATTATTTCGCTGTATATGATATAATTTGTAACCTTTAGTCCCCAGGTTTTATGAAGCACCACACCAATTCCGCATTGTCCGTTTTTTTCCTTGGGAATGAATTATTCTATAGTTTGCTGTCCAGAAGTCTCCGCTATCTTGTTTCACATAAACCTAGTATTTCTAATTTTATTCTTTCCATTTCAATTATAATATTTTCTAACTTGCCTATTTGGCGCATTGTTCTTATGTTACACACCCCTATCATCCTATTTTTCCTCTTCCTACAGGGATTCACCACTTTTACCTCGTGCAGGGTAGTTCCCATCCGAAGATCCGATTGGGGAACTATTTTACCTCCGGAAATATTTTTTACTCTGCTAAAGTCCATTGTTGAATCCATGTTATAAACTGTTGTCTAACTAGGAAAAATAATGAGGTGGTATCCCATTGCCTTCCTAATCGCAGTGAAGTCGCCAGTTATATGGTTCTCATATCTGCCGACTTTTATCCGGTGTGTAACTGTTTCTACCATAACTCTATGGTTACCTGTACCTACACACAGTATTGTAAAGACTACTGCCCACCTACAATTCCCTTTTAGTCGACATCTTTTTTATGACAGGCTGGAACAACCAATTGCCTATTCTACCCCCGACCAACAGAGAGTAGAACCATATAAAAAAAAATTTTTTTTCATTTTTGAGTTAGAAATAATGTATTTTCATGTAAATTTTTAATCTGGTTTATAAATTTTGTGACAAAAATGTGCTAGGTATAAAAAGGTTAAAAAAATCAAGGAAAAAGCAGTAGTCATAGAAACAACAAATTTTTTCAATGTTCCATGTTATATATATATTTATGACAAATTTTTTATTTAATTTAAGTTCAATTTACCATTTTCATACATAAATAGAATTATTAGTTTTCAATCTGACTCTATACTTAACTCAATTTTTTTTTAATGTCGCTTCTATCTATTGCATTCTTAATTAAGTTATAAATTGAAAAATATTCGAGTATGGTGAGTTAATCAGACACTTTTATTATGCTTAAGTTTAATTATATTTGATCACCTAATATTATTAATGAAATATTTTTGTAAATTAAAAATTTAATTTGAATAGAAGCAGCGTATGCAGTTGAAGTACTTGATTTGACTCATGATCGGGGTTCAGCATGGAGATTGCAATTTGATGATGCAAGTTGGTCAAGTCATTTATCCTCTTTAAAACCATTAGGTCTTGCAGTACTTTTAAATACATGTAACCCATCAACTCATGCTCATTATGCTAAATTTTGTGCACATGTATCTTGTCAAGCCCTATATAGTGAAGTTCTTGTTCCTGTTACTAATAGAAGGTACTTTCACTTGTCAAAATTATATTATATTTCTAATATATGCTTTGTTTCCATATTTTTACTAGGTGTCTCTGTGAATTAGCTCGTCAAATTGGATTTTCAGAATCTGCTGACAATATATTTGAGCTTCAGTTACAATTGTCAACTTATAGACATGTTGTAAGCAATATTTATTTGACATAAATAAATAAATATGAAATCATACATTGACAGAATACTTTTCCGAATAACTTGGGAATATTTTTTAAAATTTTTATCTGACTTAAAAAAATAATAATAAATCTAAATCATGAAATTTATACAGTCTTCAATACTCAATGATATTGAGATTGATAAGTTCACTGACTTTAAAATTTTATAAGTTTAGGTTTATACATATTTATTATTCTAATCTTAAACTAAATTAACATTAATAAAATAATTTTTTTATTAACTAAAAAAAATGTTTAAACAAATAAATTTAATTAATGTAAGAAAATATTTTATCTATACTTGAAATGTATTAAATATTTTTTAAATTAGCAACTAGATGTTGTCCGTAGAGACATCAAATTTGTCAGATCACTGCCTATTACCACAAAGCTAAAGTTTCCATTTCCTCATATGGTATGTGTAGGATTGAAAGAACGCAGCATTGAAAAAGCTGCTACTGGATTACAATTATTTAGTCAAGGGACTGCTGATATAATACTAGATGCTTGCATAGATTATTGGGATGGCCATGATCTCAATCCTATATCTCCAGCTATTAGGTAATAAATTAAAGATAATTTTCTTGTTAGTAATACTAAGTTATTATTTATTTTCAGGAAAAAGGTGTTAGATTTTTATCAAAGAACAAGCTTAACAGCTTATTGCACAGCTTTTTCTTATCGTCCATTACCTCTGTGTCCGGATAAAAGTTTTTCAGAAGTGTATTTAGAGTTACCTGCAGATTGTCGTCATTTATACTCGAAAATATGTCGTAGTCCTACACCACACCCTTGGTCTACGACTGCACATTCCTTAAAACAACCACAATTTCACTCATCAGGTTTGTTGATAACTGTATTTGTTTTAATTTTAAGAGATTTATTAAAATTTATCATAATTGTCTTAGAGTCAATTAAAATACTTTCCCAAACATTTTTAAAACATTGTGTACTACCTAATGTAACATACTGTATACAGAATGTGTCTAACCAAGAGGCTAAACTTGTTATCTGTTGGAGTTTGCCCCTAAAGCTGGACCTCCATATCCCTATTTCAGAATTCTGGTTGAACAGGTTGGAGACTTCAACAGTCCTGCGGCTTTGAACCCGGTTGGGTTCTTGGTCAAAGGAATAACAGAGAGATGTACGAGTTGGCCATGACCCGCCTTTTGTGACACTGGTAAACCGGGGAATTTGGAAGCCCATGCTATCGGCTTTGTGTGCCAGATTCATGGTGTCGGACTCGGTTGGGCTTGGCTTAAATGCTTGGCTTCAATGCTTGGGGACACGTGGGGATGCGTTATTCTGACAATGTGTGCATGACCCTTAACATAAGTAGAGGTTCACACTCTGATCCCAGCTTTGGTTCTTTGATCGGGGCCAGAATGGTATTCTGCCGTGCACCTTAAATTTCGGCTAAGGAGCAGTTTTTGTGGTGGGCCTCTGCGAACCCACTCTAAGAAAGGTCTCTGCTATACTGGTTGGCGAAGGCCCGTGGCATCACCTGTTATAACCGTGAACAGGTCGCGCTGCCCCCTTTCTTATTGTAATAGGTAAAAAGCCTACAATGCAGATTCCAGAAATGGTTAGAGGACCAAAGACTCTCCGCACCTTTACCTCCGACGGCTGGAGAGGCCAATCCGACCCTCCCCGGACAGCAAGAAGTAACTATGGCTCTTTTAAAGTAGCTAAAACATTGTTTACTACCTAATGGAAAAATACTGTATACAGTATGTGTCTAAGTAACAATTCCTATAACTTTGCTATAATCAAAATTTTGTTGAAAATTTGTTCAAAATAATTTATGTATTAAGTTAGAATCATATTTTATTATTTTTTTTAATAATAAGCAATTAAAATATTTTATTTTTTCAAAATTTTAAAATAACTTAACTAAACAATTTTCTTAAAAAAAAAAAATAGATTAATAAAAAGATTGGGATAGGTACTTATTGAGTTACAAATATTTTAATACAAAGAGTGAGTATGTAACACAAGTTGAGTATTCATTATAATTATTCACAAATACTAACTGTATCCCCATGCTACTTAACCACTCTGTTTTAAAAGACTTGTAACACAATAATTACTTATTTTAAAATTGTTATCAATCCATTAGTATCATTTTTATAAAAAAAGGGATTAAAAATTGGCTATTTTAAATTTAAAATTAGAAGAAAAAATTGTATTATTAAAAAAAAATAATATAAAATGTGAATTTAACGTAGTGTAAGTATGCATAAATTTAAGAAGAAAATTTTAACGGAATTCTATATTGTATTAAAAGTTATAGTTAGAATCCAGATTTATATGTTTTTATTTTTATCAAATACATACAGTACTAAACAAAAAAAAATTTTTTTGTACTTCAAAATATCTATAATACACATCAAAAGGAGATATCCAAATGTAAGCTTTTTTTAATTAATCTTAAGTGGTTCCTAAAGAGCACTTTTTTCTTAAATAACATGAGAAAATGGAATTTTTTATAAAATAATTATTTTTTTAACAAATTTTTATGTTTTCTTTTTAAATTATTTTTTTAAACAAACATAAAAGAGGGAGTATAGGTGTAGCATCAATCGTAGATAAGATTAGAGAAAATAGACCTAGATAGGTTGATCATGTTATGAGGAGAGAGGTATCGTAAGCTGTAAGAACAGTTATAGAAATGAATGATGAAGGAAGAAGAATGAGAGGAAGACCAAAAAGGAAATAAAGGAATGTAATTGAATGTGATACGAGAACGGCTAATGTGAGCATAGACGATGTGGGAGATTGTGTCAAATGGAAGTTTAGGGTATTCAAGTAGTTAGGAATATTTTTACAAATATTTGGCAGTAAAATACATATCTATTTACATGATACTTAAATGTGGAGAACAGTGCTTTTTAGTGCCCTTTTAGGGTTGATCAAAAAAACTCAAATTGGATGGCAACTTTCTTTTAGTGTTAAAACAAAAAAAATTTATGTAAATAATTATATAACTTTTTTTTTGTATCATATCGAAAAAAAAAATGATCTTAAAATGTAATATTTCCATATTATTTATTATTCAAATTATAAATTTTAAATAATTAGGTATATTTTAATTATACTTGAAAAATTTCAATTTTATTTTTTGTTTTTTATTATTGTTTTATAATATTAAGTTTCAATAAAGTTATTATAACGATTTCATATTAGTTTTTAATTGTTAATACATAATGTTATTTTAAAAATAAATTTTTTTTAAATTTACATATTGTATATTTTTCTAATTTTTCAGGGAATATTAGCAGTTTTATTAGAAAATATAAATTCTTATGCTAATTTTAGGATTTATCACTTAGATCTGTTCATCCCAATATATTTTCAATTATTATTTAAATTTATTGGAAACAATTATTATTATATTACTCGATACATATAAATATTATTACTAACAGTTGTTTAATGTTAATATAACAAAAAAATATTTTATAGATTCATTGCTATTTGGTGATTGTCATTATAATTCTAAAGATGTGAACAATTGTTTTCAAACACAATGTAATCAGATATTTTTAGGAATGGTCACAATGCAATATCAGCCTCAATATGATATGGTAATTAAAATAACTCAATAAGATGTTTTATCTTTTAAATAATTTAAGAATTACTACTACTATTTTTATTCAGGTTCAGTTAATTGAACTTTTAGAAAAAGCTTGCATAAGATTTGTACATTTTAGTAAAGAAAATGAGCTTAGATCAAGAGTATTTTCTGAAAAAATGGGATTAGAAAGTGGATGGAATTGTCATATTTCATTGCTTGGAGATACTCAAACAAGAACACGCTTGGATCCTAGGTAATAGTTTACATTAATTTGCTTATTTTGGTAAACATTTTTTTTTAGACAATTTTTTTAAACTAATCTATAGATTAACATTAAAATGCATTAGTTGATTTTTAAAATCTTAGCATGTATATATGAGTGTTTGTGTTTTGTATTTGAATCGAGTGAGGGTGCAGCAACCTGTGATGATGAAACCAGCTTTTTGATACCACTAACATCAACCAGTCAGTCGAGGAAAAAACTAGCTGAACATGAACATAATTTATCGGCTGATTCTTTTCCTCCTCTGAATCTTAATTGGTAATAATTTATTATTTTCAAAAATTATTTTATCATTTTATTTATTTTACTTGATTTTAATTATAGTGCGGCATCAAATATGTCTAGAACAATAAGTATGTCAGCACCAACTGCTCTGAATATGGATTATGCTCAAATCACTATTGAACAAGATGGAGAGAAAATAATAAAACCAATGCTTATTCAAAAGTAATCTTTTATTATTTTTAAAAATATAATAAATTTAAATATATTTTTTATTGGTCTTCATTTTTTATTAAAAAAAAAATACTATATAATATGAACCTTTTTACAGCTTTTAAATAAAATAAATTTCTAATTTAAATTTAAAACGATTCTTAATTATTATATTATTATTGTACAGAAAGAGAAAATGAATACTAGGATTTAAAGTGCTATATCTCTATTATCATTTATTATTGATTGTTGTATGACTTTTCTCAATGTAAAAAATTTATTTACAGTTATTTAGTAGTAATTTAAATTATTATAAAAATGGACAAACATTATATTATAAATTTTAATATTAATACTTTCAATATTAAGACATATATAATATTTTTCCAATACTATGTTTTGAAATAATTAAATTAAAATTTTTAAATATTTAAATGTACAAAATGTAATATATATGAATGTACATATCAACAAAATAATATTAGAAAATAATATTAATATTATATATAGAAAATAATACTAATTCATTAGTAAAATTGTTTTAATAATATTTCTTAATTAGAAAGTTTTTATGAATTTTTTAAATTAAGGTATGTGTTATTCTAAACAGGCATAGTGTACAGTATCACTTTAATTCTAATTTAGATGTGTCTCTTCAGTTAAATTTTCTGCAATGACAATGTATACATGGACAATATTTTTTCTTAGAACTATAAGTGCTTTTTCACACATATAATTGTTAAATAATAAAAATTGATCACTTGTGGCTAATTAATTAAGTAAAATTAAAACTGTATTAAAAATATTATTAATTTAAAATAAACTAAAAAATATTAAAAATATTAAACTCAAAACCACATTAAATAATAATAAATTTTTTTTTTTTTTGTGACTGAGTTTAATATTTTTAATATTTTTTAGTTTTTTTAAATTAATAATATTTTTAATATAGTTTTAATTTTACTTATAATTGTTTAGGTAAAAAATCAAATTTTAGATTTGATGCAAAGCTGAGAAGGTACTAATTTTACTTTATGTGATTATATATATTTCTTTTGGGTTTATCACTACTTTTTTTCAAGTCTTACTGGACTGATTTTGTTCAACAATATATCAAAAGATAAAAAATTGTGTCTAAATGAAGATATTTAATTTAACATTTGAATAAATATCCCACGTTCCTCATAAAGAGAAAGAATCATGCCAAAAATGTTGATATCAGTACATTTCTAAATTTTTTTAATTTTTTTTTCTTAAACTGCTATAACTTTTCAAAAATGAATGAATCTAAATAAATTATTTTTTACAATTTGAGTTTTATCTGCCCACAGGGAGATTTAAAATAACAACTTTTATAAGAAAAATTAACTTTTTAAAATTAATGTCTTCTTTTTAAAATATGTTTTGATCTTAAAATTCTTTTATTGTAGGAATAGTCTTATAAAGAATGTTTTAGAAACAGATGATATTGATAAAAATTATGAAGACTGGCATTCATTAAGTTGTATGTCAGATAGTACTGACCAAAGTGTTCCTGTTAATTTTGATATGTATAATAGAGTATGGTTTAATATATTATAATTTAGCTTACCAAATTAAAAAAAATTAATTTAATAAAAAAATAAATGCCTACACAGGGTCATTATTTTAACACTAACCATTCAATTTCTCTTAAAATAATTATTATTTTATGAATTTTATTTTTGTGCTTTTGTTATTTACATATGTATATGTAATAAAATATTTTTTACATTCATCTTTAATGTCTTATAGAATGTTTAACTTAGTTTTTCTAATTGTAACACATATTTAATTAGCTTATAAAATAGAAAATGACCGGTTAATAACGACTTTTGGACTAGTATTTAAGAATTCATTAACAAATTAAAGTATTGATTAGAAGTGACGCACGGGTGCTGCTATTTTGATCATTAGACATTTCTCAGCCTCACCGTTTTTTCTGTCTAGGTATAAAAATATTTATAACTTCTGAAATACTTGTCCAAAAGTTTTTATCGACCAATCATTTACTTAATTACATCATTTTATATTTCATAAGCTAATTAATTGTGTTGCAATTACAAACACCAAATTAACCTTCTTATAAGACATTAAAGATGAACATAAAAAATATTTTATAAAAGATAAATAGAGATACATATGTAAATAAATTCACAAAAAAATATTATTTCAAAAGAAATTAAGTTAAAAAATTTCCTTCTATATCTCATACCTGTATGCATTTATTTATTTATTTTTTGTATAACTCACAATAGATTGCATGAATTATATAATCAATATTAATTTTTTTTTAGGCTAAACTTCCTCGTGGAATTGAAAATATTCGTCCTCATTTAGAGTGTATTGATAATGTACCACTACTTGTTTCACTTTTTACTGATTGCACTCCAGAAGCTTCGAAAGAAATGATATCTATAATGCAACAATATGGTGAAGTTGTATGTGTTTTAGGTTCATCTCCCAATGCAGAAAATATTGGAATATTTATGCAAGCTGATGCTAGGTGAGATTCAATTAAAATTTTATGATACTTTTTAATAATAATAAATGAGTAAATATTTTTATTATTCATCTTATTTAGTTTTTAGCTTTGATTCAAAGCTGAGAAGGTATTAATTTTACCATGATGTGTTTATTATTTTTTCATTTTTTTTGTGTCTGTCACTACTTTTTTTCAGCTTTCACAGGACCGATTTTTCTCAATGTTACGTCAAAAGATCACAAATTGTATCTAGTCGAAGATATTACCCTCAAAAAATGAAAACAAATCCCTTAATTAAATAAAAAGTAGCTTAACCAGCTTTATCCATACAAACAATTAAAATCGTTCATTTCTAATATTTTTAAAGTATTATTGTCAAATTAAATTTGATATCATAAAAGTATTCAACTAAAAAAGTAAATAATATTACTTTGTAATTTATTAATATTTTTACTCTATTCGTGTTACTAACAGTCTGTAATATTCCAAATATATTGGTAACATGTTGCTATATAAAACACAAATCTAAAAAAAAATGATTTTTAGTTTCACTTGAATTTAACAATTGATTTTTACAATTAAAATCAAATTTTATAATACGCTCAATTGAGTAGATCTTTTTAACAACTTTTTTTTTATTGGTTTTTTTAGTTAATGTAAATCATTAAAATTAATTCAGTTCTGTATATTTCAAATGTAGAATTTATCCCGACGACCTATCTTCTATGCGCAAATGGCTACCGTATTCAAAAATATACTATTTTTGTGTTAAAATCCTGGGTTTTGTATTTTATTTTATTTTAAAATATCTTATAAGGGCAATACACTGCCCTATTTTTTTATAATTATTATTTTTATAATAGGCTAAATTGAATAACTTTTTTTTATTGGTTTTTTTAGATATATATTCATTCAAATTAATTAAATTCTGAATATTTCCATTGTAGAATATTTTTAAACACCAAAAGTTAATTATTAATGATTACTATGATTTATATTTAAGTGATCTATTACGATAAAAATGAAAAAAAAAATAGAACTTTTCTGATAAATTTACAGTAAATAGTAATTATAAAATTTGCTGACTGCATATTAATCTTAACAATTTCCTATTTTTCTATTTGATGATATCAATTTCAAATTTGTAAGTTGAGCTAAAAGTTATGGTAATAAATTCCTTTTTTTTTCTATTGTATACTTTCACTTTAAAAAAAAAAAAAAGTAGGTTAGAAATTATTACTTTTAACATATTAAAAATAAAAATCAATAATAATTTGACAAGAATTAATTATAAAAATTATATAATATATAATTAAACATATTTTGCTTTTGTAATTATCCACCAATTTCTTAAAATTAAACACTATTTACAGATTTGCATCGAAGTGTTTCTAATGACAGTGATTTTAATCACTCTCAGATTAAATCTATACTGGACCCAACTATGTTATATCCCCACTTTACCGCAACCTCACTGTGCTGGGTTTTTTAATATGATTTCCTACCAGTTTTAAAAAATGTATATATGTAATTTTTCATTCATTATAAATACTAATAAATCATTTTTTTTTAATAAGTACCTATTATTTACTCTTAAAATATTTTAGTGTAAAAATAATTATAATATTTTTCATATTTGAACACCACCTTTTTTTTTAAACATTAGAATAATTATTATTAAAAAATTAATTATAAGGCTCATTAAGTTAACACAAAAAATTTAGTTTTATGATAATGATTTACTTAATAGAACATTTTACAGCATATTAGTATTATTTTAAAAAATAGCTAAATATTATACTATAATTTAGTGTGGGTATTGAACCAATTTATCCTCAAGTTTGTCAACGAATTAGTATTATGCATCAACCAAATCCAATAGATGCACCAATTTCACCAATTAGTCTTTCTGAGTTATTAAATTCTCTTCCTTGTTGCTTATCATTTAACCGTCAAGACCCATTACCAATTTATCATCTGATTATGGAAGTAAATAAAATTATAGTTAATTTTCATAAATTTATAATATATTAATAATATACTATATAATATATTAATTGTTATTTTCAGGCAAGATATTTAATGCAAAGAATTTGGAATTGTGTACAATTTTGGACCAGTTGTATGGTTTCACTAAGTTTTCTTCAACTTCTTGTTATAGCTTTTGTATTGCCACCTATATTTTCGATTGGTTTGTAATATTTTTATTGTTATATAATAATGATAAATATTGTCATACCCTCGCTTTACTTCCAGTCTATATTTTAAAATGGTAATAACTTCCGAAATGGTGGGTCAAATGTTGTTATTAATCAGTCAGTTTCTTAATTAGATAATTTTTTATTTTAAAGCTAGTTAAATATGTATGTTGGCACTTAAAAAAATTAAGTTAACACTCTTATAATGTATAAGAGATGAATATAAAAAATACTTCATGATTGATTAATCAAGAAATATATTAAACTAAAAAATACCAAGAATGATTTTTTTAACATAATTTTTATTTTGAAAGAAATCAAGTGGCTAATATTAAAAGAATCACCTTGATTATGTTGTGTGTATTAAAATTTAAAAAAAAACATTATATAATATTGCTGCCCTACAAGTATACACATCAAATTTTCATTTAAAATGTCATAAATTTCTGGCTTTTTTCTTTACCTAGCATTTAAAGAAGACATTAAAAAAAAAGTATGCTTCTTATGCAGTTATTTTCCTCCTAACTTACTCTCCTCTGAAACCTCAAAAAATATTACTTACAGGCCTCTAATTACATATTTACATCACTATATAAATTAAAACTTTATTCTTTTGTTGTGAAAAAATTATTATTTAATTAAAAAAAATGGGTTTATTATTTATATTTAATAAATCATAATATACTATTAGAAATATTTTCTTATCATCAAATTTAAATATTGGATAATTATAATTAATTATTGTAAATTTTTGAAAATAGATTGTATAAATGAAAAAATGTTGTGGTAAAATATTGTTATGAATAATTTTATAAGTTTTTTTTATTTTATTATTATTAATTTAATCATATACTGAATTAGGTCAAATTTTGTGGTTGGTGTGCATTATTATTCCTATTTTGTCCATATCATTGGTTGGAGGTCCTACAGACCCTAAAGTAATGCAGACACCTACTGGAAAAAATCAATGTTCAATTACTACTGAGGTAAATTTTCATAAATATTTTTATTTAATTAATTAATCCTATGTTCTTACAGTAGGTTAGCATTTTTTTTAAACCCTACATTGGAAATAAATTTTATATCTCTTAAGATTGAATAATTAATTTGATTTGAAATTAATAGTACTTAAGTGAAATATTCTTGTACTAGTACAGGCACAGATGGGGAAGACAATGGCACTCAATACTTAAAAATTATTTCATGGTATTTTTTAGCTATAATAAATCTAGCTGGTTCGGCATATACAAAGAAACTCAAGAGATAATGTGGTTTTTTGCATACTGCACATTGTTTTTAACTAAGGATGGTATAGTGACAACAATAAATTGATCAAACATATTAAATACATTTTAGCAATTTTTCATTTATAATTCAATTACAAATTTTATAGAATCACAAAGGTTACTCTTTTTACTCTTTTTGAAATATATTTGAATGGTAGCATTTACTTAAATATATATTACAGGTGTGCAAGTAAAAGCATTCAGTTTTCTACATTTATTTTAACACTTTTTCATTTTACTCAAAATGGGCCCATAATGTATTAATGTTGAAAAATATATAGTATCTATCGATTTCTATTAAATTTTTAAAAATCAAATATAATGTAAAAAGTTGCAAGAATATTAAGTAAACTTATTATTATTTATTTGTACCTCTAATGGTACTTATAAATATTGCATTGTCAACCAGTTAGATAGGATCAAAATTGGATTAAAAATAAATAAATATCAAAACAATGAAATTTAATTGATTATTTTATAAATTAAGTTAGAGAAAAATAATTATTAATATGGAGTTTTTTAATTTTTAGCTATCATATTATGTCTTTTGGTTTTATGGTTTAAAATTTTTGCCTGTTATAATCAGTATGATGATATTTTTCATATGGACTCTTAGTCAGATGTGTAACTTAGTCTTTGTTCCTAAAATTGCAAATTCTACTACAGAAATTCAACAATGTTGGTATGTTTATCCAGAAGCTAAACAAACAGAATGGGGGGGATGGTCTAAATATGAACCAACTATAATAAGTGTACAACGATTAATGCTATTGTTTCTTATTATGCATTACAGTAAGTAATATTTACTTTATAATTTTTTAATAAATAATTTAATCTACTTTATATTCATTATTTTTAGTTATTGTTTCTTTGAGTTTTGTTCACCGAGAATATTTAATGTGGAAAAGAACCATTCATTTAAATAAATTTTATGTTATTACAATAATTATCATGTAAGATTGATTTTTAACTTGTATTATAGTAGAATAAACTAAATTAACAATTGTTAATTGTTTGATAGAATATTTGTGCAATTTACGTATACCATTCATTATGAGCTTTTTCATGACAATACAACATTTATTAATGTAACTATGTTATCAACATTAACATTCATTTTCGCAATTATTTCACTGTTACTGGTTTTATTTGTAAACGAATTTATTCATTGGCAAGAAATAAGGTATACTTTATAAATTAAAATATTAAGATTTTTTATTCTAATTAATTAATCAAATTTTAGAGCTAATGTAAGGTATCAAAAACGTGCTAGATTAGACTTTGGAACTAAACTTGGAATGAATTCTCCATTTTGAAATTGTTTATGATAGATGAAATGCTTACTAGTGAAATATAATGTAGTGTTAAGTTATTAGGACTTTATTATTTAAGAAACTATTTAATATTTAGTAAAAAAAATATTGGTAATACTTGTTATATATTAGTAAATCAAATACTCTATTCATATAGCTTGTGTGCTATTACAATGACATAACTAACATTGCTAATAATAATCAAACTTGGCAAACAATAATATTGGCGTATTTTCTATACTGATAAAAGTGAGCCGCTAGAGAGCAATTGTAGCGTTATTGTTATCATTAATTATCTAAACATTTTGTTTCAATACTTTTATCTCGGTTAGTGTTTACCGGCATACTGATAAGTACTGTTATTAATAAAAAGACACAATTTTTGTTATTATATAATGTAATTTTTGTTAATACTAAAATAAGATATAAAATAAAGTCGTAAATACAAAAAATACATTAAATAAGGTACAAATTAAAAATAAAGTTTTGCATTAACGACATTCCTAAAGAATTCATAACTAAAAATAGATCTCCGCATCAACAGTATCATAAGTTAAAAACTCAATCTAACTCCTAATTTTATAGTAATAATATTTTTGTAGGTAAGAATTGAAAGCATGAGTATAATTTGTTATAACTCATCTTCCATTCAAATAAGTTTCTGAAGTATTATAAACATTAAACATTATTTATCAACTTGTAAATTTTCAAATAATTTTTGTGAAAAATCAAGGTTTTGGAGTTATGTCATTTTTGTAGCACATAAGCAATATCTTATAATAAAAATATCATAATGTATTTTTTTTTATCTTATCTTATTATAAAAAATAATAAGGTTAAAAAAAACTAAAGATTAGATTGATAATTTTTTTTATTAATACATTATTATTTGTACTAAATTTTGTTAGAATATGAAAATTTTGTACAGTTTTAGCATCTTTGTACATTATGGGATAAAGAATTGTTAGTCAGTCATCATCAGAATCTAGCATTGAATCAAGCCAATGACCTGCATTAGTTTGATTTGTATCAACACTCAATTTTCCAATTTTCATTGTTGAAGTTTCACTCTTTTCACTAGTTTCAACATTTGGTTGGCTAGGAGCTATTACACAGTTTTTAAAAACGGTGAAATTAATTAAAAGTTGTATAACAAATTAATAAATAATTAGTACTTGTATTTAAAATTATATCTTTTAAAGTGTTTTGCAAATTTTTATTGTTACCCAGAATATCATTTAATTGACTGTTAATGCCGGTTTCATCGTGTATGCTTTCTGTTTTCTCTAAAAAAAAAAATCCTTGTTCAACACATCAGTTAAAAAAGAAAAAGCATTTGTTTTACTACAAACTATACTCCTAAATATTTAATTTCATAGTATAAAGTATTATTATACAGAGTGATTGATTAACTATGCCTAATGTATCTTTAAAACCTTAAAACATTTAATAATTTTTTCTTTTTAGTAAGTTAATAGTATACTATATACTATAATTTAAGCGGACATGGCAATATTTATAATTATTCCTCGGCCGCACCTTTACTACCGCCAAGGTATAAAAACCCAGCACAGGGGGATCACGGCACAGTGGTGACGTGGCATAGTTGGATAAGTATTATGATATATGACAGTGATTAAAATCACTATCAAAAAAAACGCTTCGATGTAAATCTTTAGATAGTGTATAATTTTAAAAAATTGGTGGATTATACCAAAAGCAACATGATCTACTAGTTCTTTATTAATATCCTGATTCAGATAAAGATATATGTAAGGGATTATTAAAAAATATTATTTCTCATAAAAAAATTATGTTGATCCATACACTTTTCAATAAGTTATATCATTATAAAGTTAAAAATGTAAAAAATTAAATCGAGAATTTTCACACAATAACAGCATTCGGTAGCTATTTTCACCGTGAAGACAAAATAAAGTCCAAAATTTTTTTTTTTGCATAATAAAGTACATTACATTAGCTTTAATTTAAGATATATATAAAAGTGTCAGACTTTCCGGAACACTTTAAAAAATTAAGTTGAAAAAGTAAATTTTTTGTAAAAAAGTTGTCATTTTAAATCCCCCCTTGTGGGCAGGTTAAGGGTTAAATTTATGAAAAAAATATACCAAATGAAAGGTAATGATATTATGCATCTATATAAAAAAGAATTATATTGATATGTTCATTTTTGAAAAAGTTATGGCACTTTTAAGTAAAAAAATTTTCGAAAATTAGCGATTTTTAAATTTGTAATGTTTTACAGTATAATGTACTAACCTTCATTAGAAACGCCACTTAATATTATTTCTAATAATTTATTAGAACTAAATGAACTAGTTTTTTTGTTATTCCATGTTAAATCAACTTGAGCTTTTGAATTACATTGAACTAAAATTTAAATTATAATTATTATCCGTTTATTTTACTTGGCAAATTATATAATTTACTAACAACATTACAATAATAACATTGTAATAAAAAACATTTCTATTATTAAATAGTTTTCATTATGCAAAATACAGAGTGATTCATTAATCACAGAACAGTTAATTAATTAACAAATTAAATTAATTCTAAGATTTTTTTTTTTTTGTTCTTTTTAGGTATGTTTTTTTTAATTTGTCAATCATAAAGTATCATTTTTATTTTTATTAGCTAATTAAATATGTATATTATCATTTAAATAATAAAGTTGACACTGCTTTAAGCTAAGAGATGATTTTAAAAAGTAATTACTAGTTAATATATCAAAAAATATATGCAAATAAAAGAAATTAATATATATATTTCTAATATTATATTTATTTTACAAGTAATTGAGTGGTTTATGATAAACTGATCACTCTGTATAGCTTTTTGATTGTGATATATTTTTTATAAATGAAACATTTTTGAGCATGTCCCTGATTAGGTAAAAGTTAAAGTGCCCAATCTAATAAACATATTAATTTTTAGTTGAGAAAATAATGTAAATAATTATTATTGAAATGTACTTTTAATACATACATGTATGTCTACTAAAAGCAAGTGATGATTCAACTTCAAATTCTTCTAACTGTTCCACCTAGAAAAATTATGATTCTTAATACTACAAAATAAATCTATTGTCGCGATTCTTGAAATAAAGATTGTTTAATTTCAACACTAATTAATTGTTTAAATGTTTACAATTATACAAAAATAAAATATCTTAATAAATAGCTAAAAATTTAAAGCACTTTAAAGTTAGCATATAACACTATTATCATACTATGGTTTGTCAGTCTTTTGATGATGCTAAATATTATTAATAATGTTGGTCTAATGGTAGATTAATGTCTTTAATACTATCATGAACTTGTATTATTTAGGATTATTTACATTTACCAGTTTCTTTGACTAACTGGAAACCCCTACAAAATTTCAAACCATCATAGAAAACCCAAAGGCTATTTATAAATAAATGACAAGCATGTGGTTTAAAACAGTATTACATATATTTTAATTGCTAGAACTTTTAAATTATTTATTAAGAAATTTTATTTTTGCATATTTATAATAAGTGTAAAAAAATCAATTAAAATAAAAAATGGTATGGAAAGAAAAATTCATGCTTTTCTAAAATAAAATAGGTACTTTTAAAATTTAACACTTACACTAAATAAACTTTTTGGTAAATTATGCCTCAAGTGAAATGGTATACTAGCTAAACTATCAGCTATATGAGTTAAGTCAAGAGAATCAAATAATTTGCAATCATTATCCACAACACCCCAATTTTTTTCACTTGAAAACTCAAAGTGACCACCACCTAAAAAATAAATATAATTTAATTAAAATTTTAATGATTTTATAAATATTTAAAACATTTCTAAATTGTTTGTTCAAATCGTGGTTATTTTCCAAAACTCTTTAAAAAATGAAAAATTATTTACCTTGATAGATATTTGTGATAGGCACACGCGTTGAGTCTGACATTATTGTATCTAATGTTAATTTATTTATATTACTAAATATTTCGTAATTTTTGAATTATAAAAAGTTTATTGATTCTTAATGTTTAAAAATTAAAAAACAGAATTATAATTTTAGTTCTTATTCAATTTAATACTGGTTATTAACTGATGAATATTAGGAACAATAAAACTAGTAAATAACAAAATAGTCAAAAACTTATCCGTATTCTTATGTAAGTTATGATGAATATATAGTTTAATTTTTCAATAAATCGTCAATTTTAAATAATTTGTTGAAGATATTACCACAAAATTCTGTAAAAGTAATTAAATATTATTCTTTATCTATAAGTTTCATAGTGACCAATGAAAAATACTTTCATACTATATTCCCCCATACCCAACCTATGTCACTCTCTAATACCAACCTTCATAATTTTACTTTAATATATTATGAAAGTAATAACAAACATCTGATACGATAATAGATAGAAGTTATAGTGGTTACGATAACCAATATGTAATAATATACTGATTCAAGTTTACTAACAAATAAATAAAAATACAATACTCAAAACATATCCGGTGCTAATCAACTATTTTTTTTTTAGTTCTTAATATAAATCACTATTTTCATTCTTCATTCATTTAATAAACGCCTTAAATGTGTGATACGTATTCCTTATTTTTTATACTTAATGATCTATTTTGTTTATAGTGTGTGTAATTCTGTACCTAATGTCTGAATTTTCGTATCTTTTGTTTTTCTCTATTTTATGTATGAAATGTAATTATTTTCAAGTTATCGACTTTTTTAAACATAAATATTTTCCTTTCAATCCATAGAATATGTAATATTGTCTTTTCGATTTATAATGTTGACTTATATTTAATTAAAATAAGTAGTACTGTTAAGTATACTTCGATAATTCTGTAAATATCATGGACAATAAAAGAGGAAAACCAAAATTCATGAAAAGAAAAGCAGCACTTAACATCACTTTTTGTATGAAAAAGGAAAGAAATGCATCCAATAAAAAAGTTAGTATACAATAGAATTTTAAAGCCAGTTCAAATAGAAATGTTTTTTTATATAAATGCTAATTTATTAATTTTAATGTAAAGTTAGTAATAAATAGATATTTAATTTTAATCATTTTATTATGATATTATTGTTAATTTTGAACCAAATAATTATTTTAAATCAATTGTTAAGTATACATTAAATTTATTAGACAGTGGGATTAAAAATATTACAAAAGTTGACAAACATTACTAACTTCTTCAGTATACAAAAGAAAAGTTAAGGAAATTTAATGAATTTACTGGATATAAAAGGGGAAATGGGTATGAAACCTCTTCATGGCTGTAAGAGTTATATAAAAAAAATACCTTTTTAGATTTGAAATTGATTAGGAAAAATTATTTATTTATATTCTATCTGATAATTTCAAAGTTTGAAATGTATTCACTCTATATGCTATTATTTCAGATATTAGAAATAATTCAGAAACCATTATCCGAGAGAACACTTGATGATCAAGAGATACTGAATACTTGTAAAGATACTGTACATAAAATTACTCAAAGGTAATATTAAACATTTAAAATATTATTCACAATTTATTTGAATAATTATATTTTATTTTATAACTCAAATAATATTGAATATATTATTAATATAAAAAGTATATAAATATATATATATATATATATATATATATTTATAAAAGTTTATTATATGTATAAAAATGTATAAATATTAGTGTTGAAATAATAACAGATATATTTCCAATTTCAACAAAAAAATCAGAACTAATAATTTTGAACATTATTCAAAAGATCCATTAAATGTTTTCTATAACAACTCTCTTGTGTATTTTTCATTTTATTTTATGATTTTTTATCTATTTGGTGAAAAAACATAATGATATTTTGCAGAAATATAGCAAAATCTTTTTTATTGGAGGTGGTTATTTATTTTTTATTACATCAGTAACTTTAACTTCTAATATTAGATGACACAAAACTATTTACTTTTTAAGTTAAATGCACAACAATTTTTAATATTCTACATTTTTTTGCTTGTATTGTAATAATTTATGATAGAATGTTATAATCTACAGTGTGATTTATTAGGTATAGTACATTGATTTTTTCATAAAAATATATAGATTAAAATTTAATTTATTTTTATAAACTATTGTAAATGTCAAGTTTATTGTAAGAAAAAATTATTTCTAAAGGTTAATTTTCAATAGTTAGATGATTTATTATTTTTTTCCTATTAAATGGAAAATTATCTAAATAAAATTTTGACTACACTCAATAACCAATTTTGTATTATTACTTTAAGAGTTATTAGCATTTCAAGATTTAAAAAAGGTGATGCACGGGCTAGTTATTAGTGATGCTATTTTTATTGTATTGCACAGTTAAAAATTCTTCTATGTTGCATATCCTACTTGCCCATAACCAAAACTTATAATAACTCAAAAAGTAATCATACAATATAGGTTATCAAATTCTTAACATTTTATTTAGACTATTCTCTATTTAATAATAATAATAATAATAGAATACCATTTAACAATGTTACCCCTAATATTTACCCTTAGGATTAATTATTTCTTATAATAAAATTGATTTTTGTTTTTAAAAGTAAATTAAATGTTAATCAAAAACCACCATTTAACAAAAAAAAAATGTAATGTAGTATACTTAATAAATCATACTGTATATTTTTTCAATTTCTTTTTACTTTTTAAAAATTTTGATTGAAAATATTTGAACAAAAACCTTTTAGTTTATAATTTTGAGATAGAAAGTTTAGATATAAATTCAATAATGGATAAAATTCAGGAAGTCCATAACCAAATTTGAAAAAAAAATCAATTATTTGCATTTTAATACTTAGTTAAAGTAGGAAATTCTTGTAGCTTGAATTTAGTAATATAGCTATAATATTAATTAGGGATAGATAACTTTATTTTTTCAAAAGTTGTATTTTATTTAATAATATTGATAGAATAGAATCTTTTCAAATAAATAGATGTTTAAATGATTTTAAATCTTTCAAAAATAATAAGTAGATAATATAATACAAATACACTGCAATACCTCAGAATTAACATTTGCAAAAATATGGTTTTGTAATCATTAAATAAAAAATTAATTTTAACTTATAAAATTAATTTTTATATATATACTTTTGTTCAACTTCATTTTTTCTCTCTATTGTAAATTTATTTAATGTGTATTATTATATCTTAGAAAATGAATTTTATTCTTAAGTAAATAATATTAATAATTTAATAAACAAAAGAGTACACTTTGTGTAGTTAAAGTAATACATTTTTAAATCAATCAGTATTTTAAAAATGTTTGTTTTTTATTCAAATTTAGATTGGATCGTAAAAAAAAAGTTAAAGAAAGACTTCAAGAATTTGAAGATCCACTGGAAGTTATTGAAGCAAAATGTGAAGAGTTAGCCAAAGCCATCTTATCAGCATCAAATTTAGTGGTCTACACAGGTGCTGGGATTAGTACTGCTGCTAAAATTCCTGATTACAGAGGGTCAAATGGTATATGGACTCTTTTAGATCAAGGAAAAGATATTGGGTATGTTATCAATTAAAAGTGTTGAATATTTATTATTTTAAATAGTTTTATTGTTTAATTTAATCATGGAATTGCATATTTTAACTTTAAAAGATAATTTTTTAACTTATTTAAAAATGAATAAAGAAATTTAAATCATACTACTATTGTCTATTAATTTTAGCTTCGATACGAATCTGAGAAGGTATTAATTTTACCATGATGTGTTTTTTTTTTTTTTTTTATGTCTGTTGCCACTTTTTCTCAGCTCTCACTGGACCGATTTCTTTCAAAAATACGTCAAAAGATCACAAATCGTATCTAGTTGAAGACATTACCCTTAAAAATTGAAATAATTTCCCTCGTTCCCCGCAAATGGGGGAAATATCCAAAAAAATTACAAATTTAAAAATCGCTAATTTTCGAAATTTTTTCACTTTTTTTTCTTAAAACTTCCATAACTTTTTGAAAAATAAACAAATCAATATAATATTATTTTGCATTGAAACCTTAGATATTTCCCTTTTTATTTGAAAATCTAACACTTAACCTGCTCATTGTGGGAATTTAAAATAGCAACTTTTTTACAAAAACTAACTTTTTCAACTTAATATTTGAAAATGTTCCGGAAATACTGCGTCCTTCAAACATATATCAAATTAAAGCTTATTTTATGTATTATAAAATGAAAATAAAAAATTTGTCCCGACACTTTTTTTTCTACATTTAAACGGCTGCCGTAGTTAAAAAAACACTATTTTTGTGTTAAAATTTTCGATTTTCGATTTTAAATTTTCAACTTAAAAATGCTATAACTTTTTGAAAAATGTATATATCAGCACAAATTTTTTTTTTCTAAATACATTATAAGTACATCTTTCATTTGACATACTTTTTATTAAAATTGGACAATTTCCCCTTATATAGGGGGCGATCAAAACTTGAAATATTGTAAAAAACATAGATCTTTTTCAACTGATCTTTTGAAAATGTTCCAGAAGTACTGCGTCCTTTAAACATATATCAAATCAAAGGTTATGTTATATACTATCAAATGAAAAAAAAAAATTTGTCCCGACATCTTATCTTCTATGTGCAAATGGCTGTCGAAAATTTAAAAAAAAATGTAATGTTTGCGATAAAAATTATCTTTTATCGGGATGTTTTTTTGTACTTAAAACTGCCATAACTTTTTCAAAAATGAACAAATAAAAATAATATTTTTTTGTATTGAAACCTTAGATATTTCCCTTTCATTTGATATAATTTTTTTTGAAAATCTAACACTTATTCTGCTCACTGGGGCAATTTAAAATAGTAACTTTTTTCACACAAATCTAAAAAAAAATGATTTTTAGTTTCACTTGAATTTAACAATTGATTTTTACAATTAAAATCAAATTTTATAATACGCTCAATTGAGTAGATCTTTTTAACAACTTTTTTTTTATTGGTTTTTTTAGTTAATGTAAATCATTAAAATTAATGCAGTTCTGTATATTTCAAATGTAGAATTTATCCCGACGACCTATCTTCTATGCGCATATGGCTACCGTATTCAAAAATATGCTATTTTTGTGTTAAAATCCTGGGTTTTGTATTTTATTTTATTTTAAAATATCTTATAAGGGCAATACACTGCCCTATTTTTTTATAATTATTATTTTTATAATAGGCTAAATTGAATAACTTTTTTTTATTGGTTTTTTTAGATATATATTCATTAAAATTAATTAAATTCTGAATATTTCCATTGTAGAATATTTTTAAACACCAAAAGTTAATTATTAATAATTACTATGATTTATATTTAAGTGATCTATTACGATAAAAATGAAAAAAAAAAATAGAACTTTTCTGATAAATTTACAGTAAATAGTAATTATACAATTTGCTGACTGCATATTAATCTTAACAATTTCCTATTTTTCTATTTGATGATATCAATTTCAAATTTGTAAGTTGAGCTAAAAGTTATGGTAATAAATTCCTTTTTTTTTTATTGTATACTTTCACTTAAAACATATTAAAAATCAATAATAACTTGAAAACAATTAATTATAAAAAATATATAATATATTAGTAAAAAAGAATTACTAATCTGGATATAATTAAGGAAGTAGAAGTTGTTGTTGCTTTTGTAATTATCCACCAATTTTTTAGAATTAAACACTATCTACAGATTTGCATCGAAGCGTTTCTTATGATAGTGATTTTAATCACTGTCAGATTAAATCTATACTGGACCCAACTATGCAACGTCCCCACTNAATCACTATCAGATTAAATCTATACTGGACCCAACTATGCAACGTCTCCAATTTGCTGCGATCCCACTGTACTGGGTTTTTAATTTCTAAGCTAAACTTTAAAATTATATTTTCAATTATTTATTATACCAAATTCTTATTTAATTTCATAGTTGTATTTTAAACTTTTTAATTTGTTTAAATTCCTTAATTAACAGGTAAAATATGTTTTATAGATGTCATGATTTAAGTCAAGCTGAACCAACTCTTACTCATATGGCATTATATAGATTGTATCGTGAAGGATTGTTAAGACATGTTGTTTCTCAAAATTGTGATGGATTACATTTGAGAAGTGGCTTGCCAAGACCAGCTTTATCAGAAGTTCATGGAAATATGTTTATTGAAGTATTTGATTATTTTATTTTAAAACAATTAAATACTTAAATAGCCATTTATTTCCAGGTATGCATTAATTGTAAACCAAATAGACATTACCTACGTATGTTTGATGTTACGGAACATACAGCAAGGTTTAATCATAAAACTTTAAGATTATGTTATGCGTGTCATAAACCATTAAAAGATACTATTGTGCATTTTGGCGAACGAGGCAAACTTCAATGGCCAATCAATTGGTCCACAGCATGTAAACATGCTGAAAAAACTGATGTTATTTTATGTTTAGGATCCAGCTTAAAGGTATTGTATTTTTTAAGAATACAATCATACATTTTTTTTTAATATTAAATTAACCTACTATTAAAAAAAATTTTTCCAATAGTATGAGAACTATTTTGAAAATCAAATAAAATAATTATTTTTAAAAAAGCTTTTATAAATGCCAAAAGTAATTAGAATTCTTCTCATGAAAAAAATGTTGATGTCGATTTATGGTAACCCTATGTTAGGTAGCCAGGAGGGGTGGTCACTCATTCAAACATTTTGTGAATCGGTATTAATTCATGTTACTTGTCTTTAGAAGAGTAAACATGTAACTATATTATTACAAATTATATAAATAACAAACCTTCACAAAGTCTTCACGTTATACAGCCCAAACTCATCTTTTGAATTTGAATAAAAAAAAAAAAAAAACTAGGTCATATTATTTAGCTTTTAAGTAATTTTGAGCCGATACATTGTGATTCTGCTTATACTGCTGTATTATACAGCAGTATGATTTATAATAATGGCTGCAAAAAATAATGTCTAGCAGTTCCAGGGCAACACACAGATATATCAGTTGGTGAAAAAAAGGTATGCTTAGAAACCTTATTATGTATTAGTACCCCAGCATTTTTTAAATTTCACACATTTTTTAATGTGATTTATTAATAAAAAAAATATTAATTTTCTAGATGACAATCATAATACTTTTAGCAAACCCCAAGATTGTGACTGAATACATACCTACGATTCAAATAAATAACATAATAAAATTAATACTCAATTATCAATTGCCCAAATCTACCAGAGTTTTTTTATATAATATAAAAAAAAAAAAAATTATAAACCAATTTCTTTAACTTCATTTTCAATTGAATACCAATAATTAACCTTTTATTTGATAATTATTTAAGGTTTTGAAAAAATATCCATGGCTATGGTCTATGGACAGACCATTAAAAAAAAGACCTAAATTGTTCATTATAAATCTTCAATGGACACCGAAAGATGACCAAGCCACTTTAAAAATAAATGGTATTTTTATTTTTTATCAATTTTCTTTTATTCTTTCATTTAATTTCTATTTATTCTAGGTAAGTGTGATAATATTATGTCTAAAGTAATGTCTATTTTGAATTTGGATATACCGAAGTATCAACGTTGTCTTGATCCAATATTTCATCATGCTACATTGTTAGTATCTACTGAAGAACATACTACTGTACATCCGGTCTTAGCAGGGCCAACTGATGATGTTCAAAGTGACCCCGCTATATCTGAAAAATGTGAAAAATTTGAGTTAGATATTAGCAATTTTATTAATAATGCCAAAATGTGTTCAGGATCAAGTGACCTAACTCAACCAATTGATCTCAATAGTTTATTAAAATTTGAAAATGCTTCCTTAATAGATGAGCAAAAAGAATGTTTGAATTCTCCATCTTCTTCAAACATGGAGCTCATTCCATCAATTAGTAATTTTTGGAGACCTTTTATTGAAGGTATAGAACAACAATCATTAGACAATCCAAATATGATGTCATTGATCGATCCATTAGTACCATATTTAAATCCATTTTTCATTAATAATATGGAAACCTTAGGTTTATCACCAACTCCAGTAGATCAACTTTATAAAACTTTTGTTTATCAAGCATGTATAGGCCTAGCAGCCGTTGAAAAACTTCAATTAGAAAAAAAACAATTAAACGGGATTGATAAAAAAAATATAGATGTAACTGAAGATAAAGATGATGCTAAAAAATCAGATGTCTCTATTAGTCGCTATTGCACATTTTGTCATCCTGTCTACGGTTCAACAAAATGTTTATTTTATCACCGTTATGAAGAAACATTTAAAGATAATGCAACAGCTTGTTTATGTTGTGATGATGAATCGGAAGATGAAGATGAAAATGAAATAAAAATTGATGTATTAAATGATAAAAATGAGATAAAGATGGATGAAATGAGCGATAAAAATGATGAAATTATTGAAAAAGTTAAAGTAACAGCTGGCTGGTTTGGAAAAGGTTACAGAAAAAGAATTAAAAAAAAAAAATAAATCAATTACCATTCCATTAAATTTTCATTACTTCAATCCTTATTTCAACTTAAAAAAATTCATACTATTTCTATGTTTAGTATTTTGTTTGATAACAAATTTTTTAGTGTTAGTTTATAGTATTTTTTTTCTTGAATGAACTGTTATACTAGAAATCGCAATATAAAAATACTAATAATATAGTTTATTATTATTATTCTAAGCTATATTAGAACAGAATTTTAATAATATAATTATGAATGTTATAAATTATTACTATTGTGGGTGTCAATAACTTTAGGAATAATGTATCGGATTTCTAAATCCATTAAAATATTAACTCGTATGAGAAAGCTAACATTTAAAATTTTACTTAGAGTATTTTTCTAATCAATTATTTGTAAGTATTTTTTAGTCTTGTGTAATTTTCTATAATGTAATGAAATTTTGTATAGTTAAATTTATTTACCATACTAAATTGACATCACTTTTTTCTTTAATTTTTACATATTTGAATTTTTTTACAAGTTGACTGCCACTTTGTTTTATTTTAATTTTTTTTTTTTTTTTTTTTTTTTACTTATTACTTTATTATTGTTAGTAATTATTTTTACTATAGTGTAATGTAACAATTATACTAGACTAAAGGTCATTTAAATTGTAAGCTTTAAATTATAATTTACTAAAGTGCAATATGTGCATTGTTATGTTTGTTTAATGTATTGATATACTAATAATTTTTTTACACATTATAATTTTGTGTAGATTCAATTATTTTTATTTTATTTTTTTTACCATAAGAAAAAAAAGGAAGTGTATTACATTTATAAGTGTTAAAAGTTTTGGGTTTTTAAATAAATATATATATTTTTTTTTACTTAACTTATCTTTTAAATTAATTTTTATTTCCTTTTCAACTTTGGTTAATTAAACAAAACCCACCCAACCCCTCAAAAATAATTTTGTAAAATTCACTCGTGTTCTTAAATTTTCGAAGAATGGTTCATCGGGTAAAAAAATAATAAGCATAAACAAAATTTTTTCAATATTTTTTTCTATCATATCGTTAAACTAAAAATAATGGTTTCCATTAAAGAAAATTAAAGTTTAAGTATTTTATTCTTGAAGATATAAAAATAATAATTTAACAATATACTATAGAATTTTTGAAATCAAATAATATTTTCCTATGCTACAATTAAAAATTTTCAATAGTTTCCAAGAAAATTGTTAAGTATATTATCCTGAAGACGATGTCTCACTGCCATAATTTTAGGCTTAAGTGATCTAGTGTCTAAAGTCTAAAGTGATCGTAGAAATTTGAAATATTGAGGATATTTAAAAATCAATATTTTGAAATGTTTGTAATGGGCTTTTTTTATTGAGATTTATAGTTTGACTGTAACATTTTTGTAAAGATATAGTTTTTTTTTTTTTTAAACTTAAACAGTTTATTGCTGAATAATCATATCTTAAAAAGTCCATTACAATAATTTCCAAATGTTACATTCTGCGCCTTCCCGAAATTTCAAAACTCCAAGATGAAATCTAACAGGATATAATAACTTATAAGTCAAACATAAAAGTGAAGGATGAATGTAAAAAACTGCGCTCTTTAGTCGAGTGGTCAAAAATCGTACCACAAATAGCGAGTTGCGTCAGTGACCATGGCGTTATCTTAATGACCATTATAGCGGCGATTTCAATTCTTCGAAAAATGGAGATATTTATATGCAACAGTAAAGCATTATTTGATTTTACAATTATCAATTAATTGATTTTAAAATCATCAATAAGTTTTATGTAAGAAGTAGGCACTATCTAATACTTTTACATCAATAGTATTCAGCAAGTTTTAGCTTCGATGCGAAGCTGAGAAGGTATTGGTTTTACTAAGATGTGTTTTTTTTTTGTGTCAGTTACCACTTTTTCTCAGCTCTCACCGAACCGATTTCTTTCAATGATACGTCAAAAGATCACAAATCGTATCTAGTCGAAGACATTACCCTCAAAAATTGAAAAAAATTCCCTCGTTCCCCGTAATTGGGGGAAACCTCCAAAAAAATTACAAATTTAAAAATGTCTAATTTTCGAAATTTTTTCAATTTATTTTACTAAAAACTGCCGTAACTTTTTTAAAAATAAACATATCAATATAATTCTTTTTTTTATAGATGCATGATGTCATTACCTATCATTTGGTATATTTTTTTTATAAATCTGACTTTTTACCTACCCACAGGGGGGGATTTAAAATGACAACTTTTTTACAAAAAATTAATTTTTTCAACTCAATTTTTGAAAGTGTTCCGGAAGGTCTGATTCTTTTATATATATCTTAAATTAGAGCTAATGTAATATACTTTATTATGTAAAAAAAAAATTTCGGACTTTATTTTATCTTCACGGTAAAAGTGGCTACCGAATGCTATTTTTGTGTGAAAATTTTCGATTTTGTATTTTACATTTTTGACTTTATTATGCTATAACTTATTGAAAAGTGTATTGATCAATATAATTTTTTTATGGGAAATACTATTTTTTAATAATCCCTTTTTCATTCGACATACTTTATCTTAATCAGGATATTAATAAGGAACTAGCAGTTTATGAAGCTTTTGGAATAATCCACCAATTTTTTAAAATTAAACACTATCTAAAGATTTGCATCGAAGCGTTTTTTTTTTATAGTGATTTTAATCACTGTCAGATATCATTATACTTGATCCAACTATGCCACGTCACCACTGTGCCGCGACCCCCCTGTGCTGGGTTTTTATAACTTGATCTAAGCGGTTTTTTGCTTTATGAATTTTCGACTATTTTTACTGGCTACTGTTTTCTAGATTCGATGCGGCGCTGAGAAGGTATTAATTTTACTATGATGTGTTTTTTTTTTGTATCTGTTACCACTTTTTTTCAGCTCTCACCGAACCGATTTCTTTCAATGATACGTCAAAAGATCACAAATCGTATCTAGTCGAAGACATTACCCTCAAAAATTGAAAAAAATTCCCTCGTTCCCCGTAAANAGATCACAAATCGTATCTAGTCGAAGACATTACCCTCAAAAATTGAAAAAAATTCCCTCGTTCCCTGTAAATGGAGGAAATCCTAAAAAAATTACAATTACAATCGATAATTTTTGACATTTTTTCTTCTTAAAACTGCCATAACTTTTTTAAAAAAGAACAAATCAATACAATTTTTTTTTATAAATACCTTAGGTATTTACCTATCATTTTATATATTTTTGTGAATATTTGACCTTTTAGCTGTCCGTAGGGAAATGGCAACTTTTTCACAAAAAATTAACTTTTGAAAATGTTCCGAAAATATTAACACTTTAATATACACCTTAAATTAAAGCTTATGTAATATACTTCATTTAAAAAAAAAAATTGACCTCTGTGAACTTGTCTTCGTGGTGAAAATAGACATCAACGTTAAAGAAAAACGTACGATTTCCGTGAAAAAGTTATCGATTTTATATGGTTTAAATAAAAATTAACCACGTACACCTAAACGTTGAAGTTTTGATAAACATTGGAAAAATACGCACTATAGAAAGTGTAATAATTCTTAGCAGCGCGCGAGTATTACATTTAGTATATAGTTAGATATCTATACCCAATGAAATTATGTTACTAATAAAACACAAATGAATGCTACTGACTGATAGGCGACGTAAGACTGTCAATTTACGAATTAGTGATGGGTCGTTCACGAACGAACGGGTCTTTTTGAACGGGTCATATCAGAGAACGAGTTGATCCGGATTGCAAAAAAAATAGATATCGTTCATTCGTTCGTTCGTTTCACGCAATATATCGGACACACTGTTTCATGATTCGTTCATTTAGATTTTAGATAGGATGTGCTGCTATAACTGATTGATATTGATAAATATTGAATTTGTTATCCTAGTCCGTCTTACTCTACTTAAATAATATTTAAAGGGGGCCAACCCTTTAAAATAAATTTCAGACAGAATAAATTTATTTCTCGCGTTAAGATAGCTCCTATAAGTATTCCAGTATGGAAAATGTTAAGAGAGAGATATGTCAATAATAAGTTATTAATTCAAACCCACGAGAAAGCGATTTTTGAGCTAGGAATAGTACATTAAGAGTCTGCTGTTAAACTAAGAGAATTTCTGGATTCTTTAGTCTGTCGTATTAGTGCATTAAAAATGTTAGAAGAAAAACCTGAAGAATGGGGGCCGATTTTAATGCATTTAATCTCTATTAAACTTAATAGAAATACGCTAATTAGATGGGAAGCAGAATAATCCCAATATAGAATAGCACGCGTATCCGAATTTATTGAATTTTTGGAAAATGGAGTAAAAGTATTAGAAACGTCCAAAAATATTTATTCACGCGGTAACCAACAACTTGGTAACCAAAATATGTTTATCAAACAAAATAAGTATAGATAAGCTGCAGTAACAACTACGCAAGTATTAAAATGTTATGTCTATGATTTGCCATATACAATACAAGGTGATTTTTTTATCATAGCCCACTCAATTACTTACAGAATAAATATATTTAAACATTTTTTTTTTTTTTTGGTTATCTTTAGTTACACATTATTTTTTAATTATTAACTATGTAATACTTTTTAAGTTCATCCCTTATGCCTTGTAAGGATGTCAATTTTGTTTTTTTAAATGGAAACATATATTTTTAATTTAATACATTTTTTTAGTTTTTAATTTAATAGTAAATGACATTTGAATTTTGAATATAACTTAATTCGTTTATTAGATATAAACATTTAAAGTTTCAAATTTTTGAGTTAATATAAATGTATAATACACAAGGTATTACAAATACAGGTAGCTAATTGGTTTTTCATGAAATCAATATTCGCAGGTACACAGCAATGTTATTAGCAATGAAATTCATAAATTCACTAACTGACTCTATAGGAGGTACTAAAAAAATATTACTTCAGCGGTTACGGTAGTAATTACATCGCACATTAATTTATTCAAAATAGAAGTACAATCTGTGGTTGTTCCGAAGATAACAGGATTTATTCCGTCGAATGATATAAAAAGTAAATTCCGGAAGGTATTTTATTAGCGGATGCGTCTTTCACAGTATCGCAAAAAATAGACTTATTATTTGAAGTAGGTCACTTTTTTTATGTTTTATGCGCGGGTAAAATTAAATCGTCCGATGATAGACCAATATTTCAACAAACACAGTTTGGTTGGGTAATTGCAGAAGTAGTAAATTCGGGTTGTAATGAAGCGTATTATTCTATTAGTTGTTCGGCAGTGATTGATGACGAAAATCAATTAGAAAATATGTTATCTAAATTTTGGTGTTTGGAAGAAGTAGGAACAGCCGCACCTCTAACGTTCGAAGATAAAAAATGTGAAAGAGTTTTTCGAAAATACGGTTAAGCGAGACAATGTCGGTAGATTTATGGTATATTTACGTTTTAAAGAAGGTAAAAATTATAAATTAGACGAATCTTACGAGATAGCAAAAAAGAGATTTTTAAATATGGAAAGAAAGCTGCAAAAAGACGAAAAGTTAAAAAAGGAATATAGTAAATTTATTATAGAATATGAAATATTGGGTCATATGCAGAAAATTAGTGAAAAGGAACCTATAGTTGGGGAAAATATATGTTATTTACCGCACCACGCTTTGTATATTATAATTATAATAGCACAACAACACGACTTCGTGTGGTGTTCGATGCGTCGTGTAAAACGTCATCTGGTAAGTCACTGAATGACGTACTATTAAAAGGTCTCGTCTTACAGGACGATATGATTTTTATTTTAATATACGTTTTAGAAAACATGGAGTTGCTTTAACTGCAGATATAAAAAAAATGTATCTACAAATTAATTTAAC